TTCTCGCTTTTGCTCTTCTCTCCCTCTCTCTCTCTCTTTCTCTTCTCACTCTGTCAACCTTGAACTGTGTGAGAGAATCTTTCTCTTTCTTTTCTTCTTTCTTCTTTGCCCTGCCTCTGCCCAGTGTCCATGGCCTCGAGGATCCACTCACGCATGTCTGCATGGGTATGTGGTCCGTGGTCCGTGGACCAGGGGTGGGGGGAGAGAGAGGACCCGGGGAGAGAGAGGAGGCGAGAGAGGGGAAGAGAGATGTTGAAGAAAGAAGAAATAAAGAAAGACGCGCTCATCCCTGTCCCTGTCCGCTTCTTCCTGGGCCCCGCAGCGATTGGACGGTTGGCGGGCACCCAGCAGGTCTCGTCTCCATACGGATGCAGGGGTCGGTCGCAGGGACTGGAGATGTACTAGTGGGAAGCAAGAAGAATGGAAGAAGAATTTCCAGAGGCAGAGGCAGTTTCTTGTCAGTACACATATGTACATATGTACATATGTATATATATATATATATATATATGTATGAGTATTACCCTAGACTGTACAGTTTAGTCCGTACGGAGTAGTACTAGCAGTATTACTAGTCCTAGTATGTGTACTACGAGTACTCGTACTCCATAACACAGTACTACGTGAACGAGGAGCTCTCTTGCTTCCGGTGGGTTATCTTATGGTAGCTGTATAATCTGGTGAGACTGAGAAGATGGGGTTTCGCCGGACTACGAGACGAGTACGACCTAGCAGGTACGTCAGGAGGGAACTTGTTGACTGCCCGTGCTCGTACATATGTATGAATGCTGGCAAGTTTCGTCGACCAACTTTACCGGTCGAGCCACAAATGGCCTGTTTGGAGGTTCCCCGCTGCAAGCGGGTTTTTTTTTTTTTTTTGTAGGACCCGTCGTGATGGAAACCGGTCGGGAAATCGCTTGCATCACATGTATGGAGAGGTATCCCAGACAGACGTTCAACTTGTTGTTTGCATGGGACCAAGGCTAACGGGAAACCAAGGCTAACAGGGACTTGACAAGAAACTCACTTGACAAGAACTCCCCCTCTTTTTCCTACTCGTGCTAGCAGGCAGATGCTTCACCGGGTATCCGTACGGAGTTGTCGAACCAAGAAGGGATGGAGGAGTTTCGGTTCTTCCCTCTTTTTTTCAATGCAACTACAGGTGCAACTGCAACTGCGACTGCGACTGCGACTGCAACCCCTCCCCATCACCAACGGCATAGAGTAGTAGGGCCCTCCTCGCGTGCCGCGTCGCTCAAGACTAGGACCAGTATCGGACGGAGCAGGCTCTTTTCTTCCCTCTCCTCGCTCTTTTCTCTCCCTCGAATGCAGACTGCGGCTAGTGCAATGGCTCTATACTCGTAGAAGTCTAGCATCACGGCACAGGATACTAGTACTGCTCGTGGTATTCATACTCCTAGGTGAAAACGCTACAAGAGGAAACAGTCTATTTAAACATGAGAAAAAATGAAAGAAAAAAAATATTTAGGATAAATATAAAAGAAAGGATAAATATAAACAAGTGAAACTTGGGAGGCTACAGGTACGGCCCTGAGGCTGGGATTATTTGACCGGTTGCTATTGAACCCCTGCTATGTCCGACTGACATTTCGTACTATTACTAGGGCGTTGCAATTATTCGTACCAGTATCGTGGTAGGCATGGTTCTCCTCAATGTAATCTGTACTCGTAGTACTAATAAGAAGGTGGCATTGTTCTGGGTAATGAGAACTTGTTATTGGCAATTATAGCAACATGACCATTACATTCTGACGATGCGAGCTTCTCATTATCGGCTAGTCAGAGTACAATCTCAATCTCTTGGAGTAAGGAGATGGCAGTACTTGGGGATTTGATGATGAAGAATGAATGACTCAAGCTCGATTCAATACGCCGCAACGAAACCTCGGCCTTTTTTTTTTCTTTCTTTTCGGTTGTCGCTCCCATAAAGGGGGGGAGGGGGGGGGAGTTGATGGAGGGAAAAAAACTCCTCAACCGCCCCTCGATTATTATTCTCTGCAAGACTACCCGTCAGAGTAAGGACCCAACCCAGACGAGGATGATTATCATTTGCCGTGTGGGATACCGATGCCTATCATGAATGAGAGGGGGAGGGGGTGCACAGACTCTAGAGGCCAGGTTAACCCCCCCCCCCCCCCCCAAACCCCCAGTCGGATACGCCTACAGGGTATTACGCGATATATTAATCTGTAAGAGGCATGGAATCTAGCTCGGACATGGCAGTTATTGAGTATGAGTGAGTGAAATAGGATAAGATACATGAGGAATAAAATTAAGATGTGAGAAAAAGTGAAGTGAGATGGCAGAGGGCAGAGGAGAGGAGGGGTTTGAGAGAGCTCTAGATGTCAACGGTTGTTTACACACACGGGAGAAGAGGGGAAGAAGAAAAAGAGAGAAGAAAAGGGGGGGGGACTCGACTGGTACTGTGCGCTACATGTACATATAATGGTTGATGAATATCTTTTCCTTTACCATATAGAGTAACTATGTGCGTCCTCGGGTCGGTACAGGTATACGTATAGAGTACCAGAGTCCGTGTACGGATAACTATCAAACAGGCTGTCCTGCTCCTAGATACACCCCATATACGTACGGGTTAATAACCGTACAGAGGGATTTCTTTCAATCGCATACACCTGATGAGTATGGTCATGGTGATGCTGGTAGTGCGAGTCGGAAACCACGGGTTGTCCCCATCAAGACTATAACACATACGAGTAGTATCATCCTGCTTGCATTGCTGTCCCCCCCCCCCCCCCATTCACGTTATCATGTTCGCATTATGCATCTTGGACGATGCGGTGACCTGGCAATGCTCTGTTTACTCGTATAATGTATGATATAGTCCAGATAGATCACGAGGTTGGACAGGGGACATGGTATAGTTACTCGTACTTATACGACACTCCTCCCTCCATATAAGGATAGCTTATAGGTCTAGGATCCTATATGTACAGGTACCTTATAATACTACAATCTGTCATCTGTAGATATTATCATATCCTCATAGGTGACACCATAGACATGATATGCATGCAGAACACAGAACACAGAACAGCATATGCACCCACACAACACACACCAAGCCCATCGTCTCCTGATTATTCTGTCCCACCATAACGTGACGACGATAATAACCTCCCATGCGGTATAATAGCATTGCACGTCGTACAGCAATACTCCGTGTAGACTATTGTTGCTGGACGCAATAACCTCCCTGCCGTACGGATCCCGAAGTTGCAGATACGCGTCCGAGCACAGGGTTGAAAAGAAAGAAAGGGGAAGGAGAAGAAGGGAGAGAAGAAAAGGACTGATATCACGTCTTGATTATGAATAACAACACGACTAGCACGTCCTTCCCTCTATTCACGCATTCTCGATCCTCTCGCTCTTCTGACCCTTCTTACTGCCCGCCCGTACGACCAACCCAAGCTGTAGGATATACACTCGACTCGGGAAAACAACCCCCCAAAGAGAGAAGGAATTCCCATCGGACCAACCCAGACCAGATCTTGGGGCCGGTGGGAAATCTGACAGCCACAAATTTGGAACGATCTCCGGATCAGATCGACACAATTTGAACATGCACACACACACACACACACACACACACACACACACACGAGGCGAGAAAGGAACAGAAAAAGAAAAGAAAGAAAAAGGGCATTGTACCTGTATTCTCCTCGGGCCCGAGACGGAATTCCCGCCCCTGCCTTCTAACCCATCGGAATAGTCAACCACCCCGCTCCTCATCACCCCCTTGTTTTTGATCCGTCTCGCTGTATTGCACATCTGCAAAACAAAACAAAAAACAAAAAATCCATACTCCCCCGTACGCAGCCACACTCGTATTAGTAGGTATTTGGATATTAGTAGGATATACACGTAGCACTATTACCGCATACGAATATAAGGCGGTGTAATGATGGTAACGATACGATACGAGTACATACATATACACATCTCTTTTTTTTTTCCCCTGTCCTTACCGGGGGACGCATTGGCATCTTTTGACAGAGTAATTTTCTCCTCCTCGCTCTCGCTTTCTAGGATGGTCAGAACAAATTGGGGTTTCCCCCGATCCCGGGGGAGGGGGGGGGGAGGGAGATTAGATATTTCAGGGTTAGTCCCTACCCTGTGGTTTGTTTTTACACGCCAGAGCCGTTTTCCCTTTCCCAAAATAACTCGTCGGCTTGTTGAAGAGAAGGGTGATTGATAGTTGTCGTTCTTCGTTGGTCCTCTCTTCTTTTCTGTTCGCCCCTTTCTCAATGGTGGTGCGATGCCTTGTGTCTCGTGTGTTTCGACGCTCATCGATGGTGGGGTTTGCCGTGCTGCTCCCTCTCCCAGTCTACAGTGAGTCTGATTCTTGCCTACGGCGATTTATGACGTCCCTCTCCTCTTTCGCACTCCATCCATTGCACCTCGTGAATGCCGCAATGCAATACCAAGAATGCCGACGAGGGTTCCATCGGGTAGCCCGGATATGTTGCAACGACACCAAAGACTGACATGGTCCATTCGTGGACACGTGCGAGATGGCATAGGCTGTGTCTCTCTGGTCTTCCACGTCATGTTCACGAGATGAGCACTCGTTGGCGTCGTGAATGTACTATATTGATATATGCAGGTGTCGATTCTACTATTAAATAGTATAAGAAGAAAGTGGGAACAAGAAGAAAAAAGAAAGGAAAAAAAGAAAAAAAAAAGAGGAAAAATACTATATGAGAAAATGAAGAGGAGGGTCATGAAAAAAGAAGGTGATGGAAAGGAAGAAAACGCCCGCTGCTAAACATATCAGATGAACAGAGAACCAACCCAATTCTTTTAAACTCTTTTTTTTTTGATTTAAAATTTTCAAAGGCTCTCTTTACTCGGTTCGGTTTGAGTGAGAGAGAGAAAAAAAAATGGTAGTGTTAGTGGAGGTTTGGGGGAGGGAGGGGAGAGGGGAGGGGTTATGTATAAGGGTTCATCGTTCATCTCTATGCCCCAGATTCTTCGTGATCGTATTCACCGTCCCTGCCATGCTTTTTCCGGGGGTGGAAGAACTCGCTCAGGGCATCGCTCAGACTGCGAGATCTTGTGCGCCCGGTATTGCCACCATTGCCCTCTTGAAAACCAGGTCCGAGACGGGTGCGACTCGTACCCGCGTCGCTTGGGTTGAACATCGGCGGCGGAGGTAGCGCACTCGGCTGGTCGTGGGCGAGGTTGTTGCTGTCTTCAGAGGCAAGGGGCGCGTATATGTTGCCGTCCTCATCCTCGTCGAAGAAGAGACTCGCGCGGATCCTGGAGCGGATGTTGCGCATCGACGATCGGACGGGCAGCTGTGGCCTGTTTTCCATCAGGAACGCGTCCTTCATGACCGTCGTGACCGTCGACGCGAGGGGCGAGGGCGAGATGAAGGGTCCCGAGTGGCGGTGTGCTGCCGAGCTCACGCTGTGGTGGCGCGAGGGCGGCGTCGAGGGTACGAGAAGCTGCTGGTCCGAAGATGGGGCTAGGAGGCCCTCTCTCGTGGTGGTAGCGGCGGCTGGCGTGTGCCCCGTAGGAGGGAGGGGAGGGATAGACCCTCCGCGGATCAAGGTATCGGCTGAGCGTGTCCTGTCCCCATTGCCTAGATGCGTCTCTCCAAGCCCCCACGGGTTGCTGCCTAGGAGAGGTGCAGATGCTTCGGGGCTGAACGTGGCCGCGCCGTCGCCGGGACCTGATGTCCACGGCGAGATGGCGTCGCTCTCGTATTCGGGGGACCGAGGCCTAGAGACGGCAGCTCGGGAGGAGCGACTGGACTGGACTGCAGACCCGGGTGTGCTCCGCTGGTCGCCATTCGTAGTATGCTGTGCGCTGTCCCGACGTGCGAGGCCGATAGTCTCCTCGACGTCATCCGTCTCCGACAAGCCGTCTTCTCCGTCTTCGTCATCGTGGCCATGGTCGCGTCCACTCGTGATGAGAAAAACACCAAAGAAGGTGAGGAGACAGCCGCCGACGAACTTGCCGGCCTGCTTGGCCGTCGTGTGCTCAAAGTCGCGGTACAGGATGGCGCTGCCCAGGATGACACACAGAGTGAACATGACAAACTGGATCGGGATGACCTGGGTCGAGTCGAAGTGCTGGAGAGCCTTGTTGACGTAGCGGATCTGCATGATGGCCGTGGCCAGCAGGATAAAGAGGAGGGCGTAGGTGACGGGCGTCGCAAAGGCCCTCCACAGGGTCGACGACAGCATCGAGGAAACACCCTTGGTGGCCAGCACCGTGTATCCGCCAAAGAGGCCGACGAGCCCGAGGTCGATGAGGATGTTGTTCTTGCCGTACCTCGGGCTTGCCCATGCGAGGGCGGCGATGAGGAAGACGGTGACGCCGAGGTATATCTCGAACTCTAGAGATGTGATGGCGTCCCGGATGTCGCCTGGCTTCAGCTTGTTCTCCTGCGTGTTTGCGCTCAGGACGACGGTGACGACGCCGCCGACAGCCACGACGACGCCCCAGAAGTCGCGGTGTCGAAATCGCTCGTGGAACATGAGGGGCGCGATGAGACAGTTGGACACGAGGGCCACGACGCCCAGCGGTGACACGATGGAAGCCGGCGCGAAACCGTAGGCCAGGAAGTTGCCCATCTCTCCCAGCGTGATCAGCACCTGACCCAGCCACCAGTAAGGTGACTGGAGGTACGTCGTCGACGTCTTGGACATCACGGCCTCCCCCTCGTCGCCGTCGGCCTCGTCGGCTTGTGTCGATGCGCTCGAGTCAAATGATCTCGACAGGGCATCTGTTTCGCCCGCGGTATCGTCATCCTCGTTGCTGTTGGTGCTATTATCGTGTTCGGCCATCCCATATCTGTTGCTTCCGCCGTTGCCCTTGGCATTCACGGTCCCATACGACCCTTGCCGGTTGCCGCCATCCCTCTGCGCTCGCTTGTTGGCGGCCCGAACCCTGCGGCGGACCGAAGCGCGTTGCTTGTGAAGTCTCGTATGTGCGTACCGCTGGACGTTGAGGGCGAGGGCGATGAGTGCGTTGCCGACAATGGCCGTGACGATGCCGATGAGTGACGACCAGTTCTGGAGCGGCTCGCTGCCTCCACTATCCGGTGCTCTTGTTGCAGTCGGGGTGGCCACGAAAGCTGCTGTTGCTGTCGCTGCCGCCATCACCATGATTGACGCTCGGTTGGAGCTTGATTACGAGCGCCGGCCGAGCGTGATCCAAAAGTCGTCGCTTTGGACCAGGTCTGACGAGTCGCCGCGCTTCAAGTTGGTCGTAGCGAGCATTGGGGAAACTGCCTCTCGGCCCAACGGCAGTGTATCGAATTTCCCAGGGGCGGAGGGGTTTGTCGTTAGTCACCGTGAGCACGGGTACGAACAGGTACCCCTAATCGTCGTCGGTAACAGGGGGGGTTCTCCAGTGATACACGGGTGTGGTTTCGACTGAGGAGAGGGGGGGGGAAGACAAGAAGCAGTCAAATACAATGCAGTCTCTGCTGTGGGATATTATGACGGAATATTGGGCAAAAGACATCCATGCGTTCATGTCGTAAAGCCACAGTTCATGTGATAGGCGCCACACAATACGGTCATTGGTATACTTCGTATTGGTAGACTGTATGTAAATTACATGTAATAATACTCCGTAATAATAATAATAATAACACCTGGTAGGAGCAGTCTGGCGGTTTCTACTACTGCTGCGCCACATCTCATCAAATGGTGGGGAGATCCTGCTGCCAGTGATGTCAATCGGGGAAGAAACGGCCGAGAGTGGAGATGCCTCAGGACTCGAAGCTTCCAGATGCACATGATCCCTTTACAAGATCACGACACTTTTTATTTCATCTCGTCCTGTTTCAGAGATATGACCCCCGGGGCACACAGAAACTCCAGTGGCAACAGCAACACCGACGACAGCAGAATACTTGCCCCATTTGTACGGTTCAGACATTGCATCGATTCAACCATCGCATCCACATTGTCCACCATGTTGGGCCCCGTCACTAATACCACCCCATCCGGCGAGTCGGATAGGAAGGAGGCTATCAGGCTCTTCGACCTCGCACATATCGCTAGCTTTCAATACTCGCCCCTAAGCCTCCGGCACCTACCGCAGCCCGTGCCCAAAGACGCGCCCGCCAACATGGACAAGTCCATCTTCACCTTCGAGGATGCCTTTGAAGACCTGTTGGCCGTGACGGCGGGGAGTCCCATGCCCGACATACGACAAAAGTACGAACAACGGAAGCTTCTGCGGCAGATGTTCCAGTTCGGAGAGCCCTACATGTACTGGACCCGCCGACTACAGGCATCTGGCCTGGTGAGCGACCAGGTGTTGCCGCCGTTGGGAGTCCTGCAGAAGGAAATTGATCGCCAGGCGTCCGAGGTGTGGGAGCGCATGAGGAGGGGTGAAGATGATCCCTTCGCCAGACTGATGGAGCTTCGAGACGAGATGTTCCGAAATGTCCCAGAGCTCTCCGTTCACCGCGACGCCAAGAACCAGTCGCGGCAGCAACCCGACCACGAAGACGACTTGTTCCTACCGCTGCAGAATCTCGCAGACTCTGGAAGGCGCTCGTGGGATACCTTGGTCAAGCACATGACGGAGGTCACGCACCAAGCCGAGCGGAAGACTGGTCAGAACCAGCCGGCGGCAGCGTCAGAGAATAAGGTTGAGGAGAGCCAGGACGAGTACGTCGACAAGTTCGGATACGTTCACAAGACAATCGTACAAAAGGAGATTGATAGCAATGGGAACGAAGTCGGCAGCGCCACCATCTACCAAACGTACCCTGCTCCTGCCAACCACAAGGATATCCGGGACGACAATACAAACGAGCAAGTCATTGATTACGGCGGGGAAGACCACGATGGAGCTGACGAGGCCAGGAACAAGGATGGCAAATCGGGATGGTTCTGGAAATGAATACATGTGATGCACCACATACCTACAAGTACTAGTAGTAGTAGTTTATCATGTTGACTCTCCACTCAATGTGTAACACCGCTTGGTATTATGACAGCGATCTCCTTTTATTCTCTTAAACTCCCCATGACAAAAACATAATTTTTATACTACTTATCTTCCACCATTTGTCCAACAAGTATGACTGAGCTCATAAAGGGTATTACAGTAGCAGCGGCAGCTTAGCCCCTCGCATTCGCCTTTTTCTTGCGCATCAAGCGCTTCCTGGCAATGAGCTTATGCTGCATCTCAGACTTCCCGTCGGCCGGCGCAGCGACTGGAGCAGCGGGGGCAGGCTTGTCCTCGGCAGGCTTGCCGCCCTTCTTGCTCTTGTTCTTTGCGTTGCGACCGCCCTTGCCACGAGCCTCCTTGTTGTCCCTGAGGATCTTCCTCGTCCGCTGGTTGTCGTCGTCCTGCTTGCCACCCTTGGTCTCCTCAACGGCCTTCTGGTCCTTGGCGGCCTTCCTCTCGGCGGAGCGGGCTCCGAAGCCTTCCACCTCGCGCCTCCTCTGGACAACCTGGGCGTTCTCGATGGCGAACTCGACAATGAGGCGCTGCTTTCTGCCGTTGTCGCCCTCGAGCTGGTGGCCGTTGAGGTAGCGCAGGCCCATGAGGGCCCAGTGGTGCGACGTGTACTCGATGAAGCCGTAGCCTCGGCTCTTGCCTGCGCCGCTCTTCTCGTCCACCTTGGAGCCGTCATTGGTCTCAAAGACAATCTTGGCCTGGCGTACGATGCCCTTGCCCTTGAGCCTGCGCTCGCGTTCCTTGTCCTTGGCTTCCTTGGTGTCGCGCGCATTCTCCTCCTTGGATAGCGGCACGCGGCGGCCCTCCCTAACGTCCGTGGCGAAACCCACAATGGCCTTGCGCGCGAGATCCTTGAGCTCCTTGGATCCGATGTTGCGCGGGATGTTGCGTAGCGCCAGACGCGTCAGACTCAAGTGCAGACTAGGGTTCTTCTCCACCAGCTTCTTGCGCTGCGCGGCGCTGGCCTGGCGCATCTGCAGTTCCGACTGCCCTAGGAGCTTGAACAGCGGCGACCTGGGTGTGATGGCACCTTCTGACAGAAGAAACAGGCGACGCTTGTCCTTCTCACGACGCTTGGCCATAGCGCTGTCCGCCAGGTTGGTTGCCGTCTCCTTGTTTACGGCCTGCGCTACCTGCAACAGGCGTCCGTCTAGCGTGTAGTGGCCGTCCGGGTCGGCATTCTCGTCCTGCAGGATCGAGTGCTTCGAGTTGGGCGCCGCAGGCGCTTGGGCGCGCGGTGCTCCCTTGATGCAGGCCTTGGCATCCGCCTCGTTGAAGAAGCACACGAAGCCCGTACCCGCAGGCTTTTCCGTCGCCTTGTCCTTGACGACCCTGGCATATCGCACCTTACCAAAGTAGTCGAAGAAGCCCTTGACCTGCTCATCGGTCGCAGTGAATGGCAGGTTGCGGATGAACAGTGTCGAAGAGTTGTCCGTCGTCAGCTTCTTCAGGGGAACCTTTTCTTTGGCGGCTTCAGGAACCTCCTCGACGTCTTCCTCCTTATCATCATCATCTTCTTCTTCGTCGTCGTCGTTCTCGTCAGACTCGTCTTCCATGTTTGTCATGTGGTTCTTGAAGAAGTTTTTTAAGTCGTCATCCAGCTCCTTGTCCTTGGGCTTGGACGCGGATTTTGATTTGCCATCGGCGCCGTCAACTTCATCGTCTTCCTCGTCGGACGTCGCATCGTCGGACGTCTGGTCGTCGTCGTCCTCAGCCTTGCTCTTCTTGTCTGTCTTCTCCAGCTTCTCCGGCTCCTTTTGCTGAGCCTCCCAGGATTCTTTGTTGACAGCCCAGTCAACGGCGAGAATACGTCCGTCAAGCTCCTTGCCGTTCATGGTCTCGAGGGCCTTCTCGGCATTTTTCTGGCCACGTATAGTGACGAATCCGAAACCTCTTAGCTTGCCCTTAGCCTTGGGAAGGTCCGCATACTTGACCAACCCAAAGGAGCGGAACAGATGAGACAGCTGCTCCTCCGTTTTGACGCTCCACGGCAGGTTGCGCACAATCAGTTTGGGCGGCTTGCGATTATCGTCATTTGTAGGCTTGCCAGGCGGGGCCGCGGGCTTATCCTCTGGGTTACCCTTTCGATGTCTCGGTTCGGCAATGTCAATGCGGAGGCTCCGGCCGTCCCACAGTTTCTTGTCCAGCGAAGCCTTTGCCTGCTGGGCGTCTTCGACGTCGGCAAACGTGACGAAGCCATAGCCACGCGACTCCTTGGTCTTGTGGTCGGTGATGACAGTGGCGTGCTTGACAGGGAAATATTGCGAAAAGAAGTCGGTGAGGGTCTCGTTGGTAGCGACAGGCGGCAATGAGCGCACAAAGATGGAGCGACGCTCCTCGACTCTGGGCTTCTTGGATGCAGGCCGGGAAGAAGGCTTGCCAGTGTTCTCGGTGACTTCCTTGGCAATCCTCTCGTCCAGTGCAAGGGATTCCGCGGCATCTTCGACCTCAGAAAGGGGCCTTTTCAAGCCGGCTGGTTTTTCTTCGACAGCCATAGATAGATTTGTTTGTGATGTAGGTTGGTTGAGGTTATAGTTAATATGAAGCAGTTCATGAACCCTTCTTCCGCCCAAGACAGAAAAAAAAAAAAAAACTGGGAATTCTGACTTGATAAGAATTTTCTTATCAACACGTGATTGCGGGGGAGAGAAGGCAGGAGCGGACGTGTTAAATGGCGCTAAACCATATATGGAAGACTGTTGATAAAAGATAGGGTCATCAACATAGGCAACACGCTCCGCGTCGCAATCAAACAAAGCAGCAAACTACCCCACGCCTTCGCTTGAAAAATCACCCCCCGAATATTGATTCATCTCAGATTCAACTGGGGTACATACACACACACAACTGTCGGGACGCTGATATATACGAGACGTCATCTGTGTCTCACTTCGAGGAATCAAATGCCTGCACGAGCACCTGCGCGGTCCTCGCGGTCCTCCGCAACCATTCCCATATCTAAGCGATCGAATGTGCGGGCATCAGCCGCCTCACATGACGAGACGTCGGTGCAGGAGAGCATTATTGACACACCCGATAGCGCTCTCCGGACGCGCATATGCGGAATATTCCGCGACGCCCAAAAGACCACGGCCACGCATCGAAAGCTGGCGGTGACGCTCCGCAAGATCCACGAGACATGCTGCTACGAACCCATCGGTACACAGGCAAGCGCAGCCGATGAGTTTGACGAGGATGCCTTCAATCATGAGTTTATTCGCTGCGTTCTGCGTGTCATGCCCGTCAGAAAGTCGGAGAGTGCCGGCGAGAGATGTATCCGGTTTATTGGTTTCTTTCTGCGACTTGCCAATGACAAGGACAACGAGCTCCTCGGGGATGAGGGGCTAGATGATAGTGTCCTTCCCGAGACTCCGAGTACTCGCCTGACGTCGCAGCTCCTCGAGACCATTCTGCCCTTGATGACGGCCAAGGACAAGTTTGTTCGTTTCCGATCCACGCAGCTGATATCGCACACCGTCAACTCGCTAGAGGCTATCGACGACGATCTCTTCCGGAAGCTCCGCCACGGCCTCCTTAAGCGCATTCGCGACAAGGAGGCCATGGTCCGTGCTCAGGCGGTCTTGGGTCTGGGCCGTCTTGCCGGCAACCAGGCGGAGGGCTGTAGCGACTCGGACGACAGCGACGCCGATGAGGATGTCGGCTTGCTCCAGAAGCTCCTCGAGGTTCTTCAAAATGACCCGAGCGCCGATGTCCGCAAGTCACTTCTTGTCAACCTTCCAATCCTATCCAACACACTTCCCTGTCTCCTGGAGCGCGCAAGAGACCAAGACGCAGCCACCAGAAGGGCCGTGTACTCGAGGCTGCTCCCGGCCCTTGGCGACTTCCGCCACCTTTCTTTAGGTATGCGCGAGAAGCTCCTCCGATGGGGCCTGCGTGACCGCGACGAGAATGTCCGCAAGGCTGCTGGACGGCTGTTCCGCGAGAGGTGGATTGAAGACTGCGCTGGCGTGCCACCGGCCGTCGAGGGCGAGGTCCCTGCAGAGCCCCAGGGTCCCTCATTTGACGGTCTCTTGGAACTCCTGGAACGCATAGACGTGATTAACTCCGGGGTGGAGAACGGTGTTGCTCTGGAGGCAATGAGGGGATTCTGGGAAGGTCGCCACGATTACCGAGAGGCTATCGAGCTGGACGACCACTTCTGGGAGACTCTTTCAGCCGAGTCGGCCTTCCTTGCCCGCAGCTACAACGAGTTCTGCCGCAACGAGGGTAACGGCAAGTATGAGCGATTGATTGAGGAGAAGATGCCTGAGGTGACTAAGCTTGCTTTTTATCTGGAGCGCTACATGCAAGTCATGATTGAGGCCATCAAGCGGGTAATGCAGCAGGAGGCGGACGGAGAAGGCGAAGAGGAAGATACAGTGGAGCAGGAGTTCATCGTCGAGCAGATACTCCACATTGCCATGACGCTCGACTACTCGGACGAGGTCGGGCGCCGCAAAATGTTCACACTTATGCGGTCGTCGCTATCGGTACCGGAATTGCCGGATGAGGTGACGAAGCTGACGGTCGAGGTGCTCAAGTACATCTGCGCACCTGACTCCGCCGGGGAGCGCGAGTTCTGCAGCATCGTGCTGGAGTCGGTGACGGACGTGCACGATACCATCATGGATGAGCCGCAGGCTGACGACGACGGCGAGAGTTTCCACTCGGCACGGTCGGAGCTTAGCATGGGCAGCGGCCAATCGCGTGACAATAAACGCGACATCAAGGAAGAGCTGAGCGAGGAAGAGGCGCGCGACAAGGCTGTGAAAGAGATTATGGTCAACATGAAGTGCCTGCATATTGTGCAATGCATGCTGACGCACGTGGCGGGAAGCCTGAAGGACAACCAAGATCTGGTGTCGATGCTTAACAATCTGGTTGTTCCGGCGGTGCGCAGCCACGAGGCGCCTGTCCGTGAGAAGGGCCTGGTGTGCTTGGGCCTGTGCGCGCTGCTGGACCGTTCGCTGGCTGAGGAGAACCTAGGCTTGTTCATCCACTTCTTCAGCAAGGGCCACCCGGCGCTGCAAATGACGGCTCTGCACATCCTGACGGACATACTCAACGTGCACGGCGCACAGTTGCTATCGTCGACTCCAGGACTGCTAAAGGTGTACCTTAAGGCTGTCAAGGGTAGTGCTAAGTCGGCAGAGGTGCAGGCGACGGCGACGGTGGCGGCGACCAAACTCCTGCTGGGTCGCGTCGTCAGCGACACGGATGCGTGCCACGACCTCCTTCGATCCCTGGTGGTGGCCTACTTTGACCCGGCCTCGGCTCACAACCAGACGGTCCGCCAGGCCCTCAACTACTTCCTCCCCGTATTCTGCTACTCGCGCCCGGAGAACCAGGACCTCATGCGCTCCGTCGCCCTCGATGCTCTGCACTCCCTTCTCAACGTGCGTGAAGGGCTCGACGACGATGACGACGACGTCTACGCTAGCGAGGACATGGTCGCCCTCCCTACTATCGGCGCCTGCCTCGTCGACTGGACCGACCCGAGGAAGTGCTACAGCCCCAGCCTCATCCTTGACGCGGAAAAGAGGAATGTCAATGGTGACGTCCACCTCGAGTTTGCCATGGACATAATCGATCGAATCCGTAGTAATATAAGTAGTACGTTTCCACCCCCTCCTATCTGTCATCATCTGACTAACACACGTCACGCCAACAGAGGAAGAGAAGAAACTCGTCGCCTCGCTCCTGGGAAAGCTATACATCTCCCCTGGCTCATCAGAGGATAGACTCCGCGAGGCCTACATGGAGGTGAGCTGCGCCGTGGACGACAGCATCGTGACGGACACGACGAGCCGCAACGCCCTGTACAAGGTGCACGTCAACCTGGGAAAGATTGTCAATGGACTCGATGAGCAGCAGCAGCCATCTAGTCTGCGTGCCGGTAGCTCCCGGAGCGGTTCTGTCGCCACGGACCGGCAGCCTACGGAGGAGAGGTCCGTGGTCAGCGGGATTACCGAGCCCGACATCACAGAGGTGGAAGAGGAGGAGGAGGAGGAAGAGGAGCAGACGACAATGCTGCCTGGTAGCAGCGGCAAAAATTCCATGGTGGATCAGGATTTGTCGGATGAAGACATGACGGAGATGTAAGGGCAAATGAGGAAATGGGTAAATTGATGATGATAATGGCAGTTTTTCTTTCTTGGGTGCCCTGTTATTAATAGGAGCAGTTATTCTTAGCCCTAGTATTGCATGATATATATGTATATTTGTGTATTGTATATTGTTTTCTTTTACCTCTAATTTGATGGTACTGGTATGTTGAGAATTTGAGCATGCATTACCGTGCCCCAAGCCAGTATAGAAGGCCACCAAAACCTACATTAAGCAGCAGGTGCTGACCGATACTCCAAGCCATAGAGTAGAGGTACTTGGGCGAGAAGACGGTCCAAATGAATAGATGGGTCCTGAGGACCGTACAGGCAGCCATGACGAAGGCGGTGGTCGTGGCGGTGAAAGTGGTGAGCAGGACGAGGTGGCGGGCAAACACGCGTTGGTTACCCAGGCGGTAGCGATGCAACAGGAGCAGGTTGGCGCCCGAGGTCCAGAAGATGGGAGCAGCCCAGTTGCTGATAAGGGTCAAGATGCCGACGGTGAAAACGCTGAAGCTGCCCACGCCGTTGTACGCGCTCGACAGGTCGACGGATGAAATGGCGTTGGAGCCGCCGTAGGCGAAGAAGGTGGTAAACTGCAAGAGGACAGAAGTGATTGTGATCTCTGTCACAGACGGTGTGGCCATCTCCAAGAGGCGGAGAAGCATGTTCGACAGGAGGAGGAGGGGGATGTTGGCGGCACGCGACTGCGTCATGGCGAGGACGGTGTAGAGGTGGTGCAGGAGGTGAGCTTCGGGAGGAAGTTAACAACCCACAAGGGACATGTATTGATGAAAGACGTCGAGAACGTACCAGATATTCGAGCGGCTCGAGGACCACCAGTCAGGCTGTGATAGGCGCCATATGCAGCGCAGATAGCGAGAAGAGCAAAAACAAGGCGCGCTTTGAAAAGGAGAGACGGCCCCTGGAGCAGATCAAGAAGCATTTTTTGATAGCCATCGGCGACTAGCTCGGGGACGTCCTCGGCAGTGAAGGCGAGTTTAAAGGCAAATGCCGACGTCACCAGGATGGAGGTAAGTCCGGCAGCCAAGACACGGGGGATGCCGTCAAATGCACGCATAGTCTGGGAGAAGACAAGGCAATAGGTTGCCCCGATGAGAAGCCACAGGTGCTCTGGCTGTGGGAGCAGGAATCTCTTGACAATGTCGGATTCGCCAGCGAACTTCTGGCCCGTCTGGTTCCATCCCCGCGTGATTCGTAGAGCTGCGAGAGCCCAAATCGGCCAGATAAAGGACGAAAGGCGCTTTGTTCTACTCTCACGCATATTAGCCAAGTTGAAAGACCCTAGAAATAACACCCGAGGGACAGCTTACTTGTACACGACCTTGGACCCGAGGTAAGCCAGCCAGAGCGTCGTTGACCAGTACCAGAAATGCTGCTCCTCCTCGACATAACTGCTGGCAAACATCATGAGACCATAGGGGACGGCGATGGCAAACAGGGAAATCAGCGAATGACGAGACCGCTGACCCTGAGAAAGCGCTCCAGCGACACTAAAGACAAGAGCCACAATCGCCAAGCCCTGACCGAGGAAGAGTTTAGAAACATCATAATTGGAGGCCATGCTGCTCATCAAATTCTGAGCGTTGCGGAGCCAAGAAGACATGGATGCCTGCCAGTCCTTGTCCAGATTCTTAGCTTTGGCAACTGAAGATACCTGCTGGTTGATTTTGCGCCACTCGCAAGCCAGCTCATCAACATCTGTGCCCCCCGCAGCGCAAGGGTCTGTGGTAGATGCTCCAGTGGTAAACATGTCAGAGCCAAAGGCGGCCGTGACAATCTGAAGGATCTGCCTGGCATTACGGAAGAGTATCTGGACCCTGTCATGTGTGGCGTCCCAGAAAGGGAGGAACTCGGGGATGAAGGCGCCCAGGTTGTTCTTGGGCACGGGAAACCCCAGGAGGGCGGCAATAGTCGGTGCAAGGTCTGACTGTTCGACCTGAGAGTAGTAGTCAAATTCATCACCGGGTTCAATAGGGGCCTGGAACTCAAGGCCCAGAGCCTTCATCTTCGGCGATATGAAGAGGAGGGCTGGCGATGTCTCTCCCGGCGATGAGGCACCGTGGTTTCCAGCGTCGTTCATCCCGTGGTCGCCACAGATGACGAACAGAGTAGACTGAAGGTGATGGTTTTTCTCTATACTCTCATATATGCTTTTGACGATATTGTCCATTTCCTGTTGCTTGGGGACCATGTTGACACTGCTTAATTGTTAGTCTCCAGACATGGTCTAAGACGAGACGAAGACTTTACCTCCTCGGGCCGGATTTGTGTCCAATGTGGTCGAGGCCGAGATAGTGGAGGACCATGAGTCCCCAGTCACTCCTTTCCAGTTCGGGTGCAATGTTTCGGGTAACATTGTTGTCGACCTCTGTGAAGTCCTATACCCTCAGATATATAAGCAAGGGCTTCGTAGAGGATAAGTATGCGGAAAGGAATTACTTACAGAGACGAAGAAGCTCGTTGTTCCCTCCTCACGGTCAAAAGTATCAGGGAAAAGCTTTAGCCAAGTATCGTCTCCGTACATGAGCAGCTTTCCCATGTTCTTGGCCTTGAGCTGAGCTAACCAAGTGTCTTGGACAGCAAGGCTGGAAGAAGTGTCGCCTTCATCAATATTGAGGATGAGGTCAACAAATGACGGGATGGAGCCAGTAGTGATGGATTTGATCCTAGGCATGGTCACGGTAGGAGACCTGGCATTCGCCGTAAAAGGGACTGCGCCACCATCACGTATCAAACTGACAAAAGTCTGTCAATATAAGGAGGTTCTTTGCCTGTTGTGTACACACGTGTGTGTGTGTGTAGATATAAACCCACCTTTGCGTAAACTGGAAACCGGAATCCTTGGAAAAAACAAAGTCACTTTGAGCATGATCCCAAGTCAGTTTTTATAGATTCCTCGATAGCCCTGTATGCACTGTGGTTGCATGCTCACCTCCTCAAGGCGTCGACAACCATAAAAATAAGCTTGTCAAAGGGGCCGGCAGGGGGCGGGCCCAACTCAAGGGCTTCATATTCCGCGAGACCGGGGAGGTATGGCTTGTAGGGGAAGAACCCAGTGGCAAAGACCAATAGAGAGATGGGGATGAGAATATTGGCCAAAATGATGAGCGTGGTGCTTGTTGTTGGCTTGTAGCCCATGATTATTTACTCTTCAACGACGTACTCATGCGCGCCGTCGATCTGAGTGTAAAGAATGGACGGTCAGGCGAATATATAGAGAAGGAAAGAAAAAAAAACAGTCTTGTTTTACAAACTGTTCTTCACTACATCGGGGAAACAAGTAGGATGGAGCCCACGAAGTGTAAAAAAAAGGGATTTCTCCCGAGGGATTGGAGGTGAAGAGGTGAGAATATGTCAAGGCTAAATGCTACACGTTTCGACTACGCGATCTACTATTGTTGGCGCCTGGGCATAAGGAAAGTACGACCGAGCAGCAAGTTCAACAAGGTAAGAGCGCCACACCACACGCGAGGCTGGTGGCTGATAAGATAAGCAGCGCGAGCAAAAGAAAAAAAGACCGGGCGAAAAAAAGAAGCCGGTGGGATGGAAGAAAAAAAAAAGAAGATATAATTCCAGGGTATCATGACGGCATGAAATACTTGGGATCTAGTCCCAGGCCATAGATATAAATATATGCGAGATATGTTGTTTGCTCTGCTTTCCTATTTCAATCCTGGCTTCTCTTATTTGGTTTTGGTCGCCGCCTTCTTCTTTTTGGCGATCATGTCTCCATACTTGGGAAAGACGATACCGGCCGTCTTCTTCCGCCTCTTCTCGATGCGCTTCCTTCCCACAGAGGATTTGGCAGGCTTATATGACGAGTCCAGGTCCATGACTGGCAAAGAAAGTTAGTTTTTTTTTTTTGTGAGATATGGTGCTGGAAAGGATTGTGCGTACCGGCGTCGTCGCCAGTCTTGGACTTGTCCTGGCTATCCTTTGCCTTGTCGGCATCTGTACTTGGGTCAGTTCGAATACTCTCACAATCGCTGCCGTAGCAGGCGTGTTAATGATGGGGGCTTTACCGTTGGTCTCGCCCATGTTGGTATCCGAGGATTGAGGCTTGGGCTGCCTGGCCACCTCGAGCAGGCGCGCAGACAGTCGCTCAGCTCGCGCGGCCTCGATGGGACCGAAAACACCGGCAGCAAGGCGCTGGTTGTTGGCCTTAACGGCGCTAGATCTCGAACTCCTGGCCATTTTTGGAGAAATGGGTGTGCGTGTAGATAACTTGAGGGAAGTGATGTGAAGAAATACAAAAATCAGAAATCTTGATGCTGGTGGTGGGGGTCTCATTCCTTTTGGTGCTGTGTGGCTGAAGACAAGTCGCAAAAGTGGTGTCTGTGGCGCAGCCAAGAACCTGCAACCACCACCGACGGCCTGAAGCCTCCAATTCTGCGTCATACCAAAGCGCCAGGATGCGTCGCCTATTCACGCGCCTGGCACTCTCTAGTACCGACTGAGAGCTGCCCGTTTCATCCTGCTCGAATTCTTGATCCGAATCTTCCTTCTCGGTCTTGTCCCTCGTTGAACACACCGGCCGTGCTCCAGTCCACCGGGACGCCTCACCTTTGCACGGATCCAACCTGACTCCCACAACTTCGACACTTTCGATAGACGAACCGCCCTTGCGCGTAAGAAAAACGCGCTTCGACCCGTCATAGTGGTTATCGAGCTGGAATTTCTGACGAGGATTCGCAAAGGGCTCAACTGGCCGTTGAACCAGGACGTTTGTCCAGGTAGCGCACGCGAGCCACCCTCTCGTTCGTCGCATCCAAGAACTCTCTGGTGAAGGAGGGAGTCGTCCTCAGCACACATTTTCCCCGAATTGGTTCGGCGCACAGCCGGTTGACTGCATTTATTGCACCGTCAACCTGTGCGTGACCTTTTCTCCGTACGCACAGCGCTCCAGTTGCTCCACGGCGACCAGCTGCAAAGGAAAGAAACCATGGCCATGGCGTTTCCCACCCCGGCCTCAGCGCCGCAGCCTGTCACGTCGGGCATCGACCTCCGCGAGATGGAGGATCTCATCCGGCGTGTCCGTGGTACCCAGCTGTACAATCGACAGCTATCATCCATATGTCAGGTTAACGGACTTAAGAGCACTGGCGTCAAGGCTGATCTTCAGCGTCGCATCACAGACCGTAAGCCATCTCCCGTATCTTCACCTGGCATTCACCTTGATGAAGATCACTGTTTGCTCGCACCACCTCTTTCCACATCACGTTGCCGCCCCCCCCCCCCCCCCCCCCCCCCCAACCCCACACACAAAAAAAAAAAACAAAAAAAAAAAAAAAAAAAAAAAAAAAAAAAAAAAAAAAAAAAAAGAAAAGAAAAAAAGAAGCCATATCACTGCCCACTGGTACTTGGTGTTGTTCCTGACATTGACCCAATCTTTAACATCACACGTTCATAGTCGTCCAGGAGACGTACAACAACAACGAAGTCTCGCGATACCAGCAGGTCCGGCATAGCATATTGAATGCTATCCCTAAACGACAAAGCCCGCAAGGTCCCGCGAACGGCTTTGGCGCATCACAAGTGCCAGCAACGCCAGGAATGAAGGTCCCCGGTGGCAGCAGCGTCGGCACCAACGGCCACGCCGCTCAAGGTACGATGGGCGGTGGTCCTGCCCGTGGCAGTGCGCCGGATTCCTCAACGGGTGGGCTCATATTCCATTCGAGTCCGTTTTACTCCGTGGAGATGACCGTAACAAGCATCTACACTTGTCCCAGTAAGTATGAGCCGGGCTAGTTGAGAGTGTGCGCTGCCCATGGATTCCTTATTCTGACTGACATTCGGGGGAGTTTCAGTAATGACTCAACACCGCAACAGCATCCACATGACCGTCAGACTGAGCGACAGTCCCGCTCTTCAGAAATGCGTGGATGATTGCTCGTACCGTGTCATGCTCTTCTGTGCCGGCGAGGCAACGGGCGTGCAGCACGTTGCTTTTCCGCACCAGTCGGAGATCAAGATCAACGGGGGCGAATTCAAGGCCAACCTGCGCGGACTCAAGAATAAGCCCGGGTCTACTAGGCCTGTGGATATCACGAGTGCCTTGCGTCTAAGATCTAGCTATACCAATAACATCGAGTTTACCTACGCGTTGACGGCTAAGGTGAGTTTCCTAGGAAGAAGAGGGCGATGGTTTTTGCATTATCTCCTTCATGGGTTGGAGCTGACACTGCCGGGGATGAACAGAAATTCTACCTGGTGCTCTACGTATGTAAGGTCAAGTCTGTCCCAGACCTTGTGGCGGTCATTTCCACGCGACAGAGGATACCGAAGGAGTCTGTCATTTCGGAGAGTAAGTTTTGCGGTCTCTTCCTTGCTGCTACTATATATTCTCTAACAGGGGGGGTGCGGGAAATAGTCAACAAGAAGGCCATGGACCCAGACGTCGTGGCAGTCTCGCAGGTGCTCTCACTCAGGTGCCCGCTCACGTATATGCGGCTCGACGTGCCTTGCCGAGGCACGCAGTGCAGCCACATCCAGTGCTTCGACTCGACATCATACCTGCAGCTGCAGGAGCAAGGGCCACAGTGGACATGCCCGATCTGCAGCAAGTCTGTTCCCTTCGAGCAGCTTGCCGTGGACGAGTGAGTTTCGACAACCATGTGCGGAACGTGGCGGACATATAGCTGACGCAAGGAGCAGATACGTCAAGGATATACTACAAAAGACGGGAAAGGACGTAGAATCTGTGATCATTGAGCCCAACGGACGATGGTCACTCAAACCCGAAGATGACAACCACGCGCGAAGTCGAAGCAGCAAAAACAACAACAACAACAACAACAACTCATCATCCGGCAATGGTGCCGGCGATGACTATGGTGACGACGACGACGACGAGCTCGAGATATCGGAAGTCGGCTTTGTAGGCGGTGTGGGTAGCAACAGCAGCAGCGCGCGGCGGGTGGACAGCACACCGAAATCTACATCCACGCCGTCCCAGTCCTTCACCACGCCCAATCGGACCAGCGGCGCAGACGGACTGTCATCACGCCCGTATGGCCCGACGAGCGCAAAGCGTCCTGCCCCGGCCGTCATCGACCTCACAATCTCGTCCGACGAGGATGACGAGCCCGACCGACGGCCTGCCAAGAGGCAGAATAGGGGGACGAATGGGTATTCTGGCAACATGGATTTCCTAGCAGATGCTACATTTTGAGGAAGAGGGGGTGCTCATGATAGATGAGCTCGAGAGGATTGTGGTATATGGTACTATTAAACCTCATGAATAACAAGTCTCGTGAATGACAAGCCTCATAATAATTTGTTTGTAAAAAAAAAAAATTTCCCCTTCTTCATCGCCTTGATTTCTCTTGTTTCTTTTCCTGCTTCCAGGGGGCGTTGGAGGAAAAGGAAATGAAGAACACAGCTGATTCTTTTTTTATCAGGTTCATGTTTTTCCTTTCTCACGGTAATAAAATCTGAATACTATTAATTCACAATATGCTACTACTGCTAGCATTGGTGGATTTCCTCCCCAAAATCCAAAACAAGATTCATCAAGTTGACAGGTGCGGTCCCTTGAAGAACAAAACACGTGTGATGGAAGAAAGGGAGGGGAGAAAAAGGTCAATTGTATTTCTCAACAATCATACCCGACACTGGGCATAATCCTGGATTTTGAGATACATGTCCAAACATTAAAGTCCTTCTTTGTTTTTCTTCTTTCTTCTTCTTTGCTTTCCTACCCTCTCTCATTCTCTTTTGTCTACAACATTCCCTGTTGCCCCCTCCCCCGTTCCCTTTAGATGACTCCTCGGCTGCCACCTACCTCATCTATGAAGTCACTACACAGTCACATACACTACGTACGAGTAGTTCTCGTCACCAATTCAAGACTGGTACTAATACGTACGAGTTGGTGCTGGAAAGTACGAGGAAGTGTAGTGTAATAAAGTACGGGCACTCAAATAAGTGGAGAATGTGGGAAGGTTTCCCTTCTTTTTCTCTCCAACTCGGCTCAGCCAAATATCACGGACTATAAAGGGGGGAGGGGGAGGAAGCCACTTGATGCTGTTGAGCTCCACATTCGGCGTTGCCGTGGTGGGGATTGGTTTCTTCTTCTTGTAATCTTTTATTTTTATTTTTCATATTTCATTCCATCTTCTTTCGTTTGGCTGGATTTGTATCTTTTTCCGGGACTGTTATTCTCCAAGAAAAGTACCTGTAAAAGTTGATGCCTTGCAGGCCAAACGGATCCGGTGGTTCTTTCATGACCCGGTTATCGACCTGACTAAATGCTGAGACTCGACACGATTCGTTTGGTCTTTGATCTCGATTTGACATGTCAGATACTCACTTATTGTGGCTAGCAACTAGTTGTTGCTTAGAAGAGAAAAGCACTATTTACTACTACTAGCAAGTGGAAATATGAACAAGCATTTACTATTCCTACTGCTCTCATCAATACACCTCTCCACATTACATCAACGTAGCGGACCTCGTACATTGTCCGAAAGAAGTAGATATGAAAGATAGAAGAGAAAGAAAAAGAAGGTGGAAAAAAAAAGAACATATCTCTACAACCTGTTCTGCATCATCGAATTGGTCCGACGCCAAAAGGTAGCAACTCATAGTAGCCCGATCTTCCGGTTGTATTGGCCTGACCTTTGGCTGGATTGGCCTGACCATTGATTAGTCTGGCGTGACTTGAATCTTGGCTCGACTCGGCTAGTTTGGCCAAACCGCTAAGAGGGCTGTACTACTCCGGATAGCAGATACTACTCGTGCTAAGTAATGGTGGTGGTGTAGACAGTTGGGGAAACATCTCCGCGGATAGTATCTAGCTAGCTTGTAAGAAAAAATGTGCATTATATTGTGTATGGATAGATAGTATATCCATACATGATACGGAGCAGTAGTATTAGTAGTGGTGGTGGTGGTAGTAGTAGTGATAGTTTGGCATCGAAGAATGACTAAAAAGACGAAAACGAACGCGGTCGACACAAAAAAATACATATACAAAGGCAATGCAGGTGAAAGTAAAGTAAGTAAAGAATGGTATCATTTCCTTCCATCCTCGCAGCCACCGTTCCCGCCAGGGATTGTATAGTAGCAACACAAGTAACCAAGAAGAAACCAAAGAGACATAAAGAAAACCACCAAAAACAAGGCCAAGCAACCGAAGGAGTAAACCTGGAAAGAAGGCAGGGGGGGGGGGGGGGGGGGGGGGGGGGGGGGGGGGGGGGGGGGAGAGAAAAGAAAAGAAAACATAGAGCCAAAGCCAAAACACCAGTACCAGTTACAATCCCATGATCCATCTTTCTGTGCCAGGTCCTGTCCCGTCATGTAAAATCCCGGCTGCATGTAACCCATGACATGACCCATTTTCCTGCGCCCATATACCGTGGACGCCGATAACACCATGACCATCTGTGAAGATTGTAGTCTAATGATTATAATAAGAGCTTAGAGAACAAAAACCCAGTGATGAAAAGCAGACTAACGAAAACCAGATAGGCTGAGACAAAAAGAATGAAACTCTCAAAAAGTTAGGAGTGAAGAGAACAAGAAGGATAGCAAGAGAGAGCTTGTCCCTCGCCGAGCAGGAAAGGGAAGCCATCAGCGTGAGTGAGTGGATGCAGAAAAGGCTCAGTTCCAGATATTGGCGTTGGGCATGCCACCACTAGTGATAAAGTCGGAAGCAGAAGGAATCGTCTGCGTGGGGTGCGACTGGCTCACGTAGTCCATGTCGAGCGGCGAAGTGTGGTCGGCGTAGCTCACCGAAGGACGGGGAGCAAAGGACGCAGATGACGGCGTCGGCGGCGCCTGGGGCGTATAGTCGGGATCGGGCTTCCCCTGGTAAATGTAGTCGGCTTGCTGCTGGTGAGGGTCGAAGCTGGAGACGGCACTGCTGCCACCCAGGCTCCCGTGGTTGTCGTACTGGTGATGGTCTGCAGGGTGGGGAAGAGGCAGCTGGTGATCGGCCGGGTGAGGCTGCTGGTGGTGCTGGGGAAGAGAGTGGTGGTGCTGGTGATGGGGATGCGCGAATGCCATCGGCTGAGGGTGCGTGCCAAAGGCCGGCGTCGCCGACTCATAAGATGGTTGGTGCTGGCCCATGGACATGTTGAGGCCATGGGGGACCATACCCGAGGCCGGCGGGGGTGCATAGCCGTCAAATGTTGGTGAGAAGGCTGGCATGTTGGGCACCGAGCCAGGCACTGGCGGCATGCCGTTGGACGGATCGGAACTGTGCGGGATGGCGACGTAGCCGCCAGTTACATAGGTTTTTCCGTCCGCGCCCTTGTACTCGAATTCACTGATTGCGGTGCGGAAGGTCTGGGCAAAGAGCAGCTCCTCGCGGACGTGCAGCTTGCACAATATGGGGTCGTGGGTGGGAGAGTTTAGGCGACCGCTCATAGCATCGTCGATCGTGTAGTAGCTGACCAAGTGATGGCTGATACCCTGAAACTTGACGCTGATAGTCTTCTTGACCAAGCCATCGTCCTTGAAGTCGTATGAGTCGGTCAAGGAGCCGACGAGCTCACGGATGGGGTCCTTGGGGTCGGATCCGTTGGGCATACCAGGGAGACCTGGAGTCGTCCTCTGGGAGTCCGAGGAGAAGGGATTTACTCCCATGGGACCATGCATGAGGGAGCCATTGATGAAGGGAGAACCACCTAGATGGGTCTCGCCCATGGCCGACGAGATGCTGAGGCGTGCCGACGACGGGGGCGTGGTGGTAGATTGCAATGGCTTAGCGATGCCACCGCTGACAGAGGAGCGCTTGCTGACAGGCTTCTTGAGGGCGCGCTTCTTCTCGCCAGGGGCGACAGCCTGGTCGAGCTCGCGGTAGACGAGGAAGTTGCCGAGGATACGGCTGGGGCTCCAAGTGATGCCGTCGGTCCAACGCTTGATACCAGACGACTGCTCCTCGTAGATGAAGACGTTGCCGCTGCGGATGAGCTCGGGACGCTCGCGGTCGTGAGGGCGGCGCGAGACATGGCTGAGCTTACCAGATAAGCAGGCTTCAAACAACAACAGAGCGTCAAGCGTCTCGACGACGATGCCCTGGTAAGTTGGCACCAGAGTCTCAGGTGCAGACATGGTTTCTTGTCTCTTGCGGGGTTCGTGCGAGTTGATGATGCTGATAGGTTGCACTCGACAACAAGAGACTCAGAGGGCACGAGGCTCACAGTTCGAGATGGCGTCTGGCTCGGCGCGACGTTTAAAAAAAAGCAAAGAGAACAAGGGTAGTGATATGGTTGCCAAGGGTTTTGTCTATGGAAGGAAAAAAGGGATAGAGAGAAGGTATAGTGAGAAATGATAGTACCGTGAGTGGCTACTTTCTGATGATGATGATGGCGGAAGCGATGGCGGGCCGCTTGGGTGATGATGACGGGGAATATCTGTCGGTGCTACCGCGCGTGGTGGTAGATGATGGTGCTGAGAAGGAGAGAGTATAGATCGGGTCAAGGTGAAAAAAAAATATAGACTTGGGTCCAGGAACAAGAAGGTAAAGAGGAAACCGTAAAATATAGATGGAAAGAAACAGCAGGAGCAGCAGCGAGGTCGGTCAGAGCAGCAGAGTAAGAGAGTTTATGCGGACAACTTGCGTTGGGCTTCGGAAAGCGCTTCTTTGGTGGCGGCACGCCCGTGGCGTATGTCGGGGGGGGGGGGGGGGTTTGTTTCTTTCTGCTGTATGAACTCTCTCCTCTTTCTGTAGCTCTCTCTCTCTCTCTCTCTCTATTTCTCCTCTCTTTACTGGCGAGGTTGATGTCGAGTCACTCAAAACAGTGGCTCATTTGTTTTGGGTTCACCGACAATATTTGGCTGATATGACGAGGTCGGATGAAGATGTAAAGATAGTCGCAATTTAGAGGGAAGGAGGGGAGAAGGGGAGTGAGGTTAAATGAGAGGGAGGTTAAATGGATTTATGAAGGAAGGAAGGAGGGGAGGAGAAAGATGATTCAAGGTGGGGGGGAAGGAAAAGAAGGAAAGAGCAATTGAGGAAAGGAAAGGAAGGAACGAGAGGACTAAGAAAAAAATACAAAGATAAAGTATACAAGGGGAATTGGTGTTAAATTCCTTGTTGTCCCTCTCTCCCTCTCTCTCCCTCTCTCTCTCTTTCTTGCTGATTCTTGAGATTGAATTGAAGTAAAGAGAAGAGAGAAGGTAGCAGAGAGGGACCCGGCGTATTGAGGCCCTCAGGAGCTGTTCGGCTGTCCGCAGTTGGTGGTTCCGGTACCGTGGTGGGGATCTTTTGGGGCCTTAGCCGGCAGCGGCGTTCCACTTCCGCTTTACCTGTTGTATCTCGTACTTTATTTTTTTTCCAGTATGGCTCTCCTTCTCTATCTAGATACTTTTAGTACGTGTATTCCTTTCTCTCTCTCCCCCCTCTCTCTCTATTTGTCTCTTGCTTTCTATTACCATTACTCTCTTTTCTTCCTCCCCCCCCCTTCTCTCTCTCTCTCTCTGCACACCTCCCCTCCCTCCTTTTCCCCTCGATCGATTTTTGCGCAAGCGACTATCAAGCCTCCATCATGGCATGCACGGCATGGCATCTGGTGCAAAAAAAAAAAAAAAAAAAAAAAAAAAAATTTAAAGGGACCCACACCCCATTGGTACTCCGTAAAAAATCGACCGTCGCCTCTTTTTTTTCTCTTATTTTTTATGTCCTAACTAATAATATTTATTTTTTTCCTTTTTCTTTCACTAAAATACTTCTGATATTTTATTTTGTCCTATTTTCTACCTTACTACCTTCTCGGGTCACGGAGTGCTGAACATCATCTCCACTATGTACGCGAGTACTTTGTACAGCTGACCAATGGAATGGCTATGCGTATTTGTACATGGAACAATACTTCGTTAACACATATCACCCCTACGAGCTGCTTTCGTACTTTCATCATCATCTCATCAATTGAGCCCTTCAATTGCCCTTGAAAGAAGAAGATAGGAGAAAAGAGAGGAGGAGAGGAAGCAGGTGACCTAGGGCCTGATGAATTTTTCTGCCTCCCTCTCCCTAATAGTTGCCAAGTGGCAATCAGTGGTGGCTGAGGATGGCCGGCGCCACCACCATCACCATGAGAGCCAAGCTCAGCCATCCAAGCCCAGCCAACCAGCCAGGAGAGCTTCTTTGGTGACATGCGGCTCTCTCACCTTGACCAGTGTTAGCAGTACGACGTATCTGCCCTTTAGTCTGTATGGAGGTATGTACAGTGGTACTAGCAAGGGGAGAGGAGGGGGGAGGGGCGGAGTCGATGGACTGGCTGCATGCACGTTTGCATATGTATGTCGTCGCCAGTTTCCGTGGGCAGCTAGTATTACAGAGTGATAATATATACCTTGCAAGCACGTTTGGGTGGTATCCGGTACTTTTCCTCCTTAGTACGAGTACATGGTCCGACCTGTACTCTCTAGTATCTTTTATCACCAGAGAACTACCATCCGTACTGCTGCTAACTGCTATTCATACCACGTCGAAGAGTTACTCAGAGTCCCTTGTTGGTAATGTACAGGTATGGAGCACAGAACAACCTACATGTACTCGTACTCGTACGTACGTACCAAAGGCCCTCGAGGAACCTGGCAGCCCATCAGAATACGACGTTGGCAAGCCTGGGCCTGGAAAAGGGAAGCCAGGGAACCCTTGGGAGACGTCTGAGACACACAATCACACCACATGTACAAAACACCAACAGGAGAGAAGGAGAAAGAGACCAAAAAAGGTACGAAGAGTATCAGCCATTGCAGCCAGATCCTCTACCCAAGTGATGCTGACTCATCCCGGTGCTTCCCGTTGACGAGTTCAATCGTAATAGACTGCAACTTAGACTTTCCCTCTCTCTCTCACTCTCTCAACTTACCTATGCCCTTTTTCTTCTCCTTCTTCTTTTCTTCACGCTGGAGTGTGACAAAAGTACATGGTGTACGTGAGGCCGCCTTCCCACCATCCCCCCAATGTCATCCCATCCCATCTCATCCCATCCCATCTCATCCCATCCTATCCCATCCTATCCTATCCCATCCTATCACTAATAAACGATAGCTAGTGGCCCTCTGCGAAGCTACGAGTACCCCGTAGATCGAGTAAGAGCAGTAGGTCATTTCTGGTTAATGAGTTCCTTTATCCAACCCACCTGCCCACCATCAGCTAGGCAACGGTCCAGCTTCTACTAACACACAAAATGTCCCCCTCCTATCTCTCTACGGCTCCCTCCCTCTTACTTCCGCCCGCACACGGGACACCCGTGTATGGGAACAGCTCCGGCCCAGATAAAAAGAGGACGGTGGAGGGGTTGGTGGGGATGAGATGGGTTGGTCTCCTCCCCCCCCAGGAATGTGGACCAACCAACTCACCTACTACTGGGTAGTTAGAAGGGTCGAGACCTGAACAGGGCTCGTGCATAGGTAACGAGTGCGTCAACACAGAGTATTTTATCTTGCTCTTATTAAAAGAGGTGCGTATGTGTCTATGTACTTTTCCTTTTTCCTTTTTCTTTCCTTTCCCTTTCCTTTCTTTCTTTTTTCTCTCTTTTGTTGCAATGCCGAGCCGTTTCGTCACCATGTACCGAGCATTGTGTCAATCGGTTCAATGGTGGGATCAATCGTTTCCACACAAACCCGTACACTGAGAGAAAAGGGAAGAGAGAGAGAGAAAGAGAGGGGGGTGGGGTTAGCAGAGCTCAGTTGGGGGTAGAGAATAGGGAAGGAGAGAGAGAGAAGGCGGGGGGGGGGGAGGATCGATGGACAGATTGGGCGCAATGGCCTGCAGAGAGTCGGTATAACACCTTGTATAGATACCTGTAAACAATTAAGAGGTTGTCTCTACGGTAAAGTACTGAATACATGCACGTGCTCTCTGACCCAGTCATGAAGCTGTCCGTCCTCTTCAACTTACAGACTGCAGCGCAAATACTTACATGCGGCAGTGGAAACGAATAAAAAAAGAGGCATACATTGTCTCCTTGACTTTGCAGCGCATGAGGAAAGAGGAAATGTCTCTTGCTTGTGAATTCTGTACTATTACTCCACGATGAATTACGATGCATTCATAATTTCAATTGCACATACAAGTACGCAGTATTAACATGCATCACAACACACACAATTGTCAACTCGATCTGCATACACATTCATCCACTCACTCAATCACAACTAAATAACTACCTACCTATTGTCAGCTGCCATCCGAGTTTCTCCCCCCCCGTCCGTACTGTTCACCATACTAATCACCTCTTCTCAGCAACACACACACACTCTCTCTCTCTCTCTCTATTTGTATCTCCCTCTCTCACCCACCTTCTCTATATCCAATCAATTATGATCCATCCACAACTACTACATCGTGCTGTTATTTGTAAGCTGTAATGGGTCCCGTGTGAAGGAAACGCCACTCCATCACTACACGATACACATGACCTCTCTCTCTTCTTCCCACCATCCCCTTATCAACCAACCGCAAAGAGGGAGAAAAGAACGCCAAGTTTCTGCAAGGCACCGTTCTCTTTCCTGGTATCATTTTGCTTCACTGCCCTGCCATACTAAATGGCGGGTCTCCCTCTCCTTTATTACTTACAACGTACTAGTTTCCCTTCTCAAGCCTTAGCACTGCTATTACTAGTTTTTTTTCCTTTATTTTTTGGGTCTTTTTTTTTTCGTTAGTCCACACACACACACACAACCGTACTCGCCAGAGTAAGGCCTGTTTCTCTATCAGTCTTTTCGGTTCCCTCTCTTCTTTGCCAAGAAACGGCCATGTCCGCGAGAGAAAAAGGAGGGGCCTTGAAGCTTAGTGGCAAGTGCCAGCCTCCCTCACCCTCCCGTCCATGTCGAGGACACCAACCAACCTTGTCTTGTTAGTTCTCCGTCTCTCTAGTTTCATCCCTGTATCATCGAAATACATTAGAAAATGATGAGAGATAGAGAGAGTGTGTGTGTGCGTGTGTGTGTGTGCGTGTGTGTGTGTGTGTGTGTGTGTGCGTGTGTGTTTGTCCATCACGATATCGATGAAGTCGGACTTGTGTAACAGATCAGACTCCTTCACCAATTCTCTCAAACAGGTAACTATACATTCCTCCATCCACAAACCAATTCCGGAACAAGTCTTTTTGAGGAGGCCAGGTTTGCCGTACCAGTGTTCTCACTTGTTAATTTTTGTAAGCAGTAATGATCACCATCATGGTGCACGCAAGCGTTTTTCAATCCAGAGCCCTTTTCAATCAGACGTGTCAGGAAAGGCATTAGATGCGAATCACTAGTCAACAGATACTCGATTACCTAATTACTTCTACGGGGTTACTCTCGTACTCGTAGAATGGAAAGGATCGGATTTCAGAAGAGGCAAAGACCCGGTCGCGCCAAGATGATGATCATTTTTGCCAAGATCAGCTTAATGCGGATCTCGGATCGGCCTTTTTTCTCCGCGGTAGATCCTTTTTCTTTTTTTCGTAGGCTATAGGCTGTAGGCTGTAGCCTTACCAGCTCTCAACAGTCAAGAACTGGGGATTATGCAATTCCCCTCACAGTAGATCATCTATTACACATCTTTGAGGGAAAAAAGAAGGGACATTTTTCAAACTCTTCTTCTCCCACCTACTATGTTGATCCTGTTCGTTGTTGTCCTAAACCAAACACACACGCACACACGCACAAGCTATCATCAACACGTGCGGTATTACTCCTCTGTATGTAGTATCAATTACCGTGTTTTATATGGGTTACCTGGGAAAACGAAAGTTAGGCTCGGAATGCTCTTCACAGGGATCACCCAGGCTTCTTTTCTTGCCTCTCCCTATTGCCCTTGTAATAAAATGGCCCTCTCAAGAATTTGGAAAGAGACAGATAGACTTGTTCAGATGCTTTCCATCCAGCCAAAATCAGGCTTTGGGAGAAATAATTTCGTTTTGGCCATGGGGGACGGGAGGGCCCTGTCTAGTGAGACATCCTCGCCGCAATGCCCATGCCACCCTCGTGATTCACCTCCCTCCCCCAGTAAAACGTTGACGGGTGTTGATCCGGGACCGCTGTATTCTGTACCTTTATGAATGTAGGTACGGATACACGTATATCTTGACGATCAAGGAGGAGAGGACATTGATAGCTCTCGATGAGGACAAATTGCTTTTTTTTAAAAAAAAAGCTAAAGGATGCTTAATCCATATCAACAGTCAGTGCGAGTATGCCTTTTTGTTTTTCTTAAAAGCCTTCCTGTGTTGAGTACAGTCTTGGTATGTGTGTGTTTCTATGCCGTCTGCCGGAAGCGTCACTTCTTGGCATCACCATCACGTACGCAGTAGGGGAGAAGAGAGAGAGAAGTAATATATGACGGCAGTAGAAGAAAAGCAGTACGGGACGTTCCTCTCTCCGATGAAGATCTTCAGCTCTTTCCCGCGTAAAACCATGGCTCCTCATCCGGCCCATATTGTCTTCCAGGGACTCTCATCGGCACAGGCACCGGCACCGGCACACCACCTCTTGTAAACGTGCTCGTCCAGTCTTGTCCTGCAGAGCTATTGACAGAACCATCTGTGCGGACGGGGCCAATTGGAATCACCACCCCACACTCCCAGTTGCGGCAGCTCATCTTCGGCTTTCCCGTCTTACTATCCTTGACCAGACGACCCCTATGTCAAGTTGTTAGCGTTCTGAGTCTCTTGTTTTTATGTCGCTTGTCTCTCGCTCTCCCTCTTCTTATTCTTTTCCGTCTTCTTCTTCTCCCACTGCTGCCCATCCTCGCAAGAGAGAGGAACGCATGACACGCTTGCGGACCTGCCACGCAAGCATTCCTCCCCCCCCCCTTCTTCCAGGCCCTCGAATGTATAACGCAGAGTAATAAAAAAGAGAGGGAAAGAAAAACTAAAATGGAACCCAACTGCAACGTACCATGCGCTTTCAGATAGATTGGCGCTCCCCACGTATGCCCAAGCCTTCTTGCCCCCTGATGATGCACTATTGGTACCGCTGCCGCCGCCAGCGCCGTCATCTGAGGTGGGTCCGGGGTCTGCCGAGAAGAACGACGACGACGACGATGACGACGACGGACGGACAAACATCATCTTAGAGTGCAGCAATAGTCCGTCCCGGACATTCTCGCAATCCCGTACCAGACCGGTGGGGAAGCTAGGTGATCGCCACCACCTGGCGTGCACGCAAATCGTGCCCGCAGCCTAGAGGAAAAGAGAAGGCCATCTCCTGGTTAGCGCGCGCCATCCCCAACACAAGTCCGCCTATCCCATCCATGGACCATGGCACTATAGTACTATAGGACTAGACACTACTAGCAGCTCACGGAGTGCACGGTATGGATGCTCTCCATGTAGCAGTACGCCATAGCACTTGCTGTTGCGTATACCGTGCTCCGTAATACTCGTTTAAGTAGACAGAGAAAGTAGGAGGGTCAACAAAGTAGAGGGGGGCGGGGGGGGCGAGCAAGACCCGCCGCCGCCGACGCCAGTATGACTCCCTCTCCTTACCCTTGTGGGCTCGTGGCCTCGTACTCTCTGTATATGACCCTCGCTTCCTCGTATGTCGATTACGAGCACTCTCATGGCTTTGGTGTTTGGGGGCCGGACAACTCACTCCTCTTCCGCCTCGGCTTTTGGCCACGGTTGTTTCGGCCGGGAAGTAGATTCGAACGTGATCCTGTAGTTGCTGGGGTAGCACGTCTGCCGGCATTTTCTGTCCCCTCTTTCGAGATGTCCTCTCGTTATACTCCTTCATGCCATTATCTCCTATTTCCCTCTGGCGTTAACACGTTCACACACACATACACACACAAAAAAAAGGATTGAAGGTCATTCTCTATAGAGGCCAGTAGCCAGTCAAAAAGAAAAAGCAGCGGGGAAGTCCTTTTAGACATACCTTGACATGCGTTATATATGGCCCCAATGAGGTCCCGGTTGATGGACCCCAACGAAGCAGCCTGCAATTGTATCGTATGTCAGTCGCCTCCAGTACGACAATACTAGAACATGCTCCGTACACTAACAAGTGTCCCGGCCCTATCGACCAACCCCCCCGCGCGCCTCTTCGAGACAGAAGGAGAGAGAACATACCACAATGTCGACGTCGACGGCGCCAGTACTAGTGGCCAGCCCAAGTACAGCCACAGTGTCTCCAAGCCCACAGTAGCCTACAACGCTAACAGCCTCAGCTACTATTCCCATCCGGTCCGTAGGAGAAGGGAGATGACATCGGCGTGTGTTGCAGCTCACACGCAATGCAACGTAAACCCGACGCTAACATGTACTGACCTGTCCTTCTCCGCAGCTCGTCCGTGTGACTGCCTGGTCTGATGGTGGTGGTCAGCTCCGTTGAATGTCTCTCCGCTGGATCTTCTTTTGTATCATCGGCCATCCAAAGTCACATACATGGTGTATACAAAGCCTAGATTGGCCGTCCGTGTAAAGTCGTAGCGCGAGAGACTCTGTATCATGTTGTCATCTATACCCGCAGCGCGCAGGAACCGGCTCAGCTCGGTGAAAAAGCCTGTCGGTTGCTGCTGCTGTTGCTGCTCACGATTCTTGTGGCTGGTCTCGGACAAAAGGGGTAGGTCGATTAAAAACACCATCTATATGGAAGGATTGACTCATCAGCTCATGTCTTCTTTCTGTCACTCTAACTTGTTGGGGGTGGGGGGAGGGATCCGGTAACCCCCCCTCTCACGAGCAGATGAAGACCAGGAGAGGAAATTAAACCAACGTTCTCCATGACCCCCGTCTCTCCCCAGTCATAGGACACCAGGTTACCCGTAGGCACCACGATTCGCAGACTACCAGGATACTTGAGAAGTTGCAGCTTGGAATGCATGGCTCCACGCCCGCTCATGGGCGGGAAGCAAAAACGCACGTTTGGCGGGGCGTTGGCTTGCATGGCGGTTTTCTTTCGATGAAGCGCATGTCAGTCAGTAGCCTCTTGCATCAGAGGGGTGGGGGGAATTTGGTTGCATCCCCCCCTCCCCGTTAAGTTAATGAAGGGTGCGTTCCCCCCCCCCCCTTCCCTTGGGATGTCTGCATTTCAAGTGTACGTACCTGGTCCTGGTCCGCTGCATATGCTACAAGGAGTAGCCTGGTCCTCAGCATGTCCACCTTGGACATGAGCCATTCGTCGTCCCACTGGAAGGACGACAGGACAGCCAGCTCCAGCTGGTCTCTCTGCAGCACCTCCTCGATCTTGATGTCGTCCTCTGTCCTGGGGTACCCGTAGGCCCACGTCTTCTTGACGGCACCGTCGCGAAACTGCATGAGCGATCCCCGCTTGGCCGTCGATGACCATGTGCTCACAACCCGTTCTGTACTCATCCTTGCTGTTGCTTCTCCTCCTCCTCCTCCCCCTCCTGCTGGCACTTCTGCCTTGATTTTCGCAGCCGTTGTCTTATTTGATGTTGCTGCTGCTGCCGTTACTGCTGCCGCTGCTTCTACAGCTAATGCTGCCCTCTTTGCTGCCGGGGGTCCTACTTCGACTACCTCGTCGTCGTCGTCGTCGTCTGCAGTCCAGGGTCTTTTGGCCGCCAGTCTCTTGAGTCGTTGCTCCTCCATGGCTTTGCGGTCCAGGACCAGAGATCCAAACGTAGTCGTGTTTGCTCCGGGCAGGTCCCCTGTCGACTTCTTGTCCTCCGATATCTCTGTCACTTTACTCTTATCCGGTGCATCCTGCGGAGCCCCCTGTTCATCCTGGAGGGACAGGGCAATGGCGTACCGTAGAGCCTCATCGTCGTCAGCGTCGCTAGACAGCTCGGGCACGTCTTGGCCAGCCATATTTTCTGCTTGCTTAGGGCTCTATCCTGAATGTTGGGTGGACTTTGGCCTCTCTGCTCTTTCACTTTTTGCAAAGCACGTAGAACAGGGAGTCGGAGATTCTAGAAATGAAACATTGCGGACTCTGAAATGGAAGACGTGACGACACACGTCCGACGTCAGGACGCACGCGCTCTCACGTGTCTCCAAGCAGGGGTGTAGGGGCGTGCTCACTTTTGGCGGGGCAAGCTTTTGGCGAGGAGAGGGACAAACATGGCCGACCTGATATTGGGTGACCTACGTTATTCACCTCTCACCCGCACTCCCGGCGGGTACATTTCTAGCACTCCAGGAATGTTCTATGTCATTGATTAATATGCTCTCTGCTTCCAAGAATCGAGCAAATCATCCATCGTAGTTAAATCTAAATGATTAGCATCGAAGTGGCAAAAGTATTTCAGATGGAGAAGATGGATAAGTGGTAAATTGAGCTTAAGTATTATTGCGCGGCAAGGCCATGTTAAACGCGCAAGCACAGAATATCTCCTCTAAGCGAGGACAAAGGACGGTATCCATCGCCCGGTCACCCGATTCTCCAAAAAGTGTTTCTAACTAAAAAAGGCACTTGGAGGGGAAAAAAACAAACCCCTCCAGCCCAAACCAGTACGCTTGCCAGGCCTCCCATCAAGCTCCATATTCCAGGGCTCCCAAATGCACCCATATAACAGAAAGCAAAGCAACAAAAACAAGTATAAAGCAGAAAAAGGGAAATAGAGAAAAGAAAGGAAGGAAGTAATTCTTTCAGACGCTAAAAAGCCAAGAGGAAAGGATATCAACAGACATAAGATAGTACCAGTTACCCTACTCCTGACGTCTCCCTCGATGGTCTTCCAAACGCTGTTCCCCAGTCCATGTTGCAAAATATAAGAAGCACCATAAATCATTCGGGGTGCAGCTGTAGGTACGAAGGAGGTGTTGTCGCTTTATATATAAATGAATGATTACTGAAACAGAAGAAAAGACGCTTCTTTGCAGCGGACAAGGGCATTCGTCGCATTTGGTCTGGTTTGGCGTCGTTGTTGAATGAGATGTATAAAAGAAATTTGAAAAGGAGGGTGATGTGTGGTATTATTTCATGGGAAGAAAAGGAGATGGTGTGGTTATCTTGATGAGATTGCTGCCTGAGTGTGCAACTGGTGACAAGTCGCTTTCAGCCAAGCTAATGCATAAACAACCTCCGCTCGGTATTGGCAGAAGGAGGCCCAGCGTCCAGCCTAAGGATGCGTCGTAGGTCGTTCTCCATAGCCTGGAGGTTGCCCCCCTGCGATGCTGAATGTGCGGGCGGCGGTCCTTGGTTAGCGGCACGAGTAGGCGGGGACTGATGGACGGCTGGGAATGGGGCACGCTGGAGCGTGGCATGATTAATGTGACGGCCAGGGGCTGGCGCCGGCGAAGACTGGAGGTTTCCACCAAACAGGAACCTCTTGAGGGCCTCGGAGGGGTCCTCGGAAGAAGGGGAAGCACTGTTCTGCTCTTGTCCCCCAGGGCGGCCGCTCTGACTAGGTCGTGCAGCCTTGATGCGGTCTCGGTAGGGCGTGGAGAAGGCAGGGCCCATTGGCTGCTGGCGGTAGTCACGCCCAAGCTCGTCGTCGTCTATGCCACCCATATGGTGCGCCTGCCTAGCGAATGGGTCGTGATGGCGCATATGTGGCATCGACATGGATCCTCTATGGAAACCGGCCAAGACAGAAGGAGACTCATTAGATGACGGGGTGGTCATGGGGGGAGCGGACTGCTGCTGCTGCTGGCCACTGGGACCGTTGTAACGCTGACGCTCCTTTTCCTCGCGATGGGCCTTGAACATGAAGTCGAGGGGCGAATCACTGGCACCGAGGCCAGTGAGGCGACGCTGCGGAGTAGGGACATCTGTGTCGGTAGCCGGCGGGGACGGCTGCTGGGGGAACGACTGGTGGTGGCCATGGGCGCCGTAGACGGCTGCCTTGGAGGCGGGCGATTCTGTAGGAGTAACGGAGCCTTTGGAGACGAAGCTGGGCATAGGGAGGGCCGAGGGCGCGGGAGAAGCATGGAAGGTAGCGCCGGCATAGGCAATGGCATTGGAGACGGAGGCAGGAGCGACAGATCGCGACGGCGTGTTGCGATAATGAGAATTCATGGCTGGCTGGTCCGGCTCGGGAGACGTTGACGCTGCCACGTTATTGTTATTATTTTTCCTAGCTGACTTTGTCCTGGGACGCTGTCTGGAATTATTGCCATGATTGTTCTTGTCGGGTGTCTGCGGGGTGGTGTCGGGACGTGAGACATTGACGAGGCCCGCGTCATTCTCTGAGGCGTAAGATTTCTGTGCTCCATTTCGGCCTCCATTCCTGCCCTGACGTCGGCGGTTAGGCGTCGGCTTTGGCTGAGCCGGCGATGGCTCCTCGCTCATTCTGGCGGTGGTGGCGGCAGGACGTTGCGTGTGCTAGTAAAACGTAGAAGATGATGGCGATGATAATGGTTGCCCGGAGGTCTGTCTGTCTGGAGCGCTGGTGGCGCTGGGTAGAGCAAGGAAGCGTGAAAAGATAATGTCTGATGGTAGTTTACTTGGACCGGCGTGATGGAAGCAACCATGATGCGCGCGCTCTGCGACAAAAAGGTGGGATGGGCTTTGTCGATTGTAGGGAACGAACACGAACAACGAAAAGTAGTAGTCCGAAGAGGTTGGCGGCTGGCGGCTGGCGGCTGGCAGACGACCAACGGAGGAAGAGGGGATGGGGATCCTCGCACGTAGGGGAACAAAGGTGGATAACGGCGCAGGCCGACGTCAGTCAGCTTGTTTAGACCTGATCCAGGCAGAATGGTAAAGCAAACAAGGACTTCCCAACTGCCAACAGTGATAGCAGTAGCAATAGGCAAGACAATCACAACAGCCAGTAGCAACAGCAGGAGAAAGGGCAATACGGCGATGCGGCGGGCGGCAGGTGGCAATCACCTTTTGGAGTGGCTTCACTGTTGGTCGCCGACCTTGCACTGTCCTGCACAGTCTTTTGATACTGTGTGGCTTGATGGGCCATGATATACATGTGTACTGTGCATAAACACCGTGTGCTGCCCTACAACTTTTTTATTAGCTCCTTATTTTGAAATGAGAAAACATCTAGTATTGTACTCATTGCTCTTAGCAAAGAACAAAGGACGAGAGAGAGCATTAATGAGACCGACGAAGACAAGATAAAGACCTCCCTTGGTCGCCACGGTCTGTCGACTTATCAAGGCACCAATCGCCACCTAATGTGTCACAAACCAGTCAGCCCAACCCACGTCAATGCACGAGGTTCACTTTGCCCAGCTGACCGGTGGGTTGGCCAGGCACCAATCCAAAAGAAGCTGCATACGCATACATACATACACATAACCACTCTGTAAATGCGTCTGCGGTTGATGATAGGCGGGATTTGAAGTTGATAGTTGTGGCTGGTGCACTGGCACTGTGCACACGGTTGAAAACAGCTTATTAAGTCAGCATTTTGGTTAAGCCACACACTGGATTGGAAATTTCACCAAGTTATCTTTTGGCAGACAAGGAAATATAATGAATAGTCGGCACAGTAACAGTAATAGATATTCAATGAGAGCTGGTAGAGCATCATAATTGTATCGCTTCATATATTATCGGCGTATGCAGCGGACCATCAAGGGACGGGAGTGTTGCTTCCTGCCAACAGGCCAAACCGCTAAAACCAGCTGCTATGAGGTCGAGGTCAAGGTCAAACGGTGCGTAAGGTCCCGTCACCGTGGGACCACTTTGATCGCCGCCAGCTTTCAACAACCTCTTTGCACCGCATCGTCTTGATTCCGCACAGGATTTCCCACTTCTATTCCTCTACTTCTCCATAACACCGACCAACCTGTGCGGCTCCCTGTCACCGGTCGTCCCAGCCAACACCTGTACCCTTTTATTCTTCCGACACCCCCGCCCAACGGTTCCCCTCACCATGGCTGACGTTGAGATGAGCGACGCTCCCTCGGGCGCCAAGAAGTCGGACGCCGTCGAGGCGAGGAAGAAGTTTGAAGTAAAGAAGGTAGGCATATCTCCCTTGCATCCAGACTTCTGGGCTTGCAAGCTGACAGACCATAGTGGAATGCCGTTGCCCTCTGGGCTTGGGACATTGTCGTCGACAACTGCGCCATCTGCCGTAACCACATCATGGACCTGTGTACGTTACATATCCAAACCTTACGACTCCTTCTTATTCTCCCTAACACTAAGGAAACACAGGCATCGAGTGCCAGGCGAACCAGGCCTCAGCCACCAGTGAAGAATGCACAGTGGCGTGGGGCATTTGCAACGTAAGTATATTCTCTACTCTCATGCTCCCATCCTCTTTCTCTCTCTACTCTCTCTACAGCTGAGCTAACCTTTGTTCTCTTTTCCAGCACGCCTTTCACTTCCACTGCATTTCTCGTTGGCTCAAGGCCCGATCCGTCTGCCCGCTCGACAACCGCGACTGGGAGTTCCAAAAGTACGGCCGATAAATGACAAGCGTCCCCGAGATGCACCCCCCCCCCCCCCCAGCTATATTTTCCTTTTCGCAAAAAGGTTCTGGAGTTTTTGGTAGACACACATAACATATTTCCACGGCGGCTTTTCTTGTTGTTTTAGTTTTTCGGTTGCGGGAGGGAAGAGCGTTTCCCTTCATAATCATGTATAGCTCGCTCTCATGGTCGTTGTTTATTATCTTCCTCCATCATCCACCACACCACGCATAAGACATCGTCTATAATGTGGTCGTCCCATATCCAGCAGGAAGCCATTTCACCGGGTTTCGCTTGAAAAAGGGCCAGGGCGGTACGACAACGAGGAAGGTCAGGGCGGTGCCCGCCAGACCAATATACATGGCCAGCACGATATCTTGCTTGGCGTAGCCGATGTTGAGCGACAGCAACTAGCAATAGGCCCCGTGTTAGCTGAATCCAAGAACCAGTCTTTTTGTCTCCCCGTTTCTCTCTTCGCATTTTGTTTTGAAAGGGATGGTGTCATACTCCAGACAAAGCGAGAAGAACTGTCCCGATAACTTCACTACGTCTTTGGCCGTCGAAATCCTGTGACATTGTCGAGCTTTAGTGTGCTGCTTCTTAATTCTGGTAGCAATATATTAGGGTGGTGGTTTCCGTACGATCTCCCCCTCCACGACGTCGCGGACCTTGTCCAAAAGCTCGTCGGCCATGCTTTCTTGTGTTGTCTAGTATCGTTTTCGAATGAGTATCTGTGTCGATAGATTGCGCCGACGCTGTCGACGTCTCGCAAAACGTACGGGGGGTTCGTTAGTGATGCTGGGACACGTCGCGCGCATACGGGCTCTTGCAATACAATACGGGCACGTATCGTAGTGGTGTTCGTAGAGTGTGGACATGTAATCTGTACTCCGTACGGAGTAAGTAATATGTGTCAAGAGTAGAGACATACAATTATGATATTCACACTGTGTCCTGCTCCGTACTGCATAGCCAGTATGCACAGTATGGACTTTCGCACATGAATAATAATAAACTTGTCATTCTATTTATTAATGCTGTAGCTAGTAAGCTTCCACTGGTCCAGACTCCATCATGGCAATCGGCAATACTGTCGACCCCCCCCCCCCCTTCTAGGGTCTTTAAGACCTCTGGGGCTTCTATGGACGGAAGACGGGAGCATGTAAGCAATACATGGGGCTAAGTACGGTCTTTAGCAGTGATGCACCACCGTCCAAATAAGTACCTGCGCCGCATGGCTTATCACTGTCCAGCGATCATGGATACGCTTCCAGTAGACTCCAACCACTAGAAATCCACGGTTTACAGGCACCAAAATTGGTAGGTAACCGCCGACCACATGCAAAATTTTGTCCCGCCTTATTGACATAAAGTACTCGTACTACGGCGGCATTATCTCAGTATTAATGGCTATGAAATAACTAGACTAGGACAGGGTCAAAGTTTTTCATCTTTATCCCTTTTTCATCTTTTCATCTCACGAATCTTTCGTCCTTTCTTCCTTTACTCTTTCTCGAAGCTCTTTACGAGTACCATTCAAGCCATTTTTTTGCACGGATCGCGCGGAGGTAGTCCTGTTGATTCGCCCGTATCGCCACCCTCTCTCGACCGTTGGTCAAAATACCACCACCTCCTTGTGCACCCCGTCCGACATCCCCATCGCACTTTCCGAGAGCCCTTGCACTACATTCAAGGAGTGCGAGACGCCCTCACCGCTTGGATACTCCGTCAGCCGGATTCCCCATCAAAACCTTCAAGTTGGCTCGACTCGCCATCAACCACACAAACTACGCTTCGCTCCTTAGCCCAGGCTGCTGGGTTTATAGCGGAGTCGTCAGGAGACCCCCATAACTGGTCCTACTCCCACAACAAGCCCTCGACACTACACCATCCTTTCTCTCCAAGACTCCGGCCTAGTCTGGACCACGCCAGGCCACAGTCTTCACGTTGACACGATAAAGAGACTCGGCGCGCCTCTGCCGCGCCGGGTGCACAGAGCCCATTGAAAAATATACACTTTCGAATATGGTGACCCTTGACTAAATTCCACCACTTGCTTACGCTCACGGAGCGCTACGAAAGATTCTGCCTCTGCCCTCTCGCAAAAAGAAGAGAAGAAGAAACAAAAATAACCAACAGACTGTCGACTTGCTTTTCTACGCGACTTGCGAATAAGACCTCAAGAATTCCCCGCATGTCCCGAGACCTAGCTTCCAAGTCGCTATCGCAGCAATTGCCCAATATGTCTACCCACGAAGACATAATCGATTCCCCCAGTTACGATGCCCCGGTTCCTGAGCTCGACGACCACCGTCATCACTCGACCTCGTCACAGAAGGTTGAAAGACCCCGTCGCGGCACCTTTGACAGCCTCTACGGTCCTCGGCATGTCAACAACCAAGAGTCTACTAATCCCGAGATAGTCGTTCGCGACTTCGAGGAGGCCGTCATTGATGACGATGAAGGCGTCGATCCACTCTCGGAGAGGCGTTCCCGTCGGCCCACCTTCAACTCGACCAACGAGGGAGTCAAGCTCTCCCCGCCAAACTCGGTCAAGGCCTTTGCCGCGGCCCGCCGCCGCGAGAGGGAAATGTCCTTATCTGAGCCTGGTCCCGAGACCGAAGAAGGCCGCAGCCGGCCTCTATCCGTCTCGAGCCGTGGCAGCAAGCGGAGCTGGGCCCAAACGCTTGAGAAGGAAAACCGCAGTGTCATCACCAACAAAACGGCCGAGGAGGACGTCTGCTTCCCTCTCCAGGATGAGCACCGAAAACTGCGGCTCCGCATCGACTTTGACTTCCTCGAGAACTTCATGAAAGCCGAGCGGGCCGCCCGCGTCGAGAGCCGTGTCGATAGCCACGACGGCCAGATGGGTACCTTTGAGGACCTCCAGGCCCTGTCCGCCGGGGCACGCCGGACCCAAGTGTCGACCAACGATGGCGATATCCTCGAGATGCCATCGGACGAGTCAGTGTTGCAGGAGAAGGCTACCAACACAGAGCACGAGAAGCCCAAGGCCCAGCAATCGCACATGGACAACAACCGCTTCAGCTTCTTCTCGTCGGCCTGGGAGTCGACAATCCACGCGGCCGAGATGGCCGATCTCGTCCTCCCTGGTGAGGATCTCCGTGGTCTCTTCGAGCTACCCGAGGACGACGTCGACGGCGTCTGGTGGCTCAACTGCAACATGGGCACCAAGGAGGAGGTTCAGGGCATCTGCAAAGCTTTTGGCATCCACCCCCTGACCATTGAGGATATCATCACCCAGGAGGCGCGAGAGAAGATTGAGCTGTTCCCTTCGTACTACTTTGCCTGCTTCCGCTCCTTCAACGTTGTAGAGGAGCCCGATGGCAAGGAGTACGAGCCCTTCAATATTTACGTGGTGGTTTTCCGCGAGGGAACCCTGAGCTTTAGCTTTCACCCCAACTCACACGCCTCACAAGTCCGCAAACGCATCACAGCCCTCAAGGAATATGTTTCACTCAGCAGCGACTGGATCTGCTATGCTCTCATGTAAGGCCCCATCTTTCCGGGGATATATAATGGTAAGAAAGGCAAAGTAACGCTGACCCAAATCTATTAGCGACAACATTGTCGATACGTTCGGCCCCGTCATTCACCAGCTGGAGCTGGAGGCTGACGCCATCGAGGACGAGGTGTTTGTCATGCGAGACGACGACTCAGCCAAGTTCCTTCGATCCATCGGCCAAGCGCGCAAGAACTGCATGGCCCTCCTGCGCCTGCTGGGTGGCAAGGCTGACGTGCTCCGTGGCTTCACCAAGCGCTGCAACGAGAATTACCAAGTGACCCCTCGTATGGACATTGGCATGTACCTGGGCGACATCCAAGACCACGTCGTCACCATGGCCACCAATCTAGGCCACTTTGAGAAGATCCTGTCTCGCGCCCACAGCAACTACCTGGCTACACTATCCATCAACTCCATCTCCCAGGGCACCGACACGAACCGCGTCCTCAGCAAGATCACTTTGGTCGCGTCCATCCTCGTACCGCTCAACCTCATCAGCGGTGTCTTTGGCATGAATGTTCCCGTCCCATTTGCCGAATCGGGCAGCCTGGGGCCCTTTTTCGGTATCATTGCCGCCATGTGCTCCGTCTGCGCCATCATCTTTACCATTGCTCGATGCTACAAGTGGATCTAAACTACTTCATTCTTCTCTTTTTCTTATGTTTTCCTGTCTAGGGAGGTTCAATGTTTTCGTCGAGCGACATGCGCTGTAGGCTACTATCCTATCTCTTTGACATATGGGCAATATTCCCTTCTTTTCACCTACTTTATTTTTTTGGTTTGACGGTTTATTGGGCCATCTAGTCATTGCATTACTATGATTTGGGATATTCCACAGACATGGCGTTCTTTTTTTAATGGTTTACCCCTTTTCGCTAGAAATGTCGTTTGAAAATAGAATTATCTGGTTGGATTATTTTTAAAGTCTAGTTGATTTGTAAACTACTGGTATGATGAAATTGTATACATTTTAACAGTGACTCGCTGTACTCAATATGCTGTCTGTCCACTCTACTTATTTACGTTTTGTCCCATGTTTCTTGTTGCTGTATACTACGATGCTCGCCGCGATATCTGCCCACACCAAAATATCTAGTAGGAAAGAACATAGTCTCAAGCGTGCACAATCAGATTGTATAACACCATATAAGCACGATTTCAATATCAAAAAGAAGAAGGAAATGACCAAACATTGCACAATCCTTGCCCACTACTCAAAAGTGTTAATTAGGCCTATTTATTCCAACTAAAGAAATCAAAACCACTCGTAAGAAATCCAGATGGGACTACAGGGTAACTGAACTGCTTGCTGAGGTCAGCTTCCATAATACAATCACATGATTGGCTGCAGATCTCCTTGCGGATCTTGGAAGACAGACATTTTTGATCCCTAGGAGACAGCGAAGGAGCATCATCGAAACCGACCGACCTTCAACACAACCTCTCCAGCCAACTCAGCTCTTCCCATTCCTCCGAACACCAGGTCGTGCTATCTTTCTGTTCCCTCAAAGGACAATTCTCACAATACAACCAATATGAACACTGCCCAGTCTTCCCTCGACAACGTCGACCTGGACAAGCTCAACGACCAGGACAAGCAGGAGCTGCGTCAGTTCCTCAACAACCAGCAGCAGCGTTCACAGATCCAGTCCCGTATGATCTCCCTCTTCCCCTCCCATATTTCCTACTCACTCGACTTTACGGAGACCTCTTCCCTTTCACCGATTAACCCAATTGCGCACAGAGACTCACCAGCTCACCCAGATCTGCTGGACAAAGTGCGTCCCCGGCAGCATCAACGGCGCCAAGCTCGACAAGAACGAGGAGGGATGCCTGGCCAACTGTGTGAATCGGTTCATGGACCTCAATTTCCTTACTGTTAAGCACCTCAACTCGATGCGCAGCGGTTAAAAGATTACAGGGCCGAGGAATTCACCAACTCCTCTTTCTTAGGGACCGATATCTGAAAATAAGGAATAGGGCCATTATTACAATAACAAAATCAACATGTAAAAAAGAAGTCACGGATGGACGAGAAGGAAAGATGGAGCAAAAGAAAACTTGTTTCATCATAGAGGGTGAGAGTCGGCGCAAGGGGGAATATTTTTTTCTTTCGGATTTCCCTCCACTCTCCCCGGTGTATTTATACGATAGATGCCACGGAGATGTAGGAGACATGGCTTAATCCTGTAACTACTACTATTACCCTGTTTGAATATGTGTACCTTGTGCTGTGTGTATTGCTAAGTGACCTATCTAGGAAGAGTAGCCAATGCACAGTACGAAGGTATGTGCATCTAGTTACAAATCATTACAAAGTAGTGGTGATGATTCATTTCATGGTTGACATCGCTTAGGGGTTGTAGTACGTTCGGGTACAAGTTTTATACTGTCGGAATACCCGCAGCGGCTGGTGTCTTTTGGATTTCATCAAAATGTTTTTTCTTATCTCTCAAAAAATGACAAGCTCTAGTGCGCCTTTCTGTGTTTTTGCATTTCCGATGCCCCATGCTTTTTTTCTTTTTGAAGCCAAAGACCCTGACCGACCCGAATACACACTCGTAACAAACAAGATTTTGCCCCCTTTAGACAAAAATCATATTTAGACCAGGGACAGTTTGTTGGCGGCAATGTCGAGGGCGTCGACATCGGGAGTGAGGCGGGCGTAGGCCTTCTTGGTACCGTCAGGGCTGTGGTTCGGATCATGTTAGTCACACATGCATCCCTTAGTCTTGCTCTGTGAGCGAGTGTTGGGGATTGAGGATGACCATACCGAATGAGAGTGTTGATCTTAAGGGTGTCGATATCGTAGAGCTTCTTGAGAGCCTGCTTGATCTGGGCCTTGTTGGACTTGATGTCGACGATGAACACGAGAGTGTTGTGCTCCTCCATTTTCTTCATGGCACTCTCGGTGTTGAGAGGGTGGACGACGATCTTGTGCTCATCGAGACGAGGCAGGTGAGGGATCGACTTGCGGGGGAACTTGGGGTTACGGGCCGTAACCAGAGTCTTGGGGCGGTGGAACGAGGTAGTCAGGCGGATCTTCCGAGACTTCTGCGAGTTGGACTTTTGCGATGGACACTCCGGTTAGTACTTCTTCTCCCCGCTACTCTCTTCACACATTGTCTCCGACCACGAGTTGACTCGAATAAGGGAAAGGAGGAGATAAAGAAAAGAACCTACGCCCTTGAGAGCGGCCTTGGCGGCAGCGTTGGCCTGCTTGGTACCCTTAGGGGCGGCTACATTGTAGAAAGACGCATCAGCAATCGCCCTATTTTTCAGAACTCGCAAAATCTGCTGCTGCCATGATGCATTCTGTAGATGCTGTCGTAGTCGCCATTCGTTGTCTCGTCGCTCGCTTCCATTGTCTCTACCCCCTTTGCACACACAACTCTTATATCTTTTCCTGACCAGGGCCAAAGAGGAAATCGGTGGGGTATGTTCTCATCGGTTGTTCGAGAAATGTGCGCGGCGGGTGGGCGAAAACGGTGCGGTACGGATGCACGAACTCTGGGTCGGCTTTTTGCAGTTGCTCTTCATTTTATTATATCGTACCTTTCTTAGCATCCTTTCCGGCCATTATGTCGGTGTTTGTTGTCGAGCACGGGGGTAATCGTTGTGCTGTTGGTGGTTAGTCGTCGGGGGATGAGGAGGAAATTCACGAGGTTCGAAACAGTAAAAAAGAGCGACGATTGGGGGTGTGGGTGGGCATTTTTTTTTTTCGATTAGGGCTGCTGGGATGTCAAGCTGTGTTATTGGACAGTTTTGGGGAACTTCATATAGGTCACGTGGTGATAAAGCCTACGGTTCAATCGCTGGATCTTCGCTCTCACTGACGACCGGTCGTTAGTCTCATGTAAGTTCTTGACTACATACATAGCTTGATTGGGGCATTTTGAACTCATATGAGCGAATGAATCCCACGAGTCCTCATTATATATCTTGGTAATACTACCCAGAATAACGTCGACAACACAATGAAACTCCGTATCGATACGTACTGAAGTGGTTGGTTACGACCTCCAAAAACGTTTCACATCGATCAATGGCAAGAAGATTCTTGCGAACATATTCTTTGCCAGCATCACCGGTCCAAGAAATGGGATCCTCAAAAAAGACCACGCTTAGGAGCCTCAAGGCTGGGCGCCCCCCGCTAGCCAAGTCATCACGCCCTTCCATGACGCGCAAGACCAGTAGAGCCCTGATCAACAACCACCATCAGCTGGAAAAGCGACGGCTCCAGGCCGCCGCGCGGGGTGATAAAGTCGAGGAGGCCTTGATGGAGAAGGAGATTACAAAATTTGGAGGGATAGACCACTACCAGAAAGCCAGCCTGCAAGGCCAATCGCACGACCGTGGGGGTGACACATCACGAGTGCTACTCGGGTGGCTGCCCGCTCCTCGCAAGCTACTCCAGGGCCAAACAGCAGGGGAGGCGTCGGACCGATCATCGCCGAGGTTGAGGATGCTTGAGGTTGGATCGCTGAGCACGTGCAACGCCTGCTCTACGTCCGGCATCTTCGATGTGGTCCATATCGATCTCAACAGCCAGGAACCGGGCATACAGCAGCAGGATTTCATGCAGAGGCCTCTTCCGCGTGACGCTTCGGAAAGATTTGACATTATCTCCCTTAGCCTCGTCGTCAACTTTGTCCCCGATGCAGCGGGCCGGGGGCACATGCTCAGGCGTACACTGGACTTTCTCCATGAGGCAAAGGAACGAGGCTCACCCGACAACATGCTGAATACGGATAGTCGTAGTAGCGGCGGCGACACCGCGGTAGACTTCTTTCCCTCCCTCTTCATGGTCCTGCCGCGCAGTTGTCTTGAGAATTCGCGGTACATGACCGAGAAGAAGTTTGAGGATATAATGAAGGCGCTGGGCTACATTAAGTTGGCGGGAAAGATAACGCAGAAGCTCACTTATAGTCTCTGGAGGAGGGAGCTAGGAAAGTACGATCCCACAGCGAAGTTTACCAAGAAGGAGGTGAATCCGGGGAGGACGAGGAACAACTTTGCCATTGTGTTGAACAATTTAAAGGGTCCTTAGGACGGGGGCATTGTAATAATATTTTTTTCCCCACTAATAATAGTATAATGTTAAATTATTTTTTGTATCATAGTTCTTGCTCTTTACCCCCTTCTTTGTTTCTCTCTCAAAATCCCATACAGTGAGTGCTACGGCCCCTCGTTCGCCTCGAAGGTAGTGAGGGCAAGCGCAGAGAGAGGGTGCTGGTCGGGTAAGGGGGTGTTTCCCGGTCGCGAGACTGGCAGACTCCTCATGCCGGCAGTCAGAGCGGCGTCAACTTCGGCCATGTTATCGCTAAGGAAGAGCCACTGCTCTGGACGGGTATCCGGGTACTTGGAGAGGATAGTCTTGTAGCTGGCGGGCTTGGTCTTCGGCCCGGCGTTGACAGTGTCGAACCAGTCGGAGATGAGGGGGGTCAGGTCCGATGGGTCAGCGTCGATGTGGCCAAAGAGGAGCTTCTGGGCGGGGACGGAGCCGGACGAGTAGATGACGACCCTCTTACCAGCGGCGTGCGTCTGGGCTATGAAGGGGGCGACGTCGGGGAACAGGGGCGCCTTGATCTCACCCGACTGGTAGCCATGCTCCCACAGGTAGCCCTGCAGGCCCTTAAGGTAGGCAATCTTGACGTCGCCAGCCACTAGGTCGCGGACGTGGGCCTCGAGGGCGTCGCGCGAGTCGCGATACTCCTCGGGGAAGGCGTCCCGGTATGGCTTGAATTCGACATCGTCCCATTGCTCATCGAGCACCTTGGGCAGAGAATCGAGAGCATAAGGGAACTAACGGAAGAGGGGAGAGGAAACAAATGTGTCGACGATCCGAGAAGTTAGCCAAAGCAGGAACACACGACATATCTCATGTATGATATGTGGAACATGACGGATATCCTTTGCCACCAGAACCCAAAGAGGGGAGAGGAGGCTGGACGAATGGACGGACAGGTGCAGCAGATGGGCATGACGTCCACACTCTTTCTATTCGTCTCCTCTCGCTCTGAAGCCGGTGCATGCGCATTGTGACGGAGGAATGAGGAGGCCTTACCAAGACATCCTTGACAAAGGAGATTGGGCATACTGTACCCTCTACAGAAGTGCCTCATCGTCAGCTTTACGGATGCTCTCTCAACAAACAGACAGATCATTGCCATGCAGATAAGCTCTCCTCCTTCCCTCTTTTGTTTTCTTCGACAAACAAGTGGTAATAGGCTCTCTCACCAATATCGAGGAGCAGGACATCAAACTCTGCAAAGCCGGCAACCATGTCGGGCAAATCATGTGCGTATTCGTCGTATGAGCCTCGAGGCGGTGAGGACGTGGGAAGACAGACGCGTGTGGTTGTGTCTCTTTTTTCTCTCTGCTTCCTTTGCGACCAACGAGGAAAAATATTTTGTCTCTTCCTGTTTTGTCGTTAGGCGTCAATGTACTCCATCATTACTTCTCGGAGCAGTGTGTGCATGTCCAAGTGTGTGTGTGGGGGCATTTATTGGATCGAATCGATTCGTCCATGACCATCGCAGAACATATGGGGTTGAAGGGCCTGTAGCCGTGTGTGCTAGGTTACCAAGAATACATACGAGTACTCTGCAATACAAGTCACGTTGCACAGAGGGAGTAGCACGACCTAGGGGTGGGATGAAAGGGAGAGCGGGGAATCAAAAAGCGTATCCGAGAGAGTGTGTGTCTGTCGTTCTGGCTCTTGTTTTGGGTGTAAATGCGATGTGGGAGGTTGGGTTTCTGCTTTGGCCCTTCCTTTTTTTGGGGTGTGAAGAGGGTTGGTTAGGGGGGTTGGGATAAAGCGGTCTAGAAACGCGAACATATTTGTGGTCACTACTCCGTACAGATACTCAGTATTAACACGTCCATAGTAATATAAAATGGAAAGTAAGAGTGAGCAGTTCTAATGTAGTTTCCGAACCTGTAGGTATTATTATCTGGAAGTGTTTAGCAGGTCAAAGATCGAAAGGAAAACAAACGGAGAGAAAGAAGAAAAGGAGGCCAAAACACGCCTGCACTCATTACATACTATTCGTACATTGCAAGGTGAAAAAAAGCCCTTAAGACTTGCATACTGCAATCCCCGGATCCTAAACAGAGTCGACCCAGAAAGCTGCCCACTTCGATCGTTTTCTGTGCGATAAAACATCCACAGTTATTCGGGTGCCCCGCTTGGTGATGCAGCGGCAGTAGCACCACCATTCAAGACCCTCTTCTCCTTATCGTGCATGGCATTATGCACCTACGTGCTCCTGGTCGGATCCATTCGTAAAATTCATGCTGTTGCAAGTGTTTACTCTAGTTATTGCGACGGGCAGTATCATTAGAAAAATAAAAGACGAAACAATGGTAATTCATACAGACCTTGTCGTCCACTACGGAGTGGTTTCTGGTAAATTGTAAAGGCAATTGGAAGGCCACGTTCCCCTCGTGAGGGGGATTGAGACATGGCCGAGAACAGGTGACGTCGTGAAATGAGAGACGTTGAAAAAGAGAGGGAGAGAAGATGGAGAACCACCCGCAATGATAGTTTGTAGAGTTGGTAGAGTAGGTAATACCCCCTGACTAGAGACGCTGTGACGCCATTATGTTCTTGAGGGCGTGGCGCGAGCGAGTACGGGAGGATGATACAGGGCTTGCGACATGGAAGGTTGCCGTGTTGACCCTTGGCACGAAACATGGGTTCGTGGTGAAACATTTATAGCAATGACGGAGACGGCGAGTACCTTTTTTTTTTTTTTTTTTTGTTTGTTTGTTTGTTTGTTGGTAACAAACCAGAGAGGCATCCTCGACTATTGTGAGGAAGGTTCCATGCTCGTCGTATTATTTTCCTTATCTTGGTGGTAGTGCAACGTCTATACAAGAACGACCCGTCGTAGTCTATAAGCCACCTTACGCTATACGATCCAATGAGGATCGACAATGACGGGCATATTGCTATTGCTACTGCTCTGCGATAATGGTGCTCATACGAGCAATACGTCGTAGTGACAATACGTCGTAGTAGGAGTAGACGAGATGAGATGAGAGGGAGAGCCATCGACCATAGGTTGATGGCATCGCCTTGCGTGGTCATCGTTGTTTGTTGATACTCTCCGTTCTCCGTACTCGCACCACTATGACTCCCTTCCGGACATACTGAGGACTCATACCTGCTCATTGTCGCCGCTCTCGCACCATCGATCGGGTTATGTCAGGTAGGAATACGTGCACGAGGGACAGCTGGGGGAGACCTCGTGGTCATGTACCAACGGGACGTAGGGACGGTGGCGTGGAGACATTGGCTCGAGGTACATGGCGGTGTGCGGGATCATCAGAGTGGACTGGGGCAAGTTTCCAGCAGGAGCAAGTAGGATTACGTCGTAATCACAGAAATAACAGGTACTACGATGCTCCACTATACTGGTAATACTGCCAGTGGCACCAGTGCTCGCTCTCGAGTCTCAGGTTCGACGGTACCTACACCATGCTCATGCCAGTATTATGATTACGTCGTGATGGGCTGGCTCGACTGGATGAACTTGGCATCCAAATTTCGCACTGTAGGGTCACGCCGTCATAATAATTTTCTGCTGTTCGTCGGCACGAGTGCAATTATGATGGGTATTACCTTGCCTGTACGTCCCGTAGCTCTCGTGCTGGAGAGCAGTCTGTAGATACTCACAATAGCAATACATGTAGTATCAATAACAAATGGATGTGACTGACCGAGGCCGTAGAGGACGGAGTGCGAGTGCCCGACAGATTCACGGAGAATTATTATTACGAGTGCTTAGCAAACCGAGCGGAGTATTAACTATCGCTCTCCGAGTACGAGTTTACGGTTTATTACCTCCCTTAAGCCCCTGAAGTGATGAGTGGTGCACATGTAGACTCTAGGCCCTGTCTTCAGCGCCTCTTCCCCCGGAAAAGCCGGTGGAACCTCGTGGAAAGCTGTAGTACTTGCATGGCGCTGCCTCTTTGGAGGCAAAGTGCTAGTACCTGGTGGCGTATTATTTGATGGCGTCTTTATTGTTTGTTATTGTTCAATATTCTGTGTTTATTTACTATCCATATGGACAGATTACTCCGAACAGATCTATTCAGGTTACCATGAGGACGAGTACAGCCTACCGTCGCCGGAATAAGCATAGTGCCCCCCAAGTACAAGCACCGTACTTCAGTGAACAGTTAGGTTTCTCAGCTTAATGATAACGCAAAAGCTGATGGATGATGGACAGCATCAAGCAAATGGGCTAATATTATCCGTCCTCCACCCCAGGAGATTGATCGTCGGGTCATGAGTCGAATTACATATTGGCACTGCAGTGTTAGCCTCTGCTATGTAGATAATCTTCCACACGGATGGCATGGCGCCGTTCTGTTATAACTTGTGGGGACTGCCAGCTGCGTCGGACTGATAACACTGCCGGCAGATGGCTACAGAGGGGACGGAGTCTTGATATTACTCGTACAGGTACGGAGTAGATGGCTCTAGCAGTACTGTAGTGACCTGTAGGAACTGTAGAGTTTTAAGTTTGCAGCGTGGTATCCCCCCCCCCCTCTCTGATATGATTTTCCCTTTCATCATTTCCCGTACATACTCACAAACCGTGGCACTACCTGTAAAAGTACTTGCACTACATGGATTCCCCCCTCCCCTCCGTAGCATGGCATGCACCATACCATATCACCATCCACACTATTTGTTACTAGGAGAAACATGCCATCACATACCATCGAAAAGCGTAAAGAAAAAGGAAAGAAAGTCTCTTCCCGCGACAATGCCGCCGTCATGCCCCGGCCCCCTGATAAGCCACCGGCCAGACTGAACCTTGTTGACTGAGAGCGTTGTGGACAGTATTCAACACAGTATGGACGGTATGATAACAGTAATACATGACGCTCCATTACGTGCACTGCGCCTCTTGTTAACGCTTTCAAGCTCATGCTCATTATAATACTATTGCTACGTGTGTGCATCTGACTTTGTAGTAGTATTACGGAGCAGACGAATGTACCTTACCTTACTTACGTGTACAATCCTGCCAGATAATACAGTGCAGATTATATATCGTCGTATACGAATAGATCATTGTAAAGAACACGTAGTAATACATGATCTACTTGTATCTTAGCTGATCATTGCAAGTGTCTTTTCTATTAATATCAGCTAGTCTAATAGATCTGGTTATGCCATAGCAATGATGCCAGCACGGATATTACCAACCAAATAGCCGCCCGTCTATCGCAGCCGCCGTCCGTTTCCGTTGACCGTTTGCTTCGCTTTCTCCCAGATGAATGACGGCCCTCCGCAACGTCGCAGTGCTCCGTAGAGGTAGTACTACTCGTAATGACCAAGCAGCCTCGCCCCCAAACATATCTTAGCCCCTGATTAGCGCCATTTTGTCTACTCTGGGCCACACCCAGTCGCTTGCAGCAGTCGCTCACACCCTTTGTGACCACGCTAAGTGGGTCCTTCCTGGTCTCGTCGTCGAATCCAAGCCCGTTGATGCCATGTCGTTGTCCAATCCGCTGCCATGATCGCCTCTGCCGGTCCCAATCCTGGTCAGTCATGTACTCGTGGTCTCTAGTGGGCCCTTTGGGTGGGTGGGTGGGGGGGGGGATAGTCGAATGCGACGCGCGCGCGACGGGGGGGGGGGGGGGGGGGGGGGTGGGTGGGGGGGGGGGGCTCGTAGCCGTCGTCTTCTTGGATTGCTATGTACCGTCGGTCGTCGGCCGTTTCGGGTCTGCTGCTGGCCGCCGCTCACTTCCTGGCACCCTGCACACTGCGCTGCATGCACCTTGTTGTTGTCCATGGACCGTGGCCTGGCTGTAGGTACGAGTACGACCCCCCTGATGCCTCAGGCCCCACTATACAACCCCGATCCCACTCGTCTCATCAAGCACCTTCCAGTAGCCTCTGGCTATGGCTCCTGCTGTCTAAAGGGTGGCGTGCTATTACTCACTGGCTGCTCCTTTCCTCATCCCCCGCTCTCTTTCCTTCCCACCCCTTCGATGTCTCTCCACCCCTCTCCGTGCCCGTTATCCATAGGTAATAGGTACGTACATGATGATGTATGTGTACGAGTACAGTTAGTCCCCCCGGCCTCTCATCAATCCACCCACCGCCTTTCCCTCATGCTCTCAATCTTCTTTCTCTTTCCATCCATCCTCTTCCTTATCTTCCTTCATCTATCCTCCATTGGCATATCACACTCACTTTCGTCTCGCTTCGACTTGTCCTCCACAGCCAAAGGCCTTCTTTCTTCTCGATCTTGCAACGCTTCCTCCTACCTCTCTCTCACTCCCTTGTCTACTTCTCTTCATCTCCGCCTTTCCCCCCCTATTCGACAAGCAGCAAGCAAGAGCCCATTCCAGCCTCTATCGTCTGGCTTCTCTCATCCAACTTATCGATTGTGCCATTCGTCTCGAAAAGAAAGAAGGATCCTTGCCGCTTCAATACTTGGTACTCGAAAGCGCCGACTACTCGCAGAGCACGCCTTAGCCTCGCAAACCTTCCGTCGCCCGCCCCCATTACCACCGATCTCGGCACCGATACTAGCCCATCAAGTCTGTTCATACTTCCTTGCCGCGGTGTATACCAGGAGCAACCCATCTCAGTATCTGGATCGCTGGGGTCCGCCCCTCCCTTCTTCGACAGTCTTATACAATACTGCTCGACAACCATCAACCGGTATCCTGCCAAGCCCCCCTACCGGTCTCCTAATAATTCCGCCTCCTAGCCAGTTCGTTCAACTCGTTGGGCACGGTTGACGCCATCGTCCTAGAGTTTGCGTCTGGCTTTTGATCGGTCTATCGTATAGCACGAAGACCGATCTTTTAGACATAGGAAGCTTCTGCTTCTGGTCTTAAAACACATCCAACTTGCCGGTGCTCTTTGCCCGGTCAAGAGTCATTCTTTTGCCTCGTATACACACTACGACTTTCAATGTTTTCCTAACGACTCCTTTCGCTGCCTTTATCCTCAAGCACGGGCCTTTGGCTCTTTGCAACCACCGCCACTACGACCGATAATACGTTTTCTCCTTTGTTCAGCACCTCGATTCTACTCCAATGAGCCTCTGATTTTCCTCACGACCACATACCCCCTACATATCCGTTTTAAGAACTCCGCCTTTGGCCATATCTTGAAGCTTGTCTCCCCTACCTGTATACACTCGACACACATTCTCCATTCGACCACCTATATCCGATACAATCTACACTCGACCCTTTCAAACTATCCTTTATTCTTCTCTTCAAGTGTATACACTCGCCTTTACACTCGCCTCTATTTTTCCTTTTTTTTTCCTGCAACATTGTTTGGCATTGTGTTTTCTTGACTGTTATTTTCCATTTGCATTTTCAACGGCCGTTTCAAGACAGCAGATCGGCCTAAAAAAAACCACCACATTTGTACGACTATTTCCTTGTCTCTATACTGTTTTCTTCTGTACCCTCCAATATACGCAATGGAGTGCATGCGAGAGAAGTTCGTTGGTGGCGGTCTCCTTGACGGACGCTACCAGACTCTTTCGCCTCTCAACCACGGGTCGTTTGGCATGGTCTTCTTGGCTCAGGACCTCAAGACAAACGGGACTGTTGCCATCAAGTGCCTGACCAAGAACCCCACCGACCCTGACACTGACCTTGAACTCGCCGTTGACGACAAGTCCGAGGAGTACGCTCTCCACACTCGCCTTGGTGTCCACCCCAACATTGTCAGTCTTCTCGACACCTTTGAGACTGACGCGCACCTCTATCTGGTTCTCGAGTTTTGCTCGCAGGGTGATCTTTACGAGGCCATCCGAAAGGGCCATGGACCTCTGGAGACGGAGCACGTCCGCCAGTTTATGCTTCAGCTTGTCGACTCTGTTTCCTACATCCACTCCAAGGGTGTTTTCCATCGGGACATCAAGCCTGAGAACATCTTCCTCACAGAGGATGGTACCATGAAGCTCGGTGACTTCGGCCTGGCTACGACTGACAAGTGGTCCTACGAGATGACTGTCGGCAGTGACCGTTACATGGCCCCTGAGCAGTTCGATTCGGCCGGTGCTGGCTACTCGCCTGCCGAAGCTGACATTTGGGCTATCGGCATCTGCCTGCTCAACATCCTCTTCTCCCGGAACCCCTTCACCACGCCGACGGAGTCCGACCCGCTCTTCCTCGACTACTCTCGTGACAAACAGAGCCTCTTCGATGTCTTCCCCGACATGTCTCAGGACACGTACGAAGTCATTGTCGAGTGCATGAACCTCGACCCCAAGAGGCGCTCTCTGATTGGCGCACGTGAGGCTCTGCTTCGCGTCGTCAGCTTCACCACCCGGGATGAGCTACTCGACGACTTTTGCACTGGAGAGAAGGCGACCCTCGCCTCCGCCAACAGGGAGCCTCTCCGCACCCCGTCCCTCCAGAGCCCTTACATCGACGATGTTGGTGCCTTCCCTTGGACCAAAGCTTTGCAGGCTACCCCTAATCGTCAGCTCAGTGTCATCCCCGATGACGAGAGCTACACCGAGGAACTCTTCCCTAAGTCCGAGGGGACGACAGACTGGTGCTCTGCTGCTGTGCAGACGCCCATGTCTTCCATGGTAGACTCTAGCCTTGGTGCCTCGATGAACTCACTTGGAATATTCAGTTCATCTTGCGCTCCCCAGGTCTCTCCTGCCGCCGGCTCTCTTCCTATCCACATGTCGAAACCCATGAATCTGTCCATGTCAACCGTCTTTGGTCGCCGTCAGGATATGGTGTCTAAGAGCTGGAGCGATATGTGGGAGGAGGAGGAGGAGGAGGAAGAGCGTGAGCAGCAACTGAAGGCTAGGAAGGAGCTCAACTCGCGCACTTGGAGCCACGAGAGTAAGGGTGACACCAAGGAGACTCACCGTATTAGGGGTAATGTTGACGATGATCTCGTCGCCGATGGCTTCTTCTTCCACGAGCCTGAGCTTGAGGCTAAGCCTGCTCGCGGAACGCCACGCTACTCCCCACCTTCCAAGAGGTCTAACATGGACAAATGGGCTGCCCTGGGTGAGCGTCGTCGTGGTCAGCATGCCTCCTCTGAGGGGGATTTTTCACCTGGCACCCGTGAGCGACGTCATTTTGCGTTTGGATTGAAATCTTTTGAAGCGGGCGTTTCGGATCACCATCAACACAATTTTCATTTTTCTCACTTCAACAAATCGCCACAACAACCACAACAACGGCATAAGGAACGAGCAAAGGGTTGCCCATGGAACAAAGGGAGAGATCTCAACTGGCGCCGAGATAAGCGCCATGATCTCGGGGACGTTGAGTGGGTTGGGGGTTGGTAAAAAAAAGTGGAGAGCGCACTGGCGAACAACCTACTTTTCTTTTCTCCAATTCTCCAATCGTGGTTGGGGCTAGTCTATGGGATACCTCTCGTCAGGAATCGGTTCTCTTGCATTGCTTGAAAGCTCCCTGTAAAACTTGCACCTATTTCTTTTTTATTCTCTTCGCAAGCCTTATGACGGCAATGCTTTGGGAACTGGGGATAGGGAGAGGAAACATGGGAAATCTGGCCTTCAACTCGCTTTCTGCGTATCAAATTACTATTTAAAAAACAACAAAACAATACCAGAAGTTACCCACTCACATATTATCTTCCCGTCCATTTAACTCATTTTCTAAACACAGTGCCCCTCTGAACTGCCTCGTTTCAACTTGTTTCAGCATAGACACCCCTCAAATTCCTGAACCTGTCACAGTCCCCCCCCTCCCCCGGTGTCACCTGCCGTGGCAGATGTGACACCACGTATCGTAAGACGTGTACTGGGAAGACGAGTGCGCCACAGAACTTAAACCGTAATTTAATTCTCATGGTCGTGCTTGTCTTCATACGACGGCAGTCGCCGCTCATCATATTTCTACTGTCGGGGTTGCGCTGTCGGACCCAGTCCCGGCCCCGGTTATTCGAGAATAATATGGACATTGACAAGCTCAGGCGAAAGAGTCGCACATGTAGTCTCTCTAAATGCCCCGGATGCGCACTTGGTATCACTGCACGGCACAACGTAAACATCCGTATATTGCATGGTATAAACCCAGATTTCATTGTGATTGTATTATTGCTATTTATGCTATTGATGTGTAAACGTATCGTATACTGATACGTAGGTATATGCCTCCCCGCCCAGTGAGACGAGGATTCCAAACTCTTCAAGGCTCACTAATACCCAAAAAAAAAGAGATGAGCGCAGCTGCCAATGATTAAACCAACTACGAGGGATACATAGTTAAATGCTAGTGTTATCCCCTTAACTAAGCACCAACAAGGCTCTTGGGGAGGAAAGTCCAGACAGTCCCGATAACGCCCAGAATAGAGAAGACCACCATAATGGACCAAAGTAAAAAGCGCTCACGGTAGGAAATGTCGTCCCAATATAGTTTGAGGTAAAAGGAAACAGGGAGGATGATGGAGATAAGAGTGCAGAGGGCGGCGCCAAGGAAGGCGCAGACCGAGTCAAAGGCCGGGATCGCAACGGAGATGAGGAGGTGGATGAGGACGACAGTGACGCGGACGGCACCCCGAATAATGGCTTTGATGAAGGCAGACTGTCGGTCGGTGCTGTCATGAGAAGCAGCAGCGTGGCTCTGATGCTCATGAACGCCCAAAATGACATCAGCCGTAGTGACGAGAGGACGGCAATTTAGAGGAAGCTTGGTGAGTGGGATGATGGCGACAAAGACACATATGAGGATTGACAAGGCTTTGGGGTACCCGGGCGTCCTAAGAATGTTGGAGGTGATGGCACCAGTAATGCCGTCACCAAACATGATGATACCAACGATGGCAAGACAGGTATCTATAAGGTACTGTAGTGTGGTACGACTGTTAGTAACAGCGCATGGCTAGGGCCGTATATTTGAAAGACCTACAGTAAAGGAAAAAGTCGACTTTATGGCCTTGCCCCATTTGGCTGGGTGGCGCATGTCCCTATAAATCTGATCAAGCCATCGAGTTAGTGTCCGAATTCTCTGAGAAAAGGGATTTGGGCGAACTGACTGAAGGGAAGACGGAATGAGCTCCCCATGGGCTGGCGAGAAGGCCGTATGCTAGAGGGAGAGCGAGCCAGTTGGAGGGCAGAAGGTACGTAGTGGCCGGCTCGCGCAAGGAACCAGGGGTATGCTCCTTGGCAAAGCCGTCGATCACGACAATGGAGACGACTAGTAGTAGAGGAGAAATGTGTTAGTTGTACAGCCATCTCAAAAGAGGTGGTATGTGCCTACAGGAGGGACATTGAGATAGGCCCACGACTTACTGCAGAATGTGGAGAAAATTCCAATGACGCTTGTGTAGCTCAAGAACCGTAGAGGCATGAGGTTGAGAAGGAGCATCATGAGAGCACAGACGCACTTCCAGAAGTTAACACTGGCTACTCCACTCAGGAGGAGGTCCACAGTGTCTGCAAAGAGGATGATGAGAGCGGTGTTGGCGGCTAGTAGCTCGAGAGAGAACAGAGCCGAGACGATGACTCGTGCGTGGGTGCCAAAGGAAACGTAGGCAAGGTCGGAGTATGTGATGAGGCTAGGGTCGTAGTCCATGCAGCGAGCCAGTAGCTTTCCCGTATAGGCAGTGACGTTACCGATCAGAGTCAAGAGGACGAGGCCGATGATCCAGCCGGACATTTTGAAGGCAAGCGGCAGACTCAGTATACCCACGCCAATGATGGCATTGATGGAGTTGAAAACTGACTGGGGCAGGGTACTCTGACCCTCGACGGTGAGGACAGTCTTGTCGCCTTTCTTGACCTCCCTAACGAGAATGGGCTCGTGTTCCCCAAGGGCAGCATCATCGTCGTTATCGTCCCAAGTACCCGGGCGCACGACAGATGGGCGTCGAGCCCTAATAGAACCTCTGTCCATGGTGCCGTAGTGCGAGCCACGGTAAGAATCATAGCTTCCAATGATTGACGAGGTAGCCAGATGGGGGGGGTTGGCAAAGATGCTTAGCCTGCTCGAGCCGCTACTAGTACCCAAAAGTGTACTATCGGCTATCTCAGCGTCGAGTGCTTTTCTCTCGCGGTCTCTGAAGTCCTCTCGGCCAGGGTTTCCACTGCGGGCACCAACACTAGTGCTAGACTCAGCGACGGCAGACCTGCCTGCAAGCGAGCTGTATCGGCCTTCTGGAGGTGAGGCTTCGAAATGTTGCCTCAAAAGACCCGAGGCTGGTGGTACTGAGCCCTGACCGACGTGACTCTTACCGTAACGTATATCTTGAGAACCATCTTGGTGACTGCCGTCGTCGCCGTCTATGGCATGGTCACCCCAGACGAAGCTGGGACGGCGCGGAATGACTTCTGCAAAGCCGGCTGCACGCTGCCAACTGCGGGCAAAGGAGCGAATGCTGTTGACACCACCAATGTCGGCCATGGCGGCAAGGCGATTTGCCGTCGAGGATCTGCATGAGTACCGAGAACCGAGGTCAGTTTCCTTCCAAGCAAGGCATACTGGGTGGTAATGCTGGGGGAGCAGAGCTCAATGTTGGACCAATGATATTACCGTCTGCGTGGGCGGCGATATGTGCCACTGGCCGCATCGTCACCGTCATCGGCCAATGCCTGTTCCTCCGACAGAATCGTCGAGTTGACGCTGCCCGAAGGGGAGAAGCGACCCTCATATTCGTCCCACGACGTGGGGTTCCTAGCCATTGTGCAGGCCCAATTGCCCAAGAGCTCCAAAGTGTGTCTGCGTGGCTCGGTGAGAGGGCGTTGCACACCCCTGGGAATATCGAAGCGAAGAGAAGGCGTAGAAGATGTAACAATTCTGAGGGTGGACCGTAAATGGCGAAAGGTGGCGGCGAAGCAAGAGGAGGTGTGAACGCGCAGGCCCGGGCAATGGAGGGGAGCAGAGTACTAAAATTCACCAAGTACTCGTAATCAAGCTACTAGCATGGATAGCGATAATCAGGGCTGGGTTCTCCACAGCAAAATATTGCACCGTGCACCTCGAGACAGGGCAGAGATATGAGGGGCGTGGAGGAGAGAGAAGAAAAGAGGGGGAGGAGGCAGGGAAGGGGGATGCTTGGGGACGATGGCAGACGTCGATACATATAGTAACAGCTGCCGAGAGTTAGTAGTAATTGCTACTACTAAGTGATGGAGCCCGGCTATCAAGTTTGGCGGGCAGTTGCAACCAACGGCCGTTGCTTCCTAATCGAATGCCGAGTGCAACCACAGAGTCTTTCTAGGCGCCAATAACCCACGTACAAGGCAAGCGGGGAGGGCTAGGCCGGAGTTCAGAGGCTAGAAAAAGGAAGAGAAAAGAAAAGCTCAGAATGTATCGATGTTGGAAGAAAAAGAAGATAAAACTCCTCCATGACTGTTTCTTCCTTCTTTCCCGAGATTTCTTGTTATCAGGAGTGTTGAGCCGCGTATCGTTATGCAGTGGAGCGATGGACCGGGATTGGACGAGGCTGCCACTAGTGTTGACCCCAGGACCCAGGTAGAGCCCGCATGCCCACATATCTCATAGTGATAGTATCTCGTACAAGGTTTACGGGTATTACGATGAGTATATTACGAGCCTAGTGAGCTTCTCCAATACTACCTACTAAGTATTTATACTCTGTGTATTGGAAGAAGACCGTGATAATGTACACTCTTCTGGGGGGTGATGGGAAACAGGGTGGCGAAATCTGGTCCAGCCATTTTTTCCAACGTTGGCGGTTAGTCCTCGCTGCACAGCTGCATACGGCATTATAGACACCCAAACGTCATCTGATTGATCTCCGCCCATGCGCCCGCAAACTGCATCTTGTACGCAACCCACCAGATATCTAGACGTGCAAGGAAGCTGTCCGACCATCAACACGGATATCTCGCCAATAGCACTAAACCTAGCAGATAGAAAAAAATACATTATCAAATCAAAGCGCTTCCCCACATTGTGTGTCTGGATATGGTGGAACTGGGAAGAGACAAAGGAGGGGGTATCTCACACTCGGACATGCCGGACAACCATGCTGCCTCTCGGGGGGAGGGGAGGGCACCTTGTGTAATCTTTGTATGTGTGAATGACGTGAATGAAATTCCCAGTGTTCCTTGTCTTTCATCTGCAGTGCAAAAGTTATATGGTACATCTCTAAAATATGGATCGTACTACTTGTTCCTGGAAGCTAACCATCGGAAAAGTTAAAATATGCAGATACTTGTCATCAATATCAAGTTGTCCCCCAAGAACAAGACCATGCGAGGATCTAGAGATAATGCTGGACAGATAATACTCACTTCTATTCTGTTGAACAAAGCTGTCAACACCAAGTCCGGATTATTCGTTACATTATCTCGTACAGAGCTCTTATCGGATTCTCTCACCGCCTACCACATTGAACTCCACCACCTCGCTCCTGTGAAGGCAGAAAAAGTATTATTAACCCCCATAAACTTCGATGCTTTTTTTTCCTTTTGCCGCATCTTGCAAGCAACAACAGCGAAGAACGTCGAACTTCTCGACGGTTCCCGCAAATATGTAACTGCAACGATGCCTCTTTGCACAAAACCTGTTTCTACAGCGGTCATGCCCACCATCACTCCCGAGGCAGCCATTACCATCCACACCTACCTCGCCCCACTACTCCCCATAGTCGACGCCTTCAACCATCGTCACAAAAACCAGCACCGCTCATCACACTGGTGGTCACACTTCAGCATCTTCCGCCGCTCCCTGCGCTCCCTCGTTATTTCTCTTACATTGTCCTCTCGTCGCTCGCACAACGGTGACAGTTCATTCGTCTTCGCTCGCTGGTTGACACAACGCATCATACCCAGAGTATACATGTGAGTTGCTGAGCACCGCACACCTACCTCGATTGTCCGACTGACAGCGATAAAAGACCATTCACACAGCTGGCAGCCGACAATCAACATGCCCCCCTAGGCCTCCTCCTCTTCACTCTCCTAGCCCGTGTTGGCTCTGTCCTGTCTCAACATGTACCCGCCGACGATGACGTACCTACAGCATCTGCTGTCGCCGTGCCAAAGCCCAAGCGCGACCAGGCAACTACGAATATCTCAGCCGAGACAGACAGAGGCATCGTCATCTCGCGCGGCGACCTCCCGCCACCTGTCAATGTCACACAACCAACATCAGCCCCGGCCCACTCTGGGAAACAGAAACGTACCAAGACGGCGCCACCATCACTACCGACAAAGCCCAGGAATAAATCGAAGTCTAAAAAGAGTCAAAAGGGCGACGACTTTTCCAGTCTCTTTGGTTCACTATAATATGATGCGTTGGGATGGAATTCAGCGTAGTGCAACCGCACCTACACACATTCAACGGTTTTCGCTTCATTCGCGTATTGCAACGTAATCAAGAACGGCCTAGATCAAAAGGAATAAAAGGTCATTATGATACCTGTCTGGAATACTACAATCAAAGGGAGAAAGAAAGACTAAGGCAAACATAACTTCGAACGCAGATAAACACAAAAAAGAAACAAAAAAAAAAACAAGAAAAATTGCAGTCCTGCCCAATCCGAAAGAACGAGAAGTCTCGTCCGTGAAAAAGATATCTGGGTTCACCGTCCCTACTTCCCAAACCGTACGCCTATCTCGTACAGATTTTTTCCGACGACATGCCCGGTAACGAAGCAGCTCAGTCCAGTTCCCTCCACGCCCTTCCTATCCCGCCTCTGTAGCATCATCCTCATACAACCTTGCCATCAGTATCTTCCTCCCCCTTTTCTTTTCTAGGATGCAAATGAAAGGCGTTCCCCTCTTGTCTTGTTCTACAGAGGGCGGTACGACCAGATACGGGCCTTCATGTCACCAGATCCCGTAGCGAAGAAGCCACCCTGGGGACTAGGAGCAACCGAGATGACAGAGTTCTTATGGCCCTGAAGCATCAGCTGGGTAGTACCAGTCCTGGGGTCCCAGAACTGCACGCCGCGGTCCTTAGATCCGGAGAGCACCCAGTTGGCGTCGGGGGTCAGGGCGACTGATAGGACGAAGTCGCGGTGACCCTCGAAGGTCTTGATGCACTTGCCCGTTCGGCTGCCCTCGCGACCGCCGCGCGGTGCGCCAAGTTCCCACATCTTGATAGTGCGATCCAGACTGCCGCTAACGAGGTCTTTGCCGTTGGGTGAGAATGCCACAGAGTAAACAGAGTCCTTGTGACCGTCGATACCCTCCAGGCGCTCAACCAGGGTAGCATCAGGGATGCTCCAGACACGCACGCTCTTGTCGAGGGAACCGGCAGCAACGTATTGCGTGTCAGGCGAGATGGCAACCGTCGTGACTCCGTCCTCTATAGTAAGCGTAAGAGTGTTGCCACCCTGCTCAATGTCCCAGAGGCGAACAGTACGGTCACCGCTGCCCGAGGCAATAGTGCGGCCATCCCTAGCAAAGTCGAGCGAGTAAATATCCTGCTCGTGGCCGGTGAAGTGGTTTCGGATCGTCCTGGTTTGGATGTCCCAAACCTGTTAAAAAAAAATCATTAGCAAAACATGTTGTACTGACGCAGTGTTTCGACAACTTACCCTGATGATCTTGTCCTCGGCACCAGTGGCAAGGTAACGGCCGTCGGGGCTGAAGCAAACGCTTCTGATGTAGAGGTCGGTACCGCCCATGGGGTCAGTAGCACTGTGGTCTTCAAGAACACAAACCTTCTCTCCAGTGCTGACGTCGAAGATTTGAGCAGACCTGTTGCAGCCAGTGGCGACGTACTTGCCGTCCTGGCTGAACCGAACGCAACAAACAACACTGTCATGCTGGAGGGAGTGAACAAGGTCCACATCCAGGACTCGCTGAACCTGGGCGTTAAATATGGCATGCCAGTCGGCTCCAGTCTTCTTATTGTGAGGGGCCACAGCATCGAGGTCGAGCTCACCGAGAGCATTGCCGACAGGCGGTGGGGCCCGGGGACCTCCCATGCGAGCATGGTCGGGGGTCGGCTGGTTGATCTGGGGTGACTGGGCACTTCCCGCATAAGGAACGGGAGTGTTGATCTGCGGAGTGGCCGGACCGACACCGTTAGGAGGGCGGCCAACGCCACGACGGCCAGGCCCAGGAGACGCGGTACCCTGAGGAGGCTGCGGCGCCATGCCATTGGACATGGGAGCCTGAGGGTAGGCTTGCTGGTAGGGGCCCGGCTGCTGCTGAGCAGAAGGGTGGGGAGGCACGGGCAGACCCGGAGGCGCCTGGGCAGCCATCTGGTGCTGGTGGCTCAGCTGCTCCTGGGGCGGGCCATGCTGCTGATGCTGCTGTGGCGGAGCGAGGCCGCTCTGGTTACTGCCGGCCATGATGCCACTGAAGAGGCCATTTCCGGGGGCGATCGAAGGAGGCGCCTGCGCGGGGCCCGCACCCTGGGGAGGGCCGGGCATGGTGGGCTGGGCAGCACCAGCCTTACCGCGAGTAGCTTCGGCCAGCTGGTGTCGCAGAACACTAAGCTCCTCCTCATACCTAAATGAAAGGGGGAAATAACGAGTAAGCACATTGGTAAGGGTCAAGGCTGGCAAGGACAAGATGAACGCATTGTTAAGGTTAACGCTCGCTTACTTTTGCTTCAGTGTCATATGGGTCTGCTCCATGGCATAGACCTTCTCGCGAACAAGTTGCATCTCACTGACCTGGGCCGCGACTGTTCAATAAGGCGCACTGGTTAGTCGAGGACGATGGACGGGAATGGCCGCTGGTGCTGTGGATGCTTACTTTGGTGTTCAAACCCTTCTGTCTGGCGGACCTGAGTGTCAAACTCGGCTCTGATCTGATCAAGAAGTTCATTGAGGCGGGCTGCATTGCCCGGGGGCACAGCGCCCATGGCGCGATGGGGATACATAGACATTATAGCCTGGGCTGACCGTGTGGTATCGCGTGGGGTTTGCTGGGCCGGCGACGGATATTTTCTGGTAGCGCGTCGCGTAAAATTGCGCGCGATGGAGTGAAGCCTCGGCTACCTGGAGCAATCGATAAGACAAATAAGAGGGACAATAATGGCTGTAGTAGTGAACGTCGAAGGTCGGGTGTAGAGTAGGCGAGTCGGTCGCCTCGATTTCGTGCAAGCGAACAAGTTGACGACGCCGCAGATCGCAGATGACTAGTTGGCGTAGCCTAGGGCGGCTCGTCGGGCGGCGAAGGATCGCAGGAATATGGGAGCAGTGCAGGCCCACGGGTTCAAGTGATTGAATAGGGGCCCTTTCACGATGGAATAAGGACGCTAAGCGTTCAATGGACGTGCGACCGAGTCTTGAATTTGATGGGGGTCGACAAGGCTACGTGGTGTGAGAAGGGAAGGGGGGGCGGCGAAGAGAGGAAAAAGATGGAAGAAAGGGAAGAAAGAAGGCGCTGGCGCCAACAAAGGCGCTGGCAAGCGTTTAGTGGCTCCTGGGGCCAGCAGCTGGGAAACTAGCTACAGTCATACAAGGGAGATGGGGACGGTGGATAGCGGAGCCTGAGCATAGCAACAAACCCAGCTGCTCCCCACCAGGCCTGCAGGTGGCTTGCTGGTTACTGCTGCCCGATAATATTATGTGCTGCTTAGTGGTCAGTGGCTGCCCTACTGTCACTAGCCACCAGCCTCTCGAGGATACCTCATGAAGCCCCAAGCAGAGAACTTTGGCAGCGAGGAAAGCTAAGTGTGACTGCTGTACGTCGTAAGTGTTACTATTAACCGGCAAAGGAGAGCGCGCTGGAATACAGAGTGGGTCCAGCCGCAGACCCAAAGTAAGGCCTGAAGCAGATATGTAGCAACGGAGGGCCGAGGTACCTACTACGAAACAGGCGATACTTTTGTCGGAGAGGGTGGAGTGCAACCGGCAGGAAGGGGGGGAGCAGCGGGTGCGGGGACCAGGGGCTGTTGTGGCTACTTGTCAGACTGTGGCACAGGCACTAGTCAGTGGTAGATATCCCCCAAACGCCAGTTACAATTTGCAAAGCTCTATCGATGGAGCAGCTAGAGCCTAGCAGTGCCGGTAATAATAGTTTGTCCGGCTATTACCAGGTCACGTGAACATTCTCAGCCACATATGTGCTACGAGTAGTAGTTGTGCCGTCACTACAGTCGTATGCGAGCTGCTCCTAGTACGGGTAGTCCGGAATGGAAATGTTCTATATGTTAGCATAAAAATGTTGTTATAGAGTTTATGTATTACTCGGGAAAGTTATGCTAGACGTATTTCAGTGCCATTTAGTACGATCATTGTCAGTAGTATTAATATTCACATGTAATACATGCATGCAGTATGCTGCAACATGCACACCTCGTAAGTACTAGGACCTTGACTGGCCAGCCACCACACACAACCACATGTGTGGCTGCAGATCTAGACGCCACACATGGGCTCGGGGATGTACCTGCATGGCAACCACAAGTACCCTAAGGGGCGTGCGCTACCGGTGAGTGACGTTACTCGACTCCCGATGCCCCTGCGTGTCGAGTGTCCACACGCCCGCACATGCTCGGCAACTTGGTGTCCATGATTCTCGAATATTTGCACATTGATGAAAGTGCGAAAGTCCTTCATCGTGGACTCGGAATCAACGTATAAGCAACGTTGTATCAATGCATGGAGAGCACTACTCGCCACCCACGCCAGATCTCGACTTCACACCTCGCTTAAACACTGGCAGGTACCCGTTCCCGGCATACGACGTACTCACATGTACCTGTCTGTATTGTACTCCTTGATATCCTTTCGCGCGGCCTAACTCGGCCACTATGCATGCCTCTCTAACTTGGAGTTGACTGTACGGAGTACGGAGCACTCACGCTGTCACTACGCGTGATACTTCGAAGATACGTGCATTGAGGAAACTCTCCTTTGGCTATTTCCATGACCTCACACACACCCTCATCCTCATCAAGTACTGGTGCCACACATCCTTGCTTCCCGTAATACATTCATTTCTTGTACCTTTTCAATAATAATATCACGTATTATACGCCGCAATAGCTGGCATGAGGATATTCATCTAAGGTGTGCCTCAAGAAGTGCTTTCTCTCAAACAGTTACTCAAGGGCGGTATTTATAATCATCCTGCTTCAACCTTAGGCAATGGTCCAAGTAAGATTTAAAACATCACCATGTCTTCTTTTACCTCTTGGCGCTCAACGCGGATGATGGGTCGAAGTTCTAGAACGGTTTATAGCAATTACTTAGTATTGAAGGGGGGGACCATTCCAGTCTAAGTTGCAGAATACTCTGCCTATGGTTGTGAGACACAGTTCCAAGGCTGTATTGTCAGCAAATTGGGTACGGGTAATCACGCCGCTCCCACAAGGCTGCAAGGCTACGGCTGGATCCTAAATCAGATCGGAATCATGGCTCGTCTCAGGCAATTACCCTGTCAATATGCATAGTAGCACTAATACTATTAACCTCAGACGGCTAATGTTTTCTGTGGCTATCTAAGATAACAAAAGCCCAAGCTTCTACTAACGGTTCTTCGGTCATCATTATTGATGCGTACCCCCGTATCACGTGAGAGCCACTCATCATCCTCTTGCCGCACGTGATATGTTTCTGGACGGCCTATTACCCGAACCTGTGATGTGAGGCGACAGCATCTGTATGTACTCAGTGTGGATCCCGTGACCTACGGGTCCGGCGGAACAATCCGCCGGGCACACACATTCCCATCATGGCGGGATAATATCAGAAAGGTGAGCCTTCCTGCTGTTACATCAATCAAGTTACCCTTTCGCTTTCGAGTCAAACGTAGCATCATATCGTCAGGTGTGAGTTACGAGGTGACCCTACTAAGAAGGAGCCCGCAGACGCACAGTGCGTAATGCTACATCGGCTAAGCCCCGCACAACGATTGCTATGTGCATGCATACAACTGAGTGGTACCACGAACAAGCACGTCCATTTAATAACCCCAAGTAGGCGTACAGAGCCGGTAGGGGCACCAACTACAAGGCTAGCAACGGTCTACAAATAAACTAGAACTACCGTTACCTTAGGGGCTTTGGAACAATATATAGCTCGGTGTCAAGCGCTGGTCCACTCGGTAAACGAAATTGAAAGCCGGGCCCGCCCAGAAGGCGTACGCACGGTCCGCAGCAAATATTTATATGCCTTGCACGAACAGACAACTACTAACGAGTCTGGGAACTGGCTGGATCATATGCATGTGATGAGTATGCACGCTATTATATTATCGCGGGTAGTGAGGGTGATACTCAGTTTTATCTCCTGGAATACGACATAGTCGTCGTACGTGTCTGCACAATAGCCTTCTCTGACCCTGAGTCGTCGGGGTGACGTTGAAGCGACGTCTGAGGCTTACGGGTCCATTTCGAATCACCTTGCTGGTGATCCTGGCCGTCAGCCTTTCCGACCTCGACGTTTACCATTGTCTTGAGAGGGTACATCGGGCTGTCGTCGAATCTTTCGTATCCATTATATCTCGGTACGGGCTCCGTGCCGGTTCCCCTAAAAGTTGGAGTCGTATCTTTGTTGATGGATGGACCGGCCCTGGATGCCGCATTGCTCGATGCGCCCACAAGATAGGGAGAGAGTTTCCTAAAGAAAGGCTTGATGGTCGGGAGCGTGGCGCAGATGACTGACAGGTTGGCTTCGGCGAAGCTGTACACGGGCTAGGTCAGTGATGCTTCTTCGGGGGGGGGGGAGTGAGACATTGAAACTCACATCCAAAGGAGGACGGGCCCGCCACCCCAGGATTGATCCACAGTATCCATAGACTTGATGAGTGTAATCAGTCGCATGATGGACGTGAAGACGGTTCTGTTCAACATGTCAGCCAGCCATCGATCAAAATGAGTGTCACAGTCCTAGGTCCGATAAAGACTTACAATCCACCGAGGCTAAAGAAAAATAGCAGGCCAATCTTTTGCCGCCTAGGGATCCTAAGCGGTACAACGATAGGGATGGGGACGGCAAGCACCATGGCATCGGTCACAGCGCCCAGCGCTGCAGTCGCCTTGTACACGGCCTCGCGGTTGATGCATTTGACGTCAGTTATGGTGACGTCCCACGCTCCCCGGATCGGTTTGCAGGGGAAGATAGTGACGAAAGTGATTGCTAGGGAGGAGCCGATCACTATACATATGGTGAACCACAGGCTGTAATGGAACCACCTTTGCGGCGCTAGGCGGCGGTAGACAACGAGGAGGGCCATCTTTGCACCACACTGAACGGGGTTGTACAGGATGGGCAGGAGGTATAGAGCGCGGGCAAAGCTGGAGAATTTTGGGAGAGACATCTCCCAAGCGTGGGTTCCCATGATTCCACGGACGAAGTCGCCTTATCACGCGTGTTTGTTAGTGTTTTTCTGGTCCCGTACCCAAACGGGCAAACATATGAGACTCACGAATAATCAGAGTTTGCAACACGACCGAGAACACCTAGACATGAGAGTTAGTATGGGGCCGAAAGGCCATGGCCACACGGCCTTACCAAGATGGTTGAGACATTTCCTTACATAGGCAACCCCCAAGAAAGCTATTCACACGGCAAGAACCATTAGCAATGTTGAGGGAAGATAACGTGGCAAAGAGGATGGAGACATACCATCTTCTAGTTTGACTGTCTTCTGTATCACCGCCCGGACATAGACTCTCTGGAGCATGAAGATGAGCATGAGGAAGTTTCCGACGCCGAAGAGCCAGTATGCTGCCGGGACACTGTTCCGAGCAGGATGCTCGAAGTCGACGACATAGCCTTCAGGGGGGGGGATCGCGACAGGTACGCCATTCACTACGGCAGCCATTGTCGTCGAGGGTCAATTGACCAGCTAACAACGTTCAACTGGAGAGATATGGCAACCTGTTCGTCGTACCCCATGGGGATGAAAACCTGGGAAAAGTTAAAGAAGCAGGCGTAAGTTGAATTGAGTCGATATGTGACAAAGGAAGAAGAACCAGGAGAGCAGTCTCTGCAAAATAGGAGAAGTTCGGACAGGCAAACCATGCTTGATAAATATATATTTGTATATACTTGTATATACATGTATATATGGGCGACTGCCGAAGCATTGCATGCCATTTACAATTTGTGGCTCCCAAGTGCCTGAGCGCGGAGCCAAAGCAACCAGCAGGCCTCTCTGCAATAGGTCGAAGACAGGGGCGAAGGAGGAAAGAGGATACTTGATACAGGAAAAGGTTAGCCCGAGGCCACAAACTCACGGAACAGATGCAGATGCAAGGTATAGATGTAAGGGTTCTACCATCCCAACGTTTCACTATGGGTCCAGCCTACAACGGCTCCACGAGTTTGCCGATAAGCAACGTTATAAAAGGGGGCAGATGCTCTCTCGGGGTTATCAAGAATCCGACAGTCCGTATATGTATAATATGTAGTGCGTCCAGAGGCTAGAAGTGATACAACTAAAATAACCAAGTCTTCGACACTCTGTTGAAAGACCAGGGGACCCTTGCAGGAATTAAAACGTATCCCAGCAGACCCAACGCCTCGCCACCCCCCGGTGCGGGCCAGGATGCTTCCGCAACGAGTAGGATCAATTGCCAACTCACCCCAACACAGTCATTGGACAATGAAGGTAGGAGTCAACAGGTGCATACACAAATTACACCTCACCTATGTACTTGCAAAAGCAAAGACAGTAAGGGGAAAACAGCAGGATTTTATGAGTGTTATATTGCATGGGCATACTTACTCGTACTCGGTATGGGGTACTGCATGTATGTACGAGTATGCCACTGGTTCATCCTAAGTATTCCGAGAACCACCTGCTGTCCACATAATATAACATTATCCCTGTACCTTCGTCTTCTTTATTTTATTTTTTCCACTCTTACCAAACTTTTCCGCGCAGCATACACGAGCAATAACACTTATCAAAAACCCTCTCAAGAAGTCATGGCCACTCTTACCCAACAGCCCGACATTCCTCAGGCCGCAAGCCTGATCGAGGCTGGCTTGCAGGCCCGTATCCTGTCGCCCACGGATCCCGAGTACGCAGCCCGTGAGGAGTCGTACTGGTCCTCCAGCGCAAAGATCAAGCCCGCCTGCATAATCCAGCCTCGGACGGCCGAGGAGGTAGCCACGGCCGTGAAAGCCCTGGCAGCTTCTGGGCAGAAGTTTGCCGTCCGCAGTGGTGGCCACACCAACTGGGCCGGCTCAAACAACATCGCGGGCGGTGTGACCATCGACCTGGTTCACCTCGACAAGGTTGTTTTCAACGCCGACTCCGAAACGGCCAGCATCGGCCCTGGTAACCGGTGGCGTCAGGTGTATGCCGAGCTGAACAAGCATGGACGTGCTGTGGCCGGAGGTCGCGAGGGAAATGTCGGCGTCGCCGGTCTCCTTCTCGGCGGCGGCAATACCTTCTACACGGCCAGGCAAGGCTTCGGGTGCGACAATGTAGTTGCCTTCCAGGTCGTCCTCGCCAACGGAGACATTGTCGTGGCCGATGAGAAAGGTAGCCACAGCGACCTGTACCGGGTGCTCAAAGGCGGGTCCAACAACTTTGGTATCGTCACCGAGTTCACCATGAAGGCCATCCCCTCGGACAAGGTTTGGGGTGGCATGGCCTTCTTCCCCAAGCAGACCACCCCCGGTGCCATCGAGGCCCTCACGACCTTTGCCGACAACGTCCCTAACGACGTCAACAGCAATCTCGTCACCATCTTCACATACATGCCCGACTTCAAGGACATTGTCGTGGCCACCTTGTATGCCAACGTCGCTGGCGTCGAGAAGGCCCCCGCCTATGAGAAGTGGTTGGCTCTGCCTGAGATAATGAACACTGTCAAGATGACGTCTATTTCTGAGATGGCCTTTGAGTACAACATTCCCACCAACTACTAGTAAGTTTATCGAGTATCTCCTCGATACATATTGTGTGCATGTGTTTAGGGAGAAACAAAGCAAAAAGGGAAAAGAAGGAAGGGTGGAAGCTGACCTCGTTTACCCCCTAGCGACACCTGGTTCACGCTCTGCTTCAAGAACGACCCCCGCATCATTACAAAGGCGACGGAACTTCACGAAAAGCTCGTGGACCAGCTGAAGGAATTCATCCCGGACGGTGACTTCATCACGCAGTGCCTATTCCAGCCCCTTCCTACAATCTTTGGCCAGCGCGGCGTCGAAGCCGGTGGCAACATCATGGGCATGGACCGCCACCAGACCAACGGCATCCTGTTCCTAGCTGTCGTCATGGCCAGGACGCCCGAACAGGAGGCCTTTGCCTACCCCAAGGTACAGGCCTGGATCAAGGAGGTGCGAGACTTTGCCGCTACCATCGACGGCGGCAACCTCGAGTGGGTGTACCTCAACTATGCGGACAAGTCCCAGGACCCGCTAGGCAGCTACGGTGCCGAGAACATTAGAAAGATGAAGGATGCTGCCGCAAAATACGACCCTGACCAGGTCTTTCAGAAGCTGTGCCCTGGAGGATTCAAGATTTCTGACGTCAAGGATCAGTAAGGGAGCTGGTATCAGGTCCAACATCTTAGAGTAGGCCGAAAGTACATAAAGGCAATGTCTCTACTTGTACATACGGAGCTCTCCTGTTCATATTGTACATGGCAAATTATTTTATCATGGCATATATTCAAGTAGCGTCCAAATTATCTAGAAATAGATATGATTGAAACCTCTATCACTGTTCCCTTTTCGACCGTTGGTTTCATGTTAAACTTAAATTGTAAAGATCGACAGCCCACACGATGGAGACTGCATGACCACCAGTCAATTATCGTCTTCTACCGAGTCCCGTCTAATAGATTGTATCTTATAACTTGGTGGATCTTATATTACTTGGTGGACTGCCGTTATCGGCTGCCAGTATCAACCATATCCATCAAATCAACACGGCTTATACATCTGGCATATCCGCAAAACGTACGAGTACTAGACGTGGTGATGTCGAATACTGGGTGCAGTAATGCAAACTCGTACATACCTACTCGTATGACTCCTGAAATGGCCAAAGCTCGAAAACAAACAAGCGATGGCCACTCGTCCCTCAATGCATTCAAGCCGAAGAGAACCTACATGTGTTGCTACTAGTGATACGTCGTATATCCGTCGTACCATCAATCAGAACAATGCCACCGGGGGTCGAATCACTCTCATGGGGAAGAGAGTGGCTTGTTGTTGACTATAGTGAATCGGGGGGATGGGTTGGCGGGACGCAAGAATAGCCTGACTAATCGGGAACTGATGAAGCCGAGTAGATCCACGGCCCTGTTGGTAAGCAAATTAACACTACGTACGGAGAGTATTACAAACTTAGAAGTTGGCACCCACGGGCCACGGCACGGACCCCCTTTCTAGCATCATGCCACTTTTAACCCTTCTTCTCCTTTTTTACTCCGGAATCCGTACAGATTACCGTACATGCAATAGTCTCGTGCTCATATCGCATTGTACCCCCGTACCTCATCATCTGGTCCCACCGCCCTGGTATCGAATGCGTGTGATAGTCCTCGGCACGTTACCGCCGAGTCGCCGACAAACCTCAGTGAAGGAGCCAGGGGAGGGGGGGGGGCCGCCGTTGATTTGGAAGCTACCTTCTTTTTGCCCCATAGTCGTACGAGAAATGTTGTATCGCGTGTGCGTCGTAATAAAAGCTATTACTACTCTTGTCATGTATATATGGATGAGGTTTTCTCCTCTTCCCAAGAGGCTCTGTTTCATTGTTTCCTATTGTATCATTGTTTTCGTCCAGTCGGTCCTTTGTATCCTGTCAGAGGTCCCAACTACATCAAGGTTGACCATCGGCCCAGTACCATCGACTTTGCTGCAAGCCTTGCACTCCATAATAACACTGGAACATCGTACGACAAATGAGTATTATTTGCTACTTCGCTGCAGCCAAGACGATCCCATCTTAGACCCTGGCAGACCTTTTCACCCCCAAATTAGCGGCTACGACGCAATAGTGCCTGCCTTACTTATTACATCCATTGTCGACAATCACCACTAAGGCCTTCAACTTCGACAGTTTACAAAACAAACTATTTCCGCTTCAACGTCGCCATCTCCGTGTGATCGAAGCGTCCATTCGTTTTCCTCCCGGCCTCCACTCTTTTCCCGTCTTTCTGTTGCCCGCGTGCATCTCCCTTCCTTTTGCTCTCACTTCTCCAGCGGTTCCTGAGCACCTATCAACATGGATATTGTCCTCGAATTCACAGACACCTTCATAGCCGACTATGTCTATGCTTGGGCACACCCCATCAAGCCGGCACCCTACGACTCCCTTATGGGTATAGCTTCCAACTATTCAGAGGCTCAGCAGACATTTTCTCCCTGGACGTTCCAGCCAGCCAGCCAGTTCATTAGCGTCCAGCCTTCACAAGCCGCCTACATGAGCGCATGGCCACGCGACAATGTCTTTCGCCAGCTGATTACCCTTTACTTTATCGTCTGGTATATTTCATTATTTCCTTTGGTTCCCGATATAGGATTGTGTCTCCCGCGCGCCCGCCGAGCTAGCCATCTAACTATTTGCTCTACCGCAGGCTCTTTGGCATACTCGTCTACTTCTTTTTCGCCTCTCTCTCCTACGTCTTCATCTTTGACAAGCGCACCCTCGACCACCCCAAATTCATCAAGAACCAAGTCTGGCTAGAGATTGTTCAGGCGAATCGGGCCATGCCCGTCATGGCCCTGTGCACAGCGCCCGTGATGGTTCTCGAGGTCCGCGGCTACAGCAAGCTCTACGACACGACAGACGAAGGCCCCGGGATGTGGTACAACATCGCGCAGCTCCCCCTTTTCCTTCTGTTTACCGACTTCTGTATCTACTGGATACATCGCTACCTTCATCACCCTCTCATCTACAAGCGCCTTCACAAGCCTCATCACAAATGGATCATGCCCACCCCCTACGCCAGCCACGCTTTCCACCCGCTCGACGGCTTCGCCCAGTCCCTCCCCTACCATATCTTCCCCTTCCTCTTCCCTCTCCAGAAGATCACATCGGTCGCCCTCTTCGCCTTCGTCAACTTTTGGTCCATCCTTATCCATGACGGCGAGTACCTCACCAACAACCCCATCGTCAACGGCGCTGCCTGCCACTCCCTCCACCACTCGCGCTTCGAGGTTAACTACGGTCAGTTCTTCACTGCCTTTGACCGCATGGGTGGAACTTACAGGATGCCCGAGGCTTGGATGTTTGAGGCGGGGAAGAAGATGTCCAAGAAGCAATGGAACAGTGAGTCCAAGGCCGTCGACGGCCTCGTCAAGGAGATTGAGGGTGCTGATGACCGCACATACGAGCCCGCCGACACTAAGAAGAACAAATAAGCGTTTCTAACGGTGGCTGGTTTGCTCTGGCCGAGGAGGACATTTGTTTTCTTGTTTTATTTGCCAGATTGTTTAGCGATGTAAAGCTTGCATTACAGAAGCGCATCGTACCAGTGTCTATTCTTGTTATACACGGTCCCGGGTCCACACTCTTGAATTACGATAACGGCGTTGGTGAATTGGTATTGAATACGGTGTACTGCATTTACTACATATCCCTTCTATAGTATTTTTAATCACTTCTTGTATAACTGCATTTTCCATAACAGAGAGGAGAAGGGGGAAGCTAGATCGTGCAATAGGGGTGTGATTTAACAAAAGAGAAAGAAATATAAATGCAATATCAAAGAAGCGTGCTTTGTAACCATGAAAATTAACCCGTTATTTGATTATTTTTTTTTAAAAAAATAATAGAAGGCAAAAGAAGGAAAGGAAGAGATGGCATTTACCTCCTTCCAGTAGGGCTTCAATAAGAGCTCTAAACTACAGCACAATTAGGATGACAGAAAACCGCTGGCTTGGATTGCCGTGTTGGCCCCCTCTTGGAGCCCTAGTCCAGGGCGAATGTTTCATTGCCCCTCCTTGCGACAGAAGGGTTCAATGCAACGAGATAGTGACGTTCGCTCTCCCACGTATGCCCAACAAACAAAGAAAAAGCGCAGGAATATCCTGGGGGAAGGAAAGACGAGTTTTGAACAAACAAAAAAAAAGACGCTTCAACCTGCTCCACGCCTTGGGACTTAAGAAAAACTGACAAACTTGGGGTCCCGCGGACGCCCATCAGCCCCGATACCGTTGGCCTTAAACCGGCTCTCCATATAAGCCTTCCTAGCCTGGTCAAAAGGGAGACGCCTCTTCTTCATAATCTTCAGGATCTCAGCCTTGCTCGCGTCGTCGAGACCCGCGCGACTGTCGCCGTCCTCGACATTGGCAGTCAGATCAAAGGTGCTGCTGGACAGGCCAGCCTCCATGTCACCGGCGAAGCTGCCGGGCAGTCGCGAATAGATGTAGCCTGCTCCGGGGACGTGGATCTCGGGGACGTGCTGGCGCCAGTGGGCACGGGTGAAAAAAAGGACCAGGACGACGACGGTGAAGAAGAGGGTTACGGAGTAGAGGAAATATTCCATAGTTGTTGTATCAAGGAGAGAGTTGTCTCCTCTTTATTCGTTGTAGTTACAAGAATGTATGCGTGTATGTCGGAAAGGAGAGTGGTTGTTGGTGATGATGATGGTTCGGATTGCGCGGGAGCGAGGTTACGTGGCGTGGTGCGTGGCGCTGTGGTCCGGGGTTAATCGTGTAATGTATTATTTGTCCGGCCTACTGCCCTTCTATGACAAGCTGTGACATAGAACAGTGAGCAGTCTGTCAGTTCGTCCTGGGCGTCGATGGTCTTTCTCTCCCGGTTGCGGCCGGTCACTCGTTTGAATAATAATGGGGGTGCGATTGTCTCATTTTGAGCGAAAGAGGGCGGAGTCGCCATGCGTACGATGTATTACTACTAAAAGCTAGGCGTTCTTTACGGGTACGAAAGCTGACCGAAAGGCCAATGACTGCTCCACACTTGAGCCACGCGGATACCAGGATACCCTACCAACTGGCAACTGCTCGCACGCGTACAAGTCATACAAATATTTGCAGAGTGAGCAGATAGAGAAGAGGGAGCAATTCCATCAAATGGACAAATCAACCAGACAAATTTTCATCATGAGGTACTATAAGTATTGGTCATAGCCTGCAGTCAAAACTACTACTAGTATCAAATGCTACCCCAACACATACTGTTGGTAATACCCCTTTGCAAGGCAGGACAAGTCAACGGTATGAACGACGGGTTAGGGGCCTGTTGAATATTCATTTACCCAGCCCAGGCCCCACGGGTATATGTAAGCTTCATTAATAGAATACAAGTCACTTAATTGCATTAGCCCTGACGACCCTGACTTGATAGGTCGATACTTGTACGCTAACCCGGATTTAGCATCTAACCGAGCGCACAGTTTGGGGCAATTTTGATCGTTTCTTCGTAATCGTAAAGTCGCAAATAATTATCACCAAAATCTCGGCCTCACGAAGTATCTTCACCAGCCAAACCCAACCGTCACAATGTCTTCCCCCGCGATCGACAACATCTCCCAGGATGTCATTTGGGAGATCTCCCGTGAGTATCTTCTCTCCCGGTGAAAAAAAGAAAGGGAACCAGAGAAAGAAGACCTAAAGAAAGATGGAAGAGAGAAGACCTTGAAAGCTGACGATGCAATCCCACGGAATAAAGGCAGCTACAACAGCTTCCTCGTCAAGAGCAACCAGAACGGTGGCGTCCAGTTCTCCCGCGACCCTCTTAACTTGGTGAACAAGAACGTCCGCAAGGTATGAAGTCCCACTACACAAGACAAACCTAGACAGTCTCGATTCTGTCCTCAGAATGAATGGAGGGGCTAACTTGATATACAACAGCACGCCGGCTTCGCCAACGACAAGGTAATTTTCCAGCGAACAATCAATACTACATGAGTGGTAGTACGGACGGACAGTAACTAAAAAAAATGATAACAGGCTCTCGGCATTGTCCGCAACGACAAGGGCTACACTGTCATTACCAAGAAGCCCACTGCCCCCACCAAGCCCAAGGAGACCTTCATCAAGTCCCAGGTCTCCGGCGCCAAGTCCAGCCGCAAGTCAGTACTTAATACGAGTTTTTTGTTCTTCCACAGCTCTTATACATATAACTAACTCGATATCCACGCATCACCAGGGGCTACAAGGCTGTTGCGAACCAGACTGCCAAAAACGGCTACCGCCCTGACCTCCGCGCCGCTGCCGTCGCCCGTGTCTCTGCCATCCAACAATCCCACCTCCCCGTGAAGGACGAGCCCGCTACCAAGCTGAGGGGCAACAAGGCCAAGAGGGCCGCTGCCGCCGCCGCCGCTTCTGCTTAAACGAAATCATTCCCGACGAGATAGAATATTAAAGAAAGAAAGACGGCGGGCATGGGAAGGCAAACAGTGCGGACATACGGGATTATTCTTTTTACAAAGAGCAATGCAAGCGAGAAAAATAGTACTCGCCAGTTCGAGTCCCTAGGGTCACGGTCGGAGTTTGGCATCTGAAATCTGCAATACACGTCAAAATACACCATTGGGAATCAATTCGACGCCTTCAACAACATGACTGTTTTCCAGGCACCTAGTCTCGTTTCTTCGCTGTTGAAAGAGTGTGCATACCCTTGAATCTATCCCATTGACTTGTTGTCATACGATGTCAAAGACGACGGTTCGATGTGCTCAAGTCGTATCATAAAAGGTTGTAACTACACGTCTGCTGAGCCTCTGAGCATATGAAATAGAACATTAAGTCGCCCGTATCCAGTCGGAAGTATGCGGTAGGACAGAGAATGATTAGCCGTCATTCTCCCTCGGTTGACTTTTTGGAAACCAACATGTATTGGTCAACCTTGCCCGTGACCGCTAAAGGTGGATATCGAAGAATCGGTCCCGGGTGTGATGTCTCCGACCGTTCCCGGTTGCCGACACGGGCCGTACACCGGACGGGCCTACCTGGAAGGATTCATAGCGGGCCATGGCTCTTATAATCCTCCTCAATGGTAGTACAGACTAGCTTTGGCAGCATCGTATAGTAATACGAGCAGTTCTAGTAAGAGCTTCTCAACGTCCCATACTCGAGACGCACAGCTGTCATAGCCGGTTCCCCAGTACTGGAATGGCTGCGTCCCATATACGGGCTTTCAGATGGTCATATTCCGAGTTCCCGAAGCGTTCCGTGGTTTCCCCAAACGCATGAGCCAACAAATCACACAATAACACTGCATAGAGATCGTGATACATCGTATCATACACTGGGGCCCCGCAACCATGTATTTTGGTCTGCTGGATATCCTACGCTGCAATTTTCCCCGCACGTCCGTCCGGGGCAGTCCAGTAGGATACTGGAATTACTAGTACCTACGATGTACAGGCCGACGCGGGTATCACTGTATAGTCTACGGGCCTCGGTCATCCGGGTACGTGAAGCTCGTAATGGTCGGCAAGTCTCGGGAGGTGATCCTCGATACTTGACCAGAATACTTCCTCTCCAGCCCGATTTCTTACGGGCTGCAACCCAAGAATCCTAGGATACCCCAGGCCAGTTTGGTTTCTACGAGTACGTAGTAGGAAACTTTGGAGATGACGCTTTCCTGTTGGTATGGGCGGCATGGAATCTTTTTTTCTTGGAACAGGGCTGGGTCCGATCATGTGATTCATTGGCTGCGCGCTGCCGCACCTTCCTTCCTCGCATGCCCCTCTTTCCCGTCGCGGGGTTCCATACTTATTACGTCGTGGCTAATAATAATGACAAACCCGCACAAGCTTTTTCGCTGTACGGCGTAGCAATAAGTGCTAAGAATGTTGCTCGGAGCTACTGCAAACCCACTATAGCAGCGATCCTCGTAGGTAAGGATTACCCAACAGTACCACGTACTATTAATTATAACAGCTCAAAGCCCATCAAACTCCTCTCTCCCTGTCTCTCCATAACTCCTCCCATTCTTCTCATCCTCCCTAGTACAACAACTCATCAAGGACTATATACTCTCTCATTCGATCTTTTTATTTATCTTCTTCCTAAATCACAGCTTCCCAACTCTCCTTACATACATCACCATGGTCAAGGCCGGTTCGCATACCCCTCCGACCCCGCATTTCCTAGTATTTTGCTTTCTCAGGGTCTCGCTGACATGAATAACGCGCAGTTGTTGCTGGTGCCTCTGGTGGCATTGGACAGGTAAGGGATTGATTACATTGCCGTCCCAGATGCTCATCATAGCTGTGTTCCGCGTAATTCGCTAATATTTGAGCTCAGCCTCTGTCCCTCCTGCTCAAGACGAGCCCTCACATCACCGAGCTTGCTCTCTACGATGTCGTCAACACCCCTGGTGTTGCCGCTGACCTATCTCACATTTCGTCCCCTGCGGTATGCTTCATCCTAACCCATGAAAAGGAGAGAATAGGAGATCCCATTGGGCCGCGCTCTCTCGATGATGTTTCTGATAAGCTGACAACCCTCGTGTCTATAGGTTGTCAAGGGCTACCTCCCCGCCGACGACGGAGCTAAGAAGGCCTTCAAGGATGCTGACATCATCGTCATCCCTGCTGGCATTCCCCGTAAGTCTTCATTTGTTTGGTACAGCTTTCGTCTCTCGGACTGCCAGTACTACTCACCAGGGGCGCTCCTTTCAGTCGGCCATGTTAACCTAAATCATAGGCAAGCCCGGCATGACCCGCGACGACCTCTTCAATATTAACGCTGGCATCGTCAAAGGCCTCATTGAGACTGCTGCTGAGGTCGCCCCCAAGGCTTTCATTCTCGTCATCTCCAACCCCGTCAACTCGACTGTTCCCATCTCTGCCGAGGTCCTCAAGGCTAAGAACGTCTTCAACCCCCAACGTCTCTTTGGTGTCACCACGCTCGACATTGTCCGTGCCGAGACTTTTGTCGCTGAGATTATTGGCGAGGCCTCGCCCCAGAAACTCAACATCCCGGTCGTCGGTGGCCACTCTGGTGCCACCATCATTCCTCTCTTCAGCAAGGCCAACCCTCCTGTCAAAATCCCCGCTGACAAGTATGAGGCCCTGGTAAACCGCGTTCAATTTGGCGGTGACGAGGTCGTCAAGGCTAAGGACGGCGCTGGTTCCGCTACCCTTTCCATGGCCTATGCTGGTTTCCGGTGAGTAGTTTACAATTTTATCACTGCAATGGAAGATTCAAGGACTGACCCAATCGCAAAAACAGCTTCGCCGAGAAGGTCATCAAGGCTGTCAAGGGTGAGAAGGGCCTGGTTGAGCCTAGCTATGTCTACCTTCCCGGTATTCCAGGTGGCAGTGCCATCGCCAAGCAGGTTGGCACTGACTTCTTCTCCGTCCCCATTGAGCTTGGCGTACGTATACACCACATTCCCTTGCATGTCAGATCCGAACTCCGACCGGCTAACCTCGTATCCACAGCCCAACGGTGCCGAGAAAGCCAACAACCCCTTTGAGGGCATCACTGAGCAGGAGAAGGCGCTTCTGGACAAGGCCATCGCCGACCTTAAAGGCAGCATTAGCAAGGGCATTGATTTTGCCCACAACCCTCCCCAAAAGTGAACAAGTCCTCCCCCCCCCAACCCTAGTGCGGACCAGTAAATTCTACCGCTCGCTGCTAGAAGGACAGAGACGATGGCGTTGAAGCTAGGCGTAATAAAAAAGATTCAAGTCAGGCACATGAAGCTGACAGTTGTCTTCTCCACAGGCTGTGAAGTATGTTTTGCGTTGCCACGTCGAAGCGGGCCCGATCGAGCCACATAATAGCGCTGCAGTACATTCGATGCCTCTGTCTTAACCCTGGGTGCTGTGACCCAGGCCCGGTTTTATGTGGAGATTTGACCATAGAGAGGTACATGGATCGCTAGAGGGGGATCTTGAATTGGCGCGTTGGATATCGGTTGGTAGCAAATGTTCTTTGTCTTGTGTACTGGTATTGCCTGGACATCGGATCGTTATGGCTTGGCGGGCATAGTTTTGATTTGGAACACAGCGGCGGGCAGGTCATGCACCTCTGCATGAACAGTGGCTTCCGTACCCAGAGCAGCGAGGGCTCCCCTTACAATTCCGGCTGGGAACCATAGGAACTATACATTAAAGGTCAGCACCGCAACACGAACATAAGACATCGCGATCATTGTGTGTGGTGAGGAAAATGTGACGTACTGGCTGAGCGCGTGTGACGGCTTGGCCACCGGGTTCGCTGCTCATGCGTGAGAATGGTCGAAAGACGTTGTCGGTCAAGACATAGACACCCTGCAAAACCTAGTGTTAGAAAGGATGGGGATGGAAATGACAGGCAGGTGGGATGCGACGCGTACTCGATGGTTGGTCTTCAGATTGTCGATGTTCTTTCCAAAGACTAGCGACCAAAAATCCTTGCAAAGAAACTTGATGACATCGAGGGAATCGCTAAACCGCGGGCGGTCCTTGGAGAACCTATAGGGGAATGAAGCGCGTCAGTCACGAACAATGAGAAGCGAAACCCCCATTGCATACTACGAGAAGGAAGCGACAAAGCTGTAGATAATGACGTACCTCTCGACGAGTCCCTGGCCAACACGATACCCCGTTGACTCTAGCTTATGCTGTACAGCATCCATGGCCTCATCCTCGTCTATCCTGCTGAGGCTGACCGCAGACGTGCTTCCATTAGCAGCAACGGTATCGGCTGTCGTCGTCGCTGCTTCTTTGCCAGTGGCTGTGCCTTCTTCATCTTCTTCTGAGTCCGCCGCCATCGGCGTCTCTGTCGTCACGCGGTATGCTAGGGGGACCAGCTCGATGAGAAGGAAATCAAGAGCTGAGGAGCTCACGAAGGAGGCCGACGGATCGGATCCATTGTATGGTGGCATGACAGGTTCGAACGACATGATGGGAACTGGTGTTTTGTCTTTTGTGGTGGGAAAAGAGCCCCTGCTATCTTTTTTTTTTATGACAGGCGTGTATTTTGGGAGGGAGTTAAGAGGAGCTGGGACAGGAGAACTTGGTGCTACTAGCAATAACGCGGGGGATGCCGAACTGTTCTCCCAGACACGCCACATACCCTGTATCTGTTGGTGAAACCGGCACAGCACCTCTTTTGTATGATAACATGGCTGGTTTCCTGAGTCGTTTAGTCTCTTTCATCTTTTTTCTGTATTTTTGTATTGATACAAATAAGTAGTAGTAAGTATCTACCCGACTATATGGGTAAAGAGGGCAAAATGTAACTACATGTAGATATACTTGTCGGAGAAAGCATGATATTTATGTGTGTAAATCTGATGTTGTTGGGAATACCATCAGTATTCTATGAACCAAGATATTTAAATACACGAAGCAGTATAGTTGAGTGCCGAGAACGAAAATAACCAGGCCAGCTACAATAGTTATATAATTTTCAAAGGAGTGCTCATATGACAGCATACAGATGGCTGCTGAGACTGATACCACGCACTGCGCCGTGAGTGGATAGCCGGAAAAACCGCTGATTAGATACAGCGATAAATATACAGTAACCGGGGCTTATAAACAGAACTACCGTCAGCAAGCAAGTCGGGACAACATTAGCTGTCGTCGCGTTTGTCGATACAAAGGAAATAGAAAAACGCCACTCACATAGCGAGGCGAAGTGGCATGACCACGAGCTCAAGCCGGCGTCATGCTACTTTCCGCTAGGCTAGCCAGCCGGCTACCTCGATCGTCGTTGTGTCCCGGGCTGGCAAAGTTCCCGAGTCCCTTGCTAGTACAACAACCGCGATGCGGCGTCTTCACTGCGTCTGCTGTCTTGCGGAGCCAGCAGAAGCCGCAGCAGCAACAGCAGCCACTTAACAAAAGGTTCGCAATCATATACACACAAGATTGACAACGCTGAGAGATTGACCTTGTGCTCCATCGGCAGTGAGCCGCCGTCACCATTGCCAAAGGCCAAGCTCCCTGCGACTTCGACGATCCGGAAACCCTCGGGCGAACCCATCCTTCACGAAGACATCTACACCATACCGAATGCCCTGACATTTACGCGACTCCTGGCCGCCCCCGTCGTCGGATACTTCGTTCTGCATGACCAGCATGTCTGGGCGACGGGCCTCTTCGCATACGCCGGTATAACTGACTTCATCGACGGATGGATTGCTCGCCGATGGAACCGCAAGACGGTCGTTGGCACTGTCATTGACCCAATGGCCGACAAGGCCCTCATGACCATTCTGACTGTCGCTCTTGCTGCCAAAGGAATGCTGCCCGGTACGTCGCCCCCCACCCACGTCCCATATTGGTACCGGAAAAAGAAAAGCAGACCGGAAGAGTACAAGGAGCTAACAAAATGTGTGCACCAGTTTGGCTTGCTGTCATCATCCTCGGCCGCGATATGGGTCTTGGTATCGCTGCCATCTACTACCGGTGGATCTCGCTCCCGCCTCCCAAAACTTTCTCCCGATACTGGGACTTCTCTCTACCTTCGGCTGAGGTCCACCCCACCACTATCAGCAAGTACAACACCTTGTTCCAGGTCGGACTCATTGGCCTGACTACGGCCTCGCCCATCATTGGCGTCGACCTGGCGCATGTTCTCACTGCATCGCAGTAAGTTAATGTATTGTTGCAAGTGGTTTAGAGGATCACCTCAGGCTAACAAACGTCTACTACTTCAGATATCTGGTTGCTGCCACAACCATTTGGAGCGGCGCGAGTTACGTCTACACCAAAGACGCTGTAAAAATACTCAATCGGCCCGAGCCCGGGGAAAAGCAAAAGAAGCAATAGACCATGGGCAGGAAATTCTTGCCAACTTTGTATTTTGTATAATTGAAAATGTATCTGGTGATATTTATAGTCGGACGAGAGACCCATATTGGCCACTGCGAACTTGCGGAGAAGATAAAAAGGAAGGTTGTTTATTTCTGTTGTACATGTGGTTTCAAAAAGCGAAATATACAAAGTCCAGTCCAATTCCAGACAGCTGTTTTTCCTGTCACCCAAACGCCTTATCTGTTTCCTATTCTATTGTACATTCATTGGACTTCTTCTCTAGATATTGCTGAGTTTTCCGTAGCTCTGCGAGGACTGCGGCGTACATGAGCTAGGAGTCTCAAACTTCCAGAAGGTGTGACGCCTTCAACTCGACGAGCCTGAGCAAGTGTCTCTGGGCGCGTCTTCTGGAGGACTTGACGCTCAGCAATGGAGAGACCGGCCACAGTCTCATAATCAAGATCCAGAGGCAGCCTGATAGTCTCATCGTTGGAAAATCTGCCGTGTTCAGTTGCGTGGATCTTGATGTAAGGGGCGTATATGGACTCAAGCGTCACCCGTTCCTTGATCCGGGGTGTGAATGATGCCACGCTGGGTATGGCCGACTCGAGACTGTCAATGTCGATGCGTGCGTTGGTGTTGGAGATTTGGAGCAAGTCAACTCCTGTCCGCCGACGGGTGTCAGTCCTGACCTTGATGCCATGCTCACCCCATTGCTTGGGGCTGAATGAGACCGCCTCGAGGGCCTTTGTCAGATCTTTCATCTGCTGCTTCTCATCTGAAAACGCATTCCATCGTCTGTCAGACACGACCCCCCAGTCCCTGCCCTTCTCCGTCAGGCGCAGGTCCGCATTATCCGCTCTCGCCGCCATGCGGAACTCGCTGCGCGAGGTGAACATGCGGTATGGCTCTGTCACGCCTTTGGTGACCAAGTCGTCAATCATTATGCCAATGTAGCCGTCAGACCTGGACAGAGAAACACCAGGGAGACCAACAGCAGCCCTGCCAGCATTGATACCAGCGATGACACCCTGGCCTGCAGCTTCCTCATAGCCCGTAGTTCCGTTGATTTGACCCGCCAGATAGAGTCCATCAATTGCCTTGGTCTCTAATGTTGACTTTAGTCCACGAGGGTCTACGTAGTCGTACTCAACTCCATAGCCCGGCTGTAGCATCTTGACGTTCTCGAGTCCCTTGATCGAGCGCAGCACCCGCTCCTGCACATCGACAGGAACCGTCATGGACAGCCCATTGGGGTAGATGACATGGTTATCGAAACCCTCAGGCTCTAGCCACACGATGTGGCGCTGCTTTTGCGGAAAGCGAATAACCTTGGATTCGAGCGATGGGCAATATCGAGGACCCTTGACTGTTTCCCGGATATGTATCGTGTTCTCAAGGTTCTGGCGGATAAGCTCATGTGTGGCATCGTTCGTGTAAGTGATGTAGCACGATAGCTGATCTTGGACGGCAACTTTGTCGTTAAGGTAGCTAAACGGCATGGGGGGTTGGTCACCGAATTGCGGCTCGAGATTGCTGGTGTCGATGGAGGATTTATCGATGCGCGGCGGGGTTCCCGTCTTCAGCCTTCCCAACTCGAACCCGGCGTCTTTCAAGGACTTGCTCAGGCCGAACGTCGCGGCCTCACCTATCCGGCCCGCTGGATAGCTCTGCAGACCGATGTGTATTTCGCCTCCCAGGAAGGTTCCTGTAGTTATGACCACCCTCGAGGTAGGCAAGACGCGGCCGGATTCAAGGCGAACACCGGCGATCCTACCCACTGTTTCAGATTGGTAGGAGGCATCGTCTTCGGCGAGAACAATATCCGACACGCTGTCGAATACGATGGAGAGGTTCGGATACGTCTGGAGCTCGGACTTCATGTATTTCCTGTAGAGGCTTCGGTCGATTTGCGCACGGGGCCCCTGTTTTACACAAACCAGTCAGTCACTCGTTTGTAAGGCTGAGGCGCACAACCATGTGTTGTGGACCAACATACCCATACGGCGGGGCCCTTTTTGCGATTCAATAGATGGAACTGCACGCCAGCCTTGTCAATTATTCTCCCGGCAAGTCCATCGAGGGCATCGATCTCGCGAATTATTGTGCCCTTTCCGATTCCTCCAAAACTCGGATTACAGGAGCATGTGCCCAAATTGTCGATGCTGGGCGTGATGAGTGCTGTTCGCGCGCCAGCCCTGGCAGCGGCGGCGCAGGCTTCAGCACCTGCGTGTCCACCGCCAATAACGACAACATCGAATGGCCTGCAAGAGTTGATAGTTAGTAAGTCATATTGCCGTTTGGATACAAGATAATCAACAAATACCTGGAATCGTTGGATACTGTTGCTAGACCGCGTCGTAGATAACGCCGTTGCCGATGTAGGGGCGGCCCGGTCAGCTTTGGCCGCAGAAGAGCGCGCATGCTGGCACGACCTTGTCTGGTGGCGAAAAGGCTACCGCGATCCATGGTGCATTCCGGGTGATTGCCAGAGTGTTTCTTGAAGGAAGATACGAAGGTTCTTCCAGGGGTCCGACCGGTTGTTTGTCATTTTTTCCCCGTCTTGCCACACCCTAAATATGCATTAAAGCGTGCATACCGTTATTTCGCTAGCTGTTGGCATCACCACATATGATTATAGGAATAAAGTCAGGGAAAAAAAGTAGAACCAAAAATTCTCAAGCATGCGAAAACGTTTCATTTGAAAGGTGATGAATGAGAAAACAACGCCCAAAATTCTCTAAGTGCTTATTGCACTGCCTAATCTATCTCCAACCGATGGTTCCTCGGGCCTCATCGCCTGACCCTGCTCTCCGGCCAAGAGGAAACAGCATCCTCTACCTCCTCTAGGAAAGTTTCCGAGTTATGGATAGACGTGCCGCCAAGAACCACACGAACTCCCGGTGTCGAAGCGTTGATTCCAGCAACCATCTTGGCCTCTTCGTATGTGGTCCCGCCGACCATAAAGACGATGATATCTTGCGGCTTGTCCCTGGTAGAGGTATCGATAAATGGGTACTGTTGCTCTCTGAGGCGGCCCTTGATGAGATCCTGTAGCGTGCTTTCCAACAGGGGGCTGTGCTGTGTGTAGACATTTTCAACACCCTTCAGGCCCTTGAAGCGGTTAGTAGCACCTGAGAAGATGCCCGCTGAATCAAAGATGTCGGTAATACCTCCATGGTTTTGGGATGAATGAAGAGAACAGTGATAATCGACGACTTTTTTGGCGAGATCGGCCTTGCGGGGGGGGACGTCGCCTGCCGCGACCAGGAGATCTGTGAGCATGGGCACCGAGTTGGACGGGTGTTTGTGGTAGCGCAGGGCGTATAGAGAAACAAGGCCCACCTTGCTCTCAGCAGTCACGCCGGGAGTCTGAATCAATCTTTGGATGTTCTAGAAATGGTCAGTGAGAGATTTAACATATGTATGTCAATATAGGGGTGTGCTTCTTACCTTGAGGTCGGCGTTGTGATTGTCATTACAGGCCAGGCTTTGCTCCAACTCACTCACTTCGAGCAAATTGTGGGTGCCGACTCTCCTGCTGAGCTCCGAGACTAGGGTGACATGCTTGCTGACGTTTCCGGAAAGCTTGCGGAACTCGGGATACTCCTCTATGAAGCGCTTCATGTCAGAGATAGACTCCAGGTCGGCATTATTCTTGGTCTTAGACTGGTACTGCTCCACGTAGTCCTTGATGTTGCCTCCTAGGTCTCCAAAGTTCAGGTACATGTTCTTTTTGAAGAACGGGTCTTGATCCTGAGACAGGAGGATCTCCTTGAGTTCGGGCCGGATATCTGGTACACCGGCCAGATCTACACGACCATTCTGAATACCAAGAAGGTGGTGCACCATGGCCTGGTATGTCCACTGGGTGAGGAGCGGTGTGACTGGGTCGTCACGACGGTCGAGCACCAGGAGGATAGGCGGCGTGTCGACACGGCGAAAGTCAAATAGTTGCTCCTCTTGACCCATGAGATAACGAACTTCAGTCGCCAACTTTTTGGACAAGGGGCTGCTCTTCTCATATCTGATGAGGGGCTTCTTTTTGAGGGACAGGAGCACAGCCATTATACCTTCGGCGCATCTCTGAAGGGTGTCTGGATTCCACGTGTCCGGATTGCTAGCCCATATGCGGTGCTGGGGAAGAGTGATCCCCAGAGAGAAGAGGTCAGGGTTAGTGACTGTGTAGTCGGCGAATATTTCCTGAACGGACTTGACGACTTCGTGGTCATCGGCCTCAGCGAGGCGCTCCAGTGCCGACTTCTTGACCACGTTTGTGAAGTAGATATAATATTCCCCGTATTTGGGATCTCGGAGCTCATCAATAAGTAGCTGGATAGTCTCGGGAGATGGCCGGACCAGACATAGACAGCGCAGATGGCGCATCTTTTCGCGGTTGGCATTGTCTAGGCGATCTATGAGGTACACCTCATGGTTCAGCAACGAAGACTGAGTGACGGCGGTGGATATGATGGAGACTGTCTCCCGGTCCAGGATCAGGGTCTTCATCTTTGTCGACGAGGTCTCGCCAGCCGGCACAACCATCTTCGAGATGTAGCCGGCCACTGCCTGGGATATGTCCATGGTGTTAAAGTTTCCAAGTTGTCGCCAGGGCTAATGTCATGTGCCGCTGTTTGAAGCGAGGCTGGCCAGGTGGCCACAAGTACCGCGGTAGATAATTCGAGAATTGGTGCAAATCAAACAGAATTTTTGATGGCGTTGACTGATAAATAAGAAAACCTCAGAATGTTTTGTTCCTGGATGAATATGTGTTGTGTGTCTTGTTGATCGGTGTCGATAGCTTGGTAGGAGCTGCGCCTGCGTGTCAACTGACGTCTCTCTCTAGACCGCCCCGATATATGCATACTCCACACCGTACATAACATTTGAGTACCGTGGCAAAGCTCCAATGCTTTCATGAGCCATCGACTTCGAAAGCCTTTACGAGATCTGCACGGTGGCATTCCAACATCTTGTGAGCAATGGAATAGAACACCTCCATACAGTATCGAGCCTTGTCATATATCCCTGTCAACGACGTGACATTATTCCGACTTGGCCGTCTTCGGCTTTGCAGTGGGAACACCCGCATGGACTTTGAAGTGTCCTCATCCGCCTCAGCTTTTCAAACTTATAGCTGGGCCAGGCTATAGCTCTGGCTAAACATGACAATGGAGATATGCCCCGCTCACAATGAGCCAACGTATGTTTTGGCTGTTATGTGTGATATTAAACGACGTATACAGGGGGGCTAATCACGACGTAAACAGTTTATCCTTTACCCAAGGCCTTATTGTTGGGCAGCTATCGGTAGTGCTGATCCTAGCGGCATTCATTAAGTTTTTCATCTTCGGCGATCCGCCATCACCCGACATCACGGCCACTCTAAGGGCGACGGAGAGGAGGTCCAGGACTCTGGCTCACAAGCAGTCCCTTCTCAGCCTTCGCAGACCCAGCAGCCGTCATGGCCAGCCTCCCGGGCGCAAGAAGTCGATGGTCCTGCGTAACCCGTCCACCCTGACCATTGGATCCATCCTCAGCAAGACGTACTACAATGTCGACAGCCACCAGCCAGAGAGTCTGGATTGGTTCAACGTGCTGATTGCCCAGACGCTGGCCCAATTTCGCAGCGATGCGCAGCACGACGACGCCATCCTTGACTCGCTGACCAAAGCGCTCAACGCTCCCTCAAGGCCGGACTTTGTCGACGAGATACGAGTCACGGAGCTGAGCCTGGGCGAGGAATTTCCCATATTTAGCAATTGCCGCATCATCCCCGTCGATGAGGATGGGCTGGGCCTCGGAAACGGGAGCAAATTCGATCCTGCCACCGCGGCCCGCGACGGCACGCGCCTCCAGGCTCGCATGGACGTGGATCTGAGCGACATGCTCACGCTAGCTGTGGAGACGAAGCTCGTCCTCAATTACCCTAAGGCACGCTCTGCCGTGCTCCCCGTCGCCCTCTCCGTGTCCATTGTGCGCTTCAGCGGCACACTGTCAATCTCCTTCATCCCTAGCAACTCGTCTCAGTCGACACCGACCATGATGACTTTTAACTTCCTAGATGATTACAGGCTCGATTTTTCGATACGAAGCCTGCTGGGCAGCCGGTCGCGCCTACAAGACGTGCCTAAGATTGCCCAACTCGTCGAGGCACGGCTTCATCGCTGGTTCGACGAGCGGGCTGTCGAGCCGCAGTTCCAGGAGATTGCACTGCCTAGCCTGTGGCCGAGGAAGAGGAACACTAGGGGACCTGATGATGGCATGACCGAGAACACTACATCTATTGGTCGGTCAAAGGGTAAGGACATTGGTCGTGAGCTTCGCGAGGAAGCTCGCAAGGAAGTGGCGGAAGAAGAAAGAGTGGGCGAGCCTAGTTTATTACGCCAGCGCAGGCGCGCAAAGGAAGATGACGAGTTTTCTATGCCGGGATCTATGCCCGGATTTGCCTTGGATGTACGGCCTTAGACACTATGTTAGAAAACATTGAATTAAACAATGGATGATGATGAGAATGAAGTGTATCATAATAACCACATCTACCACTAGCGAAAAAATCTTCTTATTACTTTATTTGTTTTTTTATATATATATTAAAAATCAGCTAGAGCCAAAGGTGATTCGCTCAAGAGGTAAAGCTGTCGATAAAAGGTCATAACGCCGCCAAACAGGAGGAAGTAATATATGGCCGTCCACATCCAGGGGCCTGGCTTTGTCGAATCGGTCAACTCCCTCCAAGAGTACCAGTAGGGCTCAACATGGCCCCAGAGACGGGGCAGTCCCATACTGTTGCAAAAGGTATGCACGAGAACGACGGCGAGGAGTGAGCCGGTCCGCAAGAAGATGAAGGTGGCGTATATGCCAAACAGGTAGGTGTACGCGAACTGCAGAACGGAGCGCGCAAGAGCAGCGATGACAGGAACCTGAGGGTTTGTCTGACGAAACTCGTAGAAATGATGGACGTGAGCCAGACCAAAGACTAGAGGCGAGAGGAAGACTGCGCTCTCCATGGTATGGCCAGCCGACAGCAGAAGCGGCACCGAGGCGGAGCGAAACAGACATTCCTCAGTTATCGGGCCCTTTATTTCGAGAAAAAAATGATTAGCTGGTGGGCGCTCGCAAGAGGGATTGACACCTGCAGTGTGCAGGTTACACATACAGCGACGTAGTTTCTCCACGAGGGCCACGCGACCCAGACGTCCACGAGCGGTTCCAGATGCAGCCAGCGGGACCAAGCACCATCGACGACGACGTGTTCGTACAGAGGCGCGGCAAAAAGCAGGGCAGTGAGGGCGAGGGCCTTGGCCGTTTCAAGGAGGCCCGGTGGCCAGTAACCCATGAGGCGCCAGGGGTTCATCGTCGTCGACGCCTCCGCCGCCGGCTCTGCAGGGCTGGCGGCAAGCAGGAAGAGCAACGTGGCGAGCGAGCAGGCAGCCGTGGAGAGGGACACTACACGGATGCGGGCCCGGATGGCGGCAGGGTCGTCACGGGAGCGCCCGGGAATGGCCCTGGCGGCAGGATATATGTGCAAAGGGAGCACATAGACGACGCAGTATGCCAACTGGGCAAGATGGACGATGATTAGCACCTGCGTTTTTTCTCCCCTCTCAAGTGGGGGAAGGGCCTCTCACCAAGAGGCCAAAGGCTTGGGCCTCGCTGAGGGCCTGTGATCCGGTCACGGCCTCGGCAGACATGGTTTTGAATTGATGTTGTGTCGATGATGATGTGAGATTCAGGAGATGCGGTGGGAAAAGGTTTACCCCCTAGGCCTTGTCATAGACTTGTTATCTCACCCCTTATATCTTTCTTCTTCTTTGTTGTCAGTTGGGCTACTTCTCTGTAAATTATCGATTTCAGAAAATGAAGCGCTCGACGCCGCTGCACAAGCATAAATCAACTAGACACATGTACGTGGCTGTTGTTTGCCAGCGTTATTGGCAACTAATAGTAGTGAGCCACTGTTGCTAGATGCCAATGGCCATGTGCTCTTGTTCTTTACAGTGGGGCTAAACTCTACATCATTGATGATGAGAGCTCTTCTCGCGGAGTGGACAGCAATACCCCGCCGAATTTCTCACTACCAGTACGAGATAACAGATGGTAGAAGGCGGGATTCTGCATCACTTATCTGTTGCTGCTGCACGGTCTGAATGAAACGGGATGCATGTGCGAAGCTATGTATGTAGCATGATGCCAAAAGAAAGAATATTATAGAGTTGCTGTATTGCCAGCCAAGATAGTAAACACTCCCCCCTGCGCTGCGAGCTGGGTTGCAGCCATCACCTTATTCCGTAACGGTCTACAGAGAATAAATCGACGGCGCCAGACACCCAGTACGAGTAGTGCTTCAGAGAACGGCGGCTGCTATGCATACGACGTTACAGAAAAAGGAAAATATACAGAAAAAGCAGGAAAAGCAAGAGATTGAAGGTTGGTCGCCAACCACTGAGGAGACGGGCGCGACACGAAACGCGTGTATGGCGCGTTAGTTAGTGGCGCTACGTGTAGATAAGAAGAGCGAATTGGTCCTGTACGAGTAATACTCGTAGTGTTGACATCTGAAGGAGTCTTGACGTCTTGACAAGTGCGGATTATTATTACCTCCTCTACGGATGTTACGAAGTACACGTATAATATGTATTAATACTATGAGCAGTACTCATTAATATAGAATTGCTATTGCCAGCAGAGTACGGAGTAGTAATGACGACGATAGAGCCATGCTCCGAGCGGCAAGATTAGGGTATAGCATTAGGAGTATAATTTGTGAATATTATGAATACGCTACGGGTACAAGGAAAATCATAGGAAATAAAAAAGCCACAATGATAACAAGACGAAATATTGGATGGTCATAATAACGCAAGAATAAAGTGTCGTAGCTTCAGAATGTGGATTTTTACCTGCGTGCCTGATTTTCGTACTGCCAAGAATAGTCAAGCCAGGTACGAATCTTATTGTGTGTGCACAGATACTCTTTTGGCATTTGCCCCTTGTGTCACCCCTTGCTTTCCGAGAAAAACAAAAGAGACAGGAAAGAAACCCTACGATGAGAAAGAAAATATGAATGTTCTATCAGACATATTCTTATTACAGAGAATCATGACTTTCTGGCTTGCAGACACTTGCCCTCCATTGACTGGCCGAATACACCGCCGCTTCTGCGGGAGTGACCCTGCTGCATGCTGCACCAGGTAATGTCCCACTAGCTGCAGCTGCAGTCTCAAAGAGAGACAGACCAGATAGATTCTCCCTCTCTCTCGTACCAATACAGGTGCTGTAGTAATAGTAATAGTGTCGGTAGTGGCAGTGTTAATAGTGTACGAGTAGCTACATACTGTACAGATTAATAGTACATGAATTATCCGTACCACCCCCACCAAGGGCTCACCACAAGTCCTTAGCCTTCTTCCTGTTTTTTCTCCGTCCGGTTCCTTTTCTTGGCCATCTTACCCTCGTGGAGAGGATCCGTTCTTGTTGAATCAAGAAGCGGCCTAGATGGAACCCCTTCATCACAAAGTGTCTGGACCATGCAGCCTTCATATGACCTTGATACAAGGTTCAGAATAGTAACCGATTGTAGGGAACATTACTACCACAGCTGAAGGAGAGTAGGAGTACCTGTATCCCACTCGTGGTATACCGCCACTACTGGTACTATACGGAGTATGGAGTACGGACTATTAATACAGATTTGAGGCAAAAGCGTACGAGTATTAGTACTATTACATGTAAAATACTCCGTACTAGCACTCGTACAACAAGCGGTAAGCCAGTTAAAATTATATCCTCCGTCTATACGGAATACGAGTAATATATACTACGACATCATAACCCCAGAGGCCCAGGGTGTCCGCCATCGTCCCCAGCTCCACAAGCAGCCATCGCCCTCTCTTACGAGTTACGACGTAGATTGTAGACTAGCCTCTACCGTACTCGTACATGTAATCTGTAGTCTCGATTTCTCTTGCCGTCCTCGGCCGCAGTCACGCCCCTGGCCGTGGCCACACCCCCTCCTCTTATGCTTCTCTCTTCTTTTTACCGTAGCCAACGATTTTCTTTCTCTTTCCTTCTTTCCTTACTCCCGCCCTACCTCAAGTCCTTGTTTTGATTCTCCTTGTCCTTCTTTGCTTGATTGTTTTGTCTAACCACGGCTCTCAGGCCTGCCGCTCCTTTATTCCTTCAAGCCACTCATTCTCACGTACTCTTACGCCGTACCTTCATTCGTTCTCTTTTTTGCTCTATAATATTCCGCGTTGCTCTGCTCTTTTTATATATTTTTTTAGACTTTTTCCACGCTCATTTTAACGCATCCTAGGCCTTGTCCAATTCCCACAATCGTTTACCGCAATCCGTTTCGAATCGCAAAAATCAATCCTGGGATCCTGGACGACTGGATATTACGAACCCGCCCAATACCCCTGTCGACCATCTCAAGACAAAGGCTACTATAGCACACCACACACGCGCCCAAGTCCAGCCTCTCAGTTTTCACTGGAGCTGTTCTAATCTGGCTGAGAATAGACGTGATGCTATTGAGATCCCAGTGTACTGATAGTTGCGTCGTGGCTTGAGAAGTGCTATGTCCGAGTCTCCTGCGCCACAACGGCCGGCCGAGTCCAGTCTCGGAGTCCCCGGCTCCTCCCGCTCGTCGGCTCCGAATTCCAACCTCGACAACCAGGACAACGACAAACTCCAAATCCGCGTCGTGCCTTACAGTCCTCCCCGCATCAGCTCTGGTGGTTCATCTCGAATTCCTTCGTCTCGTCCAGTGGCCTATAACAATGGGAACCCTCCTCTCGGATCCCCTTCTATTGACCGGCATGATGGATCTGACGAAGGGGCCACCACACCCCATGGTCGCGACGGTCAGGGGTCGCGAACCCAGCATGGCGGCGTTTCATCTTGCCCAAGTCCCTCAGGCTCTACCCCAACTGAAGTCAATTCCGCCGACAACTCCAGCGGAGCCTCGTCTCTGCGCTCCCTGTCTCCGCGACCGAAAAAGAGGACCATCAGCATCAATTCGGACAAGACCTTTTCCCTGGTCCCTCATTCTGAATCCTCCTTATCCTCCCGCGTAGGCTCCTTTGGCTCGCCTCAATTCTCCTTGACTACTCCTAGCAGCGCCTGGGGTCGTGTCTCTTCCAGTGTCTTCTTTCTGGACAATCAATCAACCACTTCTTTTGCCGCACCTCTGCCAACTCGCCGTTACTCGTCTGGCTCAGCCGCCTCCTCTCCGCCTGTGGGCCTTGGTTGTAGTCCCATTCCTGCTACTGCCCCTTGGGGCAATCGCATACAGAGTGGCACTAGCGCCCACAAGGTCGAAACATCTCCAGACACCAAGGGGAAGCAGCCCGTGGCAGCAGCCTTCATGTCATCCCCTATCTCAGAAGCAGAGGACTCCCTGCCTCCTTTGCCTGAGAACACCGAGTCCGGAGCCTCATTCATCACGCCTGAACTTTCCAGCCAAGCCTCTTTCCAGTCGAACTCTACCCTCTCGGACCGAACAAACTACAAAATCTACGGCGAGAGCTCTCCCGTTACCCCCGGTGGCCGTCAAATGGTGTCAGAGGAGGCCAATGACAGCCTGTCACCGTCTCCCGAGAACCCCAACTACCAGATCATCGGCGTGTCGTCCCCAGCAACCGGGCCCGTCAATGACGAGTCACGCCCCCCTACCGGCTACAGCGATGCTAACTACGTCGTTTACGGCCACTCTTCCGCCTCTTCCTCCTCTCCCACCTCCAGCGACAAGGGCAACCTGAGGCCCGAGTTCTCCCGCGAGAGCCTCGTCGTCGCACCCCTGCGTCCCGCCAAGCAGAGGTCCTTCCACCGCTCGCGCATTTCTAAGTCTCGTTCGCGCGAGTCCGTTCGTCACGGCTCCCTCTCGTCGCTGGGCACCGCCCTGTCGCAAGAGGTAACGAGAGCCCTGTTCGTCTCGTCGGCCACGCCATCCTCTGTGCATGCAAGTGCGAGCCCGGAAATCAGCTGGCAGGACCCTTGGAAGGCCTCCCCTGGCCCCGAGTTCAAAACGGGCACCATTGCCCCAGCCATGTCCTCCCACCAGCACCAGTGGAGCCGGCCGCTGTCAACCGTCATGTCCGAGAGTGAAGGAGGCAGCGAATCGGGCTCCCGCGCACTCTCGCAGTTCTCGATCACCGACCGGCGGAGCAGCGGCTTCCACAGCATGAACAGCCTTAACCTCCTGAGTATGGCATCCTCGCCGATTGGTCTTGATGAGCAACAGCGGGCCATCTCTCCTCTACCAGGAAATGCCTCCCCCGAACGGCCAACCCCGACCTACAACCGCAAGGATCCCTCTGCACCGCGCCCGGTCCGGGACTACGACGAAGACGGCGATGGCCTGGCGGATCTCGAGCACCTTCACCCGTCCTGGGCTCGCTTACCCAACTCGGGTTCTAGTAGTTCCCTGGAACGCGGCCCCCGATCCTCGGGCAGCACCCGCAGCATCAACCCTTTCACCCTTCCCGCCTGGGCAAGGCTGTATTACGGCAGTGGAGAGCAGCGCTTTATCATCGCTCAGGCGTCCACAGACTCCATACGCTCCATGTACAACGGCTCTATGTACAACGACCCCCTTCACAACGAGATGCTCAGCCGCCCACCGCCCACCAGTCGCGGTCCCCACAGCCGCGTCCCCAGCGCCGATAACACCTCCTCGCCCATCCGCAACCCCCGACGGCGCCCCCTTCCTCAGACGGAGCAGCCCCAAATAAACCATGCGCCCTCTAACGTCGAGTCTTCACGTCCTCCTACTGTATCTGCCTCGACCCACCCTAACAGCGGCGTCCATGGCGCAGTTGACAGGGTCAGGAGGAAGACGTCCAGTATTTGGTCACCCCATCTGCGCCGCGACCGCCGCTCCAGTGGCTACAGCATATGGGATCCTCCTTCAGTTGTTTGGTCTGCTGAGGGTGGTTTCCACTGGCGAAGCCACCCGCAACTCGTGCTCTTTGTTCTGGGCTTCCTCATCCCTTTTGGTACGTTGACAAACTGTTGACCTTCATTCACCTTACAAAAACCAAAGATTAACATGTATAATAGCCTGGATGGCTGCCGCCTTGCTTCCGCTGCCTCCTAAGCCCCATCGGCACGAAATGACGGAAGATCCCCGCACAGAGTTACAGCACGACCCATCTCAGTCGCTCATGACAATAGAAGAAGTACATTACAACAGCACCAGACGATGGCGGAACTTAAATCGCGGAATGTCCGTTGTTGGCCTCCTCATTATTGGTGCCGTCGTTGCCCTTGCCATCGTGGGCGTCAATCAGTCATGGGGCGCATAAACATCTCCGCCCCGTACGCCATCCTCACTCTTATTCCTTTTCCATTCTATACCCCTTTCTATCATACTTTTCTCCTTCCCTTGGAGCCCAGCTCCATACTATTCTCACGCCGAACAAACAATTACGTACCCGCCACCTCTGTAACACATTACCTATACCGCGAGCGTCCGACTTATGATATTGGATACGCGGCGCACATACAAACTACTCTTGACCATACACATGGAAATATCTATTGCACATTTTCTTTACCTGGGTCATGATATTAACGGACTTAATGAAGACGGGGACAGTACGTTTACAACGAATAATTTTGACGAAATGGCGTCCTCATTTACTTTCATGCTTTGGATTGTCTTTACTTTTTATTTGCGCACACAAACAAGCTATTCAAATGATATTCTCTCCAGAATTGTTTTTTCTTCTTTATATAATGTATTTATTTACTTACACCCAGTATAGATATAATGAATCATGTTGAAATTCTTTTGACACACTTTATTATCTCCCCACTCCTGCTCAATGAGCTGACCACTTTGCCCCTTCTGAATGATCTCCGTGCTAAGATGTCATGACGCTGTTCTAAGCGTTGATGCGTGCATCGTGAATTCGACCCGATTCCTACTTCTGTCCTGACGCCAGCTATGCCATCCACAAATGTAACTTGTTGTGCGTTGTTGTAAACCCAAAGAAATAAGAATAAGAAATCGCTCCTCGCCCACACCCATGAAGCAACATCTTTCTTTCATTCCTTCTTCCTCTGCTGTTGAATCTCAAGCTCGCGTTTCCTCTGAAGAGTTTCGACGTCATTCTTGATTTGCTCAAATGCTTCGTTGATGCTCCCCTCCGGGTCCTTGGGGATGCCAAGCATCGGCTGGTCGCCGGTAAGGCTGTCCGTGCTGATGGTACGAACCAGCCTGGCGCTTGCTTTGCCCTGGCGCTTGTCTAGCTGCTCCCTGAGAATTTTTTTGCCGGGGGAGGCGAAGAAAATTAGGGCGGCTACGGTGCATATGATACCATAAAAGTGCACGGCTGACCAGGCCTTTATAGAACCAGAGAAGGAGAGAATCAAGAAAGGCGCCACGGCAAAGGCAAAGGCCAGTTGAGTGCCTAAGAAGGTGATGAAGTCGTAGAACCTCTTCTTAGGAGACGGGGACCCCGATAACGGGTCAAGGAAGAAAGGGCGAACGTATCGTCGAAAGTCTGCCGCGAGGACTCTATTAGCACGGCTCAAACAAAGGTAATGTCCGCCGCCAAAAAGAGACCGGCTTCTTGTTTATTCTTACTCTTCGCAGCAGTTTGCATCAGACTGGCAAGGATAAATGCCAAGTAATAGCCAGGGTAGAATCCATGCCAAAGGGCGCTGGTGCCAAAAGTGATCAAACTGGCCTGGAACCCTGGTTTCTTCCCTCTAGGAGTCACGCGGAGATAGACGTAATTTCGTAGCCAGTAGTTGGTATTCATGTTCCAACCTGACAGGTAGGCACGGGGGTTCTGGGCTGTCTCGACAACCCAGGGATCGATATTTTGGAGGCGGTTCCATGATACCTTGCCGGTGATGGCATCAACGCCGTTGTAACCGAGACCTGCCAAGATACAAGCCCCTTCAGTAAGACTCCAGACACCATAATACTTGAAACGAGCGACGAGGCCCGTCATGTAGAGCGTGAAGACCCGGCGCGGGAAGGAGTAAGACAGGAATGAGTCGTCAATAAGGAGATTTCTGTTGTAAGTCCCGCCAAGCCATATAAAGAGCCCGATCCAGGCGAAGCCCGTGGCGGCTTTGAGTACAGCAGGGGTGCCGCTTCGTGGAATACGGCGCTTCTTCCTAACAGGAGGTTTTTTGGAAGGATCAACGTTGGCTCCGACATCGAACATGGATGTATCGATCCACTGGCGGTAGTCGGCGTAATCAAAGGCGGGGCCGGCAAAAAGGGAGGGGAAGAAGAGAATGTAGCCTGCGAAGTCGAGGATAGAAGGCAACTCCTTGAGCATGTGGTCCTTTTGGAAGTCAGACAGCTGGTCCTCTGGAAGGCAGCCATCGGCGATGTTCCAGCAGAAGGCGCTGAGCTTCATGACGAGTACCATCTGAGCCCCAGTGATGTCGATGGACGTGGGGCTCTCGACAATCTGGCGATGGATGTGGCTGGTGGACACGTGGCCCATGACGAAGGCGAAGCCTATCCATGGCATGTAGGGGCTCGATCTGAGGTGCTTAGCGATAGCGTAGGCACCTCCAGCACTGACCAGAAGGGTGAAAGCACCATCCCACAGGTCAAAGAGGCCGAGGAGGTAGAAGAGGGACGTGCTAGTGGAATCGTCAGAAAGGTACGGCGTCGCGGATTCGGGTGGAAGAAGAAAAATCAGTACCAGATGCTGAATAGGTTCTTCGCATGCGGCTTCGAATCGGGGATGCGCTTGAGAAGGCCAGCGAGGGGGTACGATAGAACGAAAGAAAAGATGAGTTTGACTAGGAGAAAATTGAAAGTTAGCAATCGGAAGCGTCGAAGAACATGGCAAGTCGACCCACGTTCATCGGGGGATGCGCCGACAGCATCTGACAGAGCCTCGAAAGCTACATGACGTCAAAAAATGGTTATCAGCAGTCGCCAAGTTCGTGGGTGTAGGAAAGGTTAGAGATGGATGTTCCTTACGCCTGTTCAGCAAGGTTATCATGTTCAGTACCGGGGCTAGAGTCTAGGCAGGTCGGTAGGACAAGATAGCTGGAGAACGGAATCAAGTTGTCATGTCATGACCTCGGCATGAAGCAAGAAGCGAACGACGTACAAAAAGTGTTGCAAAGCAGTACGCGGCAGCGACTACGGACGCAGTTGATAGTATATGTAGGTACATAAGTAGGGCACGGAGCTCCCCCTGTAGATAACTAAACATTTGGGGGAGGGTGGGGCACGCACGCGCCAGTCAGTCGGCCTCCGGTCGGAGTATCGTGTGGGACAGACAGCGGTCCTCGTGCGTAGTTGACTTTGGTGGTGATTGGCCACTCGGTACACCTAACGAAGGTCTGTTGAGCAGCTTCATGTAAAATGTTTTTCAACAAAGTCCCCGCCTGGGCTCAAGGGTGATGATCATTCATACCAAGTGCCGTTGTCGCTTCCATGACCCATGCACTGCACACCGCCAGCCCTCGAGTAGATCCGTGGTCCATACGGCCACTAGCCACAATCACATGTTAGACCAAGTACGAGTAGTGTGACGACTCCTGACAATTCATTATACATGCGACGTTCTAATACAATAACAATAAAACCAAAAGCAAATACTACATCCGAGCCACCTGCTTGCTGTATGTCCCTTTGATCCTTTATGTCTACATATACGCCAGCCTTCTGAAAGCGTCTTTCCACATCCATCAAACGACTTCCCTTCGCTAGCATGCTATGGCAATATGGCTCGCATGGCCACGCAGCTCCACTTAGGTTAAATTGAGGAGTTTGGTCCTTACCAACGCCATAATAACAAGTATCAATCCACTCCATCTTATGCGTTGGCATCGCGGTTGCTCTGAGCGCTGGCACTCATAGGCCCCCGAGTCATGGGCAGCGAGTCCTTGGGTGCGCCCTGCTGCTTGATACGGGCAACTGCGTAGATGATACCACTAACAAATCCAATGAAGATGGCTGAAACGCTGCCCGCCGTCACAGGTGCCGAGAAGAAGACCAGTCCGCTGATGGCAATCGGCAGCTTGTTGAGGGCTCCGACCATGGAGTACGTCGTAGACGAGGTTACTCGAATGCACCAGGCGGAGCAGTACGAGATAAAGATGGCGGCTAGACCCGAGTAGACCATTCCGACAATCATGCGGTTGCGTAGCTCAGGAGGGAAGTTTCGGGCCAAGTTAGTAGAGGACCAGTCTTCCGTAAGCAAACCGCAAACGAGAAGGACGGGTATTGTCAGAAGGTTGTTGTAGTACATGGCTAGTTGTTCAGTTAGTATGCCATACCTCCCAATACTAATCCGTAATGCCACTTACTATCCCAGTCCTTGAAGTTCATCTTCTTCATAACTTTGCGCATGCCCAGGACGTACGAGGCACTACAAAACACGTTGAGGCCCATCCAAGCGTAGCCGGAATTCAATGTCGACACGGCGGTAGCCGAGTCGCTTCCACCAAAGTCACCGGCAATGGCGCTCTGAATATCCGCCCATGCAGCGACAATGGAGCTGAGCACCATGAGGCCAAAGGAGAGAAGTGTGAGCGGCGTCACGTTCCCACCGAACCAAAGGATCTCGCCGTATGCGATGACAATAATAGTCAAGTTCTTGAAAATCGTGTACACGGGGACCGAAAGAAACTGCAACGCCTTGGCGCCGGTGTAAATCATGCCAACAAGCAGCACAGAGATGGGAAACCCTATAGTCTGGTTAGAGCTTGCGATATCAGAGTCTTCCGTCAACGGCACATACATTTCCTTGCCCTGTCAATCTCAAAAGGTGCAAGAGTCCTAATCAGGCCAAGATTTTTGGACGCTGTGATGGCACCGATGCAGACGATAGCCTGGGAAGAGATAAGTCAGCACAACTACCCCTAACCAGGCAATAAAGTCGGGCTTCTTACCTGAACGGTAAGGTAGAAGAAGTTCACATTCCAACCCTTTCCAGAGACGACATATTTGTTGACAATCGTCATACTAATAGACGACGCACAGTATGCGAGGACGGACACAAGGGGGCTGTTGTCGAGCTTCGACATCGATTGCGCCAAAGAAGGGTTCGGAGGCTGGGATCTAAATAGGTCTTTGTTCCTCCTCTCGAAGCCCGTGTTGGGCATTCGGACAACATAGTCCTCGTTCTTCTTGTCGGACATGGTGCTTGGTAGAGCTCTGGCGCAAGCAAGGATGGATTCGACAATCGTATTGATCTATCGACGAGGGCTTGGCGTCTTTCAATCTGCGTCGTAGAGTCGAAAAATGGCACGGGCAAGCTTTTGTGGGATATCAAAGCGAGCGAACAGCGGTGATGCACCGAACTATATTTCGTATGTGTCCCCGACTGACAAGAGTATCTTCCCCGCTGACCTGTATGCTGGCTTATGGATTTTCTCTCGAGATGTACGCGTTTTGGTATGCGCCCCTATGAATGCAACAGGTGGATGGAAATTCCATTTATCTGCTTAGTCATAGAAACCACGTTTACCAGATTGATGGTACCAGCAGTACCTGTACACTTCGTACGGCTCTCAATGCCAGGACATTGATGCAAGTCACATCGCTTTGATTCTTGGGCTATTTTGCTAGCTGCTGTACTAGGTTGGGTTTCTTAGAAGCCTTATGAATTATTCTCTCCAAATCCCAAAGATTCTTAGCAAAGTTTTGGGCGCCTCTGGCCAAATAAACGGCTGGGAGACAGGTTTGGGGACACCCGAGACGCTGTCGTACCATGGGAATTTTAATCTTCTTTCATAGTTCAGGGGTCTCTGGTACCAGCTAGTCAAAGCTTTTCTGCACGGCATTTTATCTCCCATATAGGTCTGACACGGTCATGTGTTTGGTAGCCGCTGTCATTGAGAAGGCTGAAAGCAAGCCTCGTCGTCTGGCTGATCCGGCAGGCGTAGTGTTAGGCGAAGATCAAAATATCAGCCTTAGTGTGGGTCAAGGTTTCTGTCCCATTAGGTTTTTCACCCAACCGTAATGTCTTCGGTCATGGTAGTATCTTCATGGGCTTGCTGCTCGCTTTCACCACTCGCAGGGAAGTTGAGGTGCTTCCAATCCTCCAATTCTTCCGTGACTGACCGCATTCTATCGCGGATGCTCTCGATAGCATAACTCCCCAGTAGCAGCCTTAAAGGTGGGTATGAACAGTGTGCTAGCTGCCACACAAGTTCGGCACACTTCACTGCACTAGTTGGCTGACGATCCCCAAGCCATTGCACCATTCTCTTTGCATGCAAGGCTGGTGATGTTGCATGAGCATAGCCCTCAGAGGGAGGTTTGATGAGGAAATGGCCCCATGTCGGCAACAGGCCGTCGCCAGTATCTGGCTCATCCCTCCTAACGAGCCCAGGCTCGATCAGCGTGGTTTTGATGTTGAAAGCATCCGTCTCGTAGAGCATCCCTTCGATGAGTCCCTCGACTGCATATTTTGTTGCACAGTAGGGACCTAGACCAGGTACTCCCAGGGCGCCGGAAGTAGAACTGAAGATGAGATAACGACCACTGTTCTGGCGCCGAAAATAGGGAAGGGTCGCATGGATTATATGGACTGTCCCCATAAAGTTTGTCTCAAACTGATTGCGCAGGTCGTGCTCGTCTTGGTCCTCGCACGCGCCGATCACGCCGTATCCGGAGCAGTTGGCCACAACATCGATACGCCCGAAATGGTCAAGGGCGCGCTGGACAGCCTTGAGTACTGACTCGCGGGAACGAACGTCACAATCAGCTCGAAGAAAGTTGTCGCTCTTGCTCAAGGCCTCTTGGGGGCTGTGCTCAAACACCCGCCCCACGGAGACGACAAAATCTCCATGCCCGAGAGCACACTTGACTAGGGAGCGACCCATGTGCCCAGTGCCGCCGAAAATCTTGAAATACTTTGTTAACTCCATTACATCGCCCGAAGCCCATTTAGCATCACTTACAATCCAAACTAGCTGGTGATTTGAGTCACCACCTGGCGGTGGGTCACAGCTTGCAGGCAGTTCCAGCCTGTGATGTTTGTCCGTGGACTCTATGGGATCGGACTGAATTTCCGTGGCCATATTCGAAGTCGAGGGTTGGTGTAAATTTCTATCGACTAAGGATGATGTTGTCTTTATATGAGAATGCTTATTGATCACATTGGAGGCAGTATTTTGAGAGATGGCGGTGTTGAGATGAGGGGAACGGATGTTGGTGGGGCATATGTAGTGGTAATATTGCATTCTATCATCTTCTTCTATGACAAAAACGGGCATTCCTCCCATTCAACGCTTGCATGCAAAAGAGAATACGCTTGCAATTCAGAATACGGGGCTAAAGTCCTTCTTCCGTTTTTTAAAGAGGAATTTTCCGAGGAGATTCTAAATAACAGTCTTTTTACAGGCTTACTCTAATCGGTCGTATAAAAAATTTATACTGTGGTATATAACTCTCTACCTTATATCTCTAGATTCCTAAGGTACAGTGCAAAACAATTATAAAAAGACAACTTTCTTACGAGTCTCAACACTTTTATAAGTGAAGCGGTGCCCCGTCTTACGACGAAAAATGAACCCGAAACCTCGTGATAGGGAAGATCCAAAGGCAGCGATGGTCGGAATAGGGCATATCGGAATTTTCGTAATCAGGGGACACGGTCATCATTAATGAATCCCATGACGGGTCACGAAAGGTATTGCTGGACATAGCCTTGGCGGTGAGTGTTCTGGTCGACGTCTTGAGATCGGCTGAGGGGTGTCCATTTGGGCTCGTCCTGGAACAGGCGCATGGCGTGTACATACTGTCGCAAAATTATCAATGCCAGATCTCTCGGGGATGTAGAGGGAAGCGTTAGATTCTTACGTTGGACTCGTCAGTCGTGAAGCGGTGGTAAATGCCAGGGGGGAGAATGATCAGGTCGTCCTTGTCCAGCTGAATGCGCACCCAATCGTCATTCTTGCTTCGGACGTCAAAGTATCCCTTGCCACCCCTGATGTAGCGGATCTCCTCGTCCTCATGAAGGTGTTCGTTGAAGAACATTTTGACCTTCTCCTCGTACACGTCGCCCATCTTCTCTGGTGAAACGAAGATCTCGTCGCGGTTCTTGTAACCCCGGCTAGCCGCCAGCTTGTTGACATCTTCAATGTCGGGGAAATGATAATAAATAACACCTAGTTTCTCAAGTGCCTCTCCATCGATCTCGTGGCCGGAATCGTGCGACAGGCGCTGGTCGCCCTAAAACAGTGTGGTTCGTGATCAGCATTTGCGCCGTATCGTCGCAAACTTCCACGAAAGGTTGGGGTTTCACTTACCGGCAAGTTGTCGTAGATGTAGGCCCTCATAGTTACGGCAATGCAGTCAAAGTATTTATTAGAGATCGAGAAAGCAAGTTATCGCAGAGGGACTTCTCTGACTTTGTTTCTTGCGCGGGGTGCCACTTGGTTTCTCGAATGGTCCACGTTCTCGGGAGTGGGGCAAAAAGCTAGCAAACCACGTCACATCTATTAGTGCTTCATATAAGGTGACGAAACTCTGTCCATTATTTGCGTGCTAGCATGACAATGTTCAGGACACCACAAGCTTCTGGAGTGATCATAAACATATTTGACAGCCGATCATTCATCCTCGAGTGACAGTGGGCTTTTCTTGTTACGGCTATTACTTATTCGTACAAGAAGTAGTTATCCAATATACGGTGATGATGCAATCGCTCAGGCTATCCCATATTACTACCGTTATTAGCGCTCAGCCATGCCACCGGGACACCGTATCGACCAGAAGAGTTCATACGTGTTCTCGCTTACGAAGCAACGAAGCATGAATTTTTGTATGAGAATGCATTATTTAACACCATAGCTCGAGCCGTTTTCGAAGTCCGAAAAAAACCATACCCGACAACGCCGTGAAACACCGTGGAACCCAATGCCGCTTGACTGCTACAAACAAAATGAAGAACGAAGGCATCATTTGCCATACTCATCACCGTGCCTGCTAGTGGGCCACCTCTGGAGCAGCCATATCCCTCGGGCCAGCGACCAAGATGTCACTATTGTCTGTGTTGTCCGACTGGTTGGCCGGGCGTCCCTCGAATAGTCGCCTCCACCATCGCGGGGGGTCTAGAGGTCGGGAGCCCCGGTGAAGAGGAGGGTATACGTCGTTGAAGAAATACCAGACATGACCGATGACAACACCCATAATTTCGTCCCTGGGAACCGACCCATGCATGACAAGGCTAAAGCCCATCAAAACCCATGGCAGGTAAGGTGCTGTAAAGACTAGAAGACCGAGAAAGCTCAGACGTGTCTCCGGGTTGCGTCGTGACCAGATGTATACGAGTGTCGAGGAAAGCGGATGTCCGAGGAAAGGCATCGACACAAGGGGGGAGAGGGCAATGAGGCTAGCCATGGCGTAGACTAGAAGCCACGAGAAATGAGCGGGGGAGCGACCGGACGATTCCTCAAGAAGCCGGGCATAGCGTTGCAGGAAGTATACATGGAAGAGAAGGTCAAGGGAGAAGGGCCCGAAGTAAAGAAACGTCGTCAATAGTCGCCAATACTAGTAGGCAGGAGTCAGCATGGATGACAGGCAATAAACATGGTCGTGTATCAGGATAATTGCTCACCTGCGATTTGACGAATACAGCCCGGAAGCTGTAAAATAGCTGGAAGGGCGTCACCATATGGAACTGAACCAGAGCGCTCATGGTTATGGTTGCAACGGTCCACCATCGAGTGCAAATTGGCATTTCCCAAAACCATGTCTCGAGGGGCAGTCGCCCACCGTCCATGACTTGATCCATGTCGGGGTCTCGGTTATGATGTGGAAAGTGAGAAAGGTGAGAAAAGCGTGCCAGAAGTCGGCGTCAATAGTTTTGGCCCGGCTTGAATATTGTCGGAAAGCTTGATGCGTTATGTTGGGCTGCGATGTATTAACGAGGCATGTACGGAGAGATGTTGGAAGCTGGTGGGAAGATGGCCAACATGGAACGTGGCAGCTAGCAATACAAGGTACACTTAGCGACGATATAGAACGCTCTAATAATAGTGCGAGACTGACGTGGTACTACTGTTAAGAGCGCAGTATTATGTAATCTTCTAGGCTCAGCAAACATCAAATGACAGTATTCGCAGCGAAGCACATGACACATTGAAGAAAAATTCAATACATTGGCACCTGTACTTGAGCATTGTATGTGTATATATGTATGTAATAATCGTATGGTATTTTCGTCTCTGTGGCGGCCAAGTTTGTTACATCCCGAGGTCGTTTGCTCTCAATATCAAGTTGTAATACGGTAGGCCCCGCCTGCAGCGGATTTCGGGGAAGACGCGGGGCTAGCTGGGCTTGATCCTGAGACGCGTCTGGGAGTCGCGCTCCATTGCTAAAAGAAATCTACATAGTATTACCACTACCACCATGGACCGACCGCTACGTACCCTCTCTTGAACAATGATAGTATCACCATCCATCTAACGATCCACCTTCGACGGCCAACGAACTCCATCAGAACCATCGCCATAGATCACCCAACCGAACTGTGAAATACGAAACTCGTACTGCTGCTCAGCATTCTTGGCTCGTAACTCGGCACACCATGACTGGCCCATCCCTTGGTGGGAAGCGATTGCCTGGTCACCAAACCGTCGGCGGCAGCGGCGGGCAAGCACAGAAGCAGCCGCCGAGGAAATCATGGCGTCCATCCGACAAAGGCTATGCTTCACGGCCTCCCCCGAACTGGAAACCCCGCCCGGGCGATATCCAAAGTATAGTTGACCTGGAACCAATCCGTCATTTCATGATGCAGTCACGCTGACAGCTGAACATAGTGGGCGACCCTATATACGTCCCGCCGAAACGTCGCTACAAGCCTGGAACTGTGGCTCTACGCGAGATCAGGAGATTCCAATCAAGCACGAAACTCCTGGTGCAAAAACTGCCATTTGCACGACTGGTAAGTGTCCTCGTCATCACCGCCACAGCCGCCAGTCACTTGAATCTAATTATCTGGCAAAACAGTGTCGCGAGATCGGTATGCGCTTTAGGCCGCACGGGAAAGAGTTCCGGTGGCAAAGTCAAGCATTGCAGGCCCTGCAAGAAGCCGCCGAGGCGTATTTGGTCTATCTATTCGAGGACGCAAATCTATGCGCCATACATGCGAAAAGGGTTACTCTCATGAAGAAAGATATACAGCTCGCCAGACGAATCAGAGGTATACAAGGTGGCTTGGGCTGAGTGGTACTTTGTCTTGTAGTATTCGATTAGGCAGCGTGTTTTCAAGTTAGGATTACTTGTCCAGGGCGTTGGGGGGCAAAGGTAAAGGGCCTGCGCTGCCACTCGCCAATCATGGGAATTAGCATCTGGCATTTGTTTTTCATGGTATTGGCCTTAGCGTAGTAGGCGTTGGGATGTATGAGTATGATACCTGCTAGGGTATTATCGTGTCTGTTTTGTGTTCTTACTGCAGTAGCAGAGAGAATCCGTACGTTGCTGGGAAATAGAGTGAATACACAGAAGCTCGGCGAATTTGTTTCATCAACATCAAACAAGGACCTGCGAAATGAGTATTCGATTGATCCAAGTGCAGTCCATATCACTACTAATGCTAGTGTCAGTATTAGTCTGTGGACTTACCAATGGATCTTTGGTCAGATCTGTTATAGTACGGGGCAGCGATGGTCTGAAGCCTGACGTAATATTGTTCTTTGCAAACATACCCCAGTTAGGAACGTGAACTTCCGTAGCTTCTACATCATCAAACCACAATCTCTTCCTTACAATGAGTCACGCGTTTCAATTCCGCCTTGCCGCCCGCACATTTGCTGCCCGAACTGGGCCCGGAGCATGCATTGGCGCTGTATACTTGCTGAACTCGAAGCCAATCCGCCTAGACGCCGCTCCTCCTTCCACCGTCGCTCAGCCCCAGCCGCGAAGATCACTCATGTCCCCCCAAGCGGTGCGACAGATCTCGAAGGGCAGCTTTACTGGTTAGTTTGGTACACACATGGGCATCATCTCTAAACCCTCAACAGTATATCTGGCTGTGGTATTGACATTTGTATCAAGGGTTTACTGCTGGCTTAGTCGTGGCTATATTCTCGCGCACCCTAGCATCGTTAGGCGGTCTTGTGGCCCTTGCCATCTACGTGAGTCGAAAATCAAGAATCGAAAGCACCAACTCAGATGAGCTGATTGTTGTAATCAGGTTGCGGGTCGTTACGGGATTGACATTGCACAGACGCTGGGTATTAAGAAATTTGTTGACACTCCATCCTGGTGGCGAAGACTCGGGCGGTGCCCTTTGTTCACGACATCGTTTGCCGTCACATTTACCCTGGCCGCTTTTGCCCGCCTGTAAATAGTTCGTTTGTCACTATCACAACTATTATTCAAGAGGCTGGGTCTCCCGCTGAAGCCACGATAGCGTCAGCGGGTCGTCCAAGAAGTAATTCTTTGTCCTCTCCAGAACTTGCGCGTGATAACTATTGATCCACTTCTTCTCGTCATTTGTCAGGAGGTTGATGTCAATCAGATTTCGGCAGTAAGGAACCATGGTGACGTTCTCGAACCCAAGGAATGGTTGGTCACCAAAGGCATACTTTGTCTCCCTCCGGTTAACCAAGATGATGTTCTCAATACGAATTCCGAAGCCGTTCTCCACGTAATAGCCGGGTTCATTGGAGATGACGTTGCCGGGAGAAAGTGCAACTTCAGCGTGCTGTGCCCTCGTTCCAATACCAATAGGGCCCTCATGGACATTCAGGTAGGAACCAACGCCATGTCCTGTGCCATGGCGGTAATCCAGTCCATTTTTCTAAAAATGACATCAGTACATATTTTCAATAACAGTAAAGCTGAGACGTCAAGGCATACCCAGAGATACTGTCGCGCAAGGCAGTCCAGGGCGTAACCCGTTGTTCCCTTTGGGAAGACAGCAAGTTCAAGGGCAATATTCCCTTTCAATACCAGGGTATATGCTTCTCTTTCTTGGTCTGTTGGCTTGCCGTAGTGAAGGGTGCGGGTGACATCTGTGGTCCCATCAAGAAACTGGGCTCCAGAGTCGCAAAGATAGATCTGCGCAGGATCTATCACTGAGCAGTTCCCACGGACAGGTTTATAGTGGATGACGGCAGCACTGAGAGCTCATGATTAGCGTGTCGAGTTTTGTGGCTGTCGGAATCACGCAAGGTATGCCTTTGGAGTGTTGAATGAGAAAAAAAATAAGTACTTACTTGGGTCCACTGGATGAGATTGTAGGGAATGACAGACAAACAAAATTGTGGTGCTTGGATCTCAGTTGCGTTAGCTTGTCGTCACCTTGGACTTCGTCTAAAACAGCCTTCTTTGCAATGAGCTGATCTTCAAGCCATGCAAAGTACTCGATGAGAGCGGCACCATCGCGGACGTGGCAAGCTCTCATGCCTTCGAGCTCCACCTCATTCTTGATGGCCTTTGCATCCCCGATGGGGCTCCGAATCTCATCAACCATGTCATCTCCACCAAGAGCCCTTTGTAGCACCCAAGAGCCCTTATTAGATATTAAGAGACGGTTGTCAGCACCATTCCCTCCTTGCCTCAGCCTGCTTGCCGTAGCTTGGAGCTGGAGTGCATCATCCAAGATAGAACTGTACGGCCTGATACGAATGTTGTTCTGGGCTAGATGGGCCTTTGCAGCTCCGTCGAGCTTGGTTTCATCGATGTAGAGTGTTACGGATTCGAGAGTAACGATGGCGTATGAGAAAAATACCGGGTTGTACGGGACATCGCTGCCACGGAGGTTGAACAGCCAGGCGATTTCATCAAGCATGGAGATGACAAAGCCTATGGAGTTCCTTTTCTCCAGCTCCCGTCGTAAATCCTGTAGCTTTCGGTAGACCGACTTCCCAGAAAAGGTATCCGAAAGATTTGTGACAGTTTCGCGCGGGCGAGAAGGGCGGTTGTCACCCCAGACAATGTCAACGAGGTTTTCCTCCATGGGGATCAAATCAGCGCCTCCGCACTTGTGGATCTTCTCAAGAAGTTTCTTCGCTGTAGACGAGGCAATGAGCGAGGCATCTACGGCGACATTTTTGCCACCAGCGGATTTTTCGGCGGACCAATCCTGCCAAGTCGGTACGTCTGGGAGGGCAGAGTTGAGCAGAGTCCAGTTGCTGTCCAGTTGCTTCGTAGCCTGAATTATGTAGCGGCCATCCGTAGACAGTGCTGCAGAATCAGAGGTAACGACAGCCACTCCCGCAGAACCAGTGAACCCGCTGATGAACTGGCGCCTAGCATCAGAATCGGCAATATACTCAGAAGCATGGTTATCCTCCGAAGGCACGACTGGGAAACAGCAAGTTAGCTACCCCGCTGTCTTCATCACTAAATTGAATAGCTGGTGAAGGGTAATAGGTCCGGGATATCCTCACTATAAACCTGTATGTTTCTCTCCTTCATCAGAGCCCTGAGTCCTGAGAGGCGGGCAGTCGTATCCACCTTGTCCATGGCTCTTGCAGTGGTCGCAAAGGACCGCGTGACGGATGACAAAGGGGCCACGAACAATCGCGATGCTGAGATAGAGCACGAAATTGAGGATGCGGGGCGGAAGTACATGGGCCGTTAAGCTCGCAACCAACAAGGTGGCAGCTCTCGTCGGGAGTTCTGTTGACTGCTGATCGTCAACGGGAAGGCTGCGCTGGCAGTTTGCTAGGTGTTGCAGAAGCAGTGTGGAGGAAGCTCCGACTATGAGGCACCTAGTTGTCGACTTCCGGTCCTTTTCTGTGTAGCCAGCTTTTCTCCCAGGTGATATGTAATAGGGGAGGAAAAAGATGTGAGTAAGGTTGAAGAGGTCTGGGTTGAGGTAATATGCTCTCGTGTGTGGGACATTGGTGGCTAATTCCAGTTCTCAGAGGTCGCGTGGTGGTGCTGCAGAAAGATTGGAACCGCGGGGTTCATGTCGGAATCACTAGTGCCCGATTGAAAGCTAAGTCTACGCCCATTTTGCCTGATCACTTTGAACTATATTGGCATGACCATTGGTACAGATACAAAATAATAATGCTAGATGTCACCGCTTTCCTATACATTAAGTGTCTATTCTATTGGAAGAGTTATAGACCAATGGCCCTGCTCAGGCAGTAACATGAAGACAAGCCGTCACCGACGCATACGTAAGCCGAAGCAAGGCGTGGTTCCCTCCACAAGCTACCCAAACGTGTCTGAGCTCGATATGCTCCTGTTTCTCCAGAGATTAGTGGTGGATGTACGGGTGCGATACCGCAAGTATAGTCATTCAACTCACAACTGATTAATATAAGCAAGCCCCTGTTCGTCCTGGGAAGGGTCGGCGGGGTTACGCATCTTAATAGCCACGATTTTCCTCCAACTGGAGACCCCTTGGCTATCGAAAACTTAGCCCAGAAATAATGTGTACTAAGAGAAACGTCAGCACGTATAGTCTTGGATAAATCTTCCTCTTGAATATGTCATCTTTCTTATTTCCCATTTCTGCAGCCTACTAGCCGAGCTAGGTGGTAGTGATAGCGGTGTCGACTTTGTCTCTGGTGCCACCGTACATCCTCAAGTTAATATCCACCAAACAAAACACAAAGCACGACGACTTGACAGTGGGGCATGAGGATTTCAACCACCATCAACTTGCCAATCGCCAACATTGAAGCACAGACTCAATTTCTAAGCTGGATATTGTCTTGACCCTGGTAAGGTCAGGGCCCAGCCATATCTCATCAGCCTCGGGTTTGTCGCTCAAGTACCACGGTAGCTGAATGCCCAGCCTCGACGTCACAGCTTGTCGTTGACCAATCGTTCTTTGTGAGGAACCCCGTCGCTCACTGTGATGCTTGCGACTCCTACGCTTCCCTCAATATTCAAGGCAAGGAAATATCTTGCATCTCACGCATATCGCCTGGGCTAATTTTTGATGGGCTAGTTCCGCATCTTCTGGGGGGTACGAGGCAATTTAATTGCGCCACCTAGCTTACTGGGAACTACAGCGAAAGTCAAGCCGTATTACAGCGCGATAAAAAAGACAAAGTTGGGCATCTTGAATAAACATTTTCAGATATCCCCTATCTCCTTGGCCGCTCTGACTCGAAGCCGTCATGGATGCCAACGCGCAGCTCGAGACCCTAGACATCGATCAGATTGAGAGGGTACGACGACACGACGCCAACAAACATGTCCCTGTCCTGATGCTAATCCGGCCCTGTTGTAGCTAGTCGTGAATCTCTATGAGCCGAATCAACCAGCCGTCATCGCAGCAACTCAAGCTACCTTGACTCAGCTCCAAAACTCACCGAGAGCATGGTCAATAGCTCGCGACCTGCTGGCCCGTGCCGACGATAAAGTCAAGTTTCACGGTGCCCTGATCATCATAATCAAGTTGAACACAGAGAGGTGAGGAGCCCAGTCCCCAGTCCAGCAGTCCCCATACATCGTGCTCGGAAAAAAATGTTTACTGATTCACAGCAGTTCATCACTGAGCGACAATGATGCGACAGAACTTCTCTTGAATCTTGTAGGATGGTATCTTGAGTCGTTCTCTAAAAACAGCACACCCTTGGTGACACGCAAGCTTGCCTCGGCTCTGGCTACTTTCTTGATACATCGACACCAGGTCTGGCACCGGTACATCATCCACCTTGCCATGTGCATAAGTTCAGGGCAGGCCCATCATCCGGGTATACTAAAGGATTCTGAAGCCCCTGCGTCAGCGCTGAACAATCTAGATGGCACTTCCCTTCAAGCTATTCTTTGGGTAGTTCAAAACGTGATGGAGGACGCATCAAAGCTCGACCTCAACTCGGAACAGAAGTAAGCACGTTTAATATGCCCTCTGCGCACCTTAGTGATATCTAACCTTGCCCTAGTAATGGTCTTTACAATACACTACGCGAGAGTGTTTCCGACGCAGTGACGCTCATGTCTAGATCTATGATGCCTCCTGTGGCCACCCTCCGCACATACGAGGATGCCACCAGGTGCCTACAGGTATGAGAAAAGTGTACCACTCTATCTGAGCGGTGTAGATCAGTATCGAGGCTAACAATCTTCATCTTAGTCGTGGATTTGGTTCTCTCAACGAGTTTCCTCCCGAGACAAGCTCTTCATTGATGCGCTACGGCCCCTTCTTTCCATTGTCATTGACGCCACGCCAAGTGCTCCTGCCGATTTCACCATGGAGTTGCTGACCGATATCCTCCAAAACTTTTCCAGTCTCTTTACCGAGGAGCATTATGGCATGCTTGCCACTCTGCTCACTGACCAATGGGCTCAGGAACGTCACCAGAATATCCTGCAGGGGGACCCCGAATTCGACGCGTTCCTTTTCGGGCAACTTCTTCTGGCTTTTGGTGAATCAAAAGTTGAGGCATTAATGCGCGGCGCCGACAATCAAAGCTCAGGTATTCTGCTCAGTATATGTGAGCTTCTCACAGCTGAAGGATATCCAGCTGTTGAAAATAGGATCTTTGTGCCCACCCTGGAGTTTTGGTCGACGTATGTTGAAACTCTTACAGATGAGATGTATTCTGCAGATTTGGGCCCGGAACAATGGGTTAATTCTGCCATCTCTTTTGCCATGCAGGCTGTGTCCAACGCTTGGCAGAAAATTTCGTTCCCGCCCCCTGATGAGTTCTCTCAATGGGATACAAACGACCGCACGGGGTTTATCGACGCTAGAAAGGAGGTGGCGGATCTTTTGCAGTCTATATACGCCCTCGCTGGACCCCGTATTGTCTTCACATTCGCCGAGCTCCTTGTCACATCCCTAACCCAAGAGTCCTGGCCGCAGGTTGAGGCTGCCGCATTTTGCCTTGGTTCGCTTTCCGACTGTGTCAGGGACGACGCGAGGTGTGACGATGTTTTATTCTCGGTCTTTTCATCGCCACTCTTTGCCTCGCTCAGAGATAATCGGTCGGAAATTCCGCCTCGGGTGCGACAGACGTGTGTCTCTCTCGTTGAGCAATTTACAGACTATTTTGAACGCAACACCGAACTTCTCCCCTCTGCTTTGAATCTGCTCTTCAGTCTGTTGAACGAAAGTGGTCTTGCGTCACCTGTCTCTAAATCAATCCATCGACTCTGTTCTTCTTGTCGGCGACACCTATCTCCTGAGGTCTGGGTATTTATGGATGAATATCAAAAACTGGTGGAAAGCCAAAAGCTTGACTGTCTTTCTACGGAAAAAATCCTGGGCGGCATTTCTTGTGTCGCTCAAGGTTCGGTTGATGAATACCAACGCCTGGCAGCCTTCAGAAGGATACTTGCCTTCGTCGAGGAGGACTTGGCGGTGTCTACGAAGTCACTGAAGTCCAAAAAGCCTGCAGGTATTCCATGCAGTCCGGGATCTCGATGCTTGGATGATGTTGGAGTCGAAAGCCCTGCCCTTCACATGGCAGTTAGGTCACTTCGGTGTCTAGTGGCCATGGGACGGGGCTTTCAATCGCCCTCGGAAGGACCCATCGAAATAGATGGCGCCTCTCGGAGGACCCTGCCTGGGCCAGAACTAGCTGAGATCCAGAGACAGGTTTTCAGTGTTATCCTCCAGGTTGAATCTACATTCTCTGCGAGCGTGGAGGTTGTGGAGTTGATTTGCAGTATCCTTCGCACAGGGTTCTCCGAGTCCGAGGCCGGACCGTTTGTGTTTCCACCTAGAGACATAGCTCGATACTTGACGGAGCATGAAACTCAGACCCCGAGGATTGGCGTCCTAGTCAGCACTGCATGCTCTTTTGTCAGCTCCCTCGAAAAGCATGAAGAATTCTCTGGAAAGAAAGAGGTGCTTTCAGACATCCTTCTCTGGGTAATCAGTCTTCTACGAAATGCCCAAGGTAATCAACTTCTTTCCCTTAGTACTTGTTTTTTTATTCTAATGGCCCAACTAGATCCTGAAAGCGATACGGAGCTTTCTCACAACGCGATCGATTTCTCCAGCCGCCTGATCTCCAAGAGCCCTCAGACCCTGCTTCACTTACAACCATTCGATGCTGCGGAGTACCTCTTCTTGTTCACCCTGAAAGTTCTCAATGGAAAGGAGCCCTTGCCGAAGGCAGCAGCAGCAGACTTTTGGGTAAGCAACTCGCTACTCCTGCTGTCTTTTCAATATTCCAAGAAGATGGCACTTAAGGTGACACTCAAGACCGGCTCTAACATGGTCTCTCAGGTTTCTTTCATGAACATACCGCAGAATGAAACTGCTAACTTCATGGCCATGCTGGGTCCGTTGCTGACCCAGAGCCTGGCGAGAAACATTGGTGGGAACGCATCTCGAAGTGAGCTTGATAGACTTAGTGAACCTATTAAGAAGCTTGTGAGTCGGTATCCTTCAGCGAACGCCTGGTTAGGCTCAGCGTTGAACGACCCTTCGTTTCCGAGTACTAAAGTCACTGCGGAGCAAAAATCACTCTTCATCAAGAAACTGATCAGGTAGGACCGATATCCCAACTCTATACATGACCTTTGCACTAACCGCACATCACAGTCTCCGCGGATCACGGGCCACGAACCAGCTGATTAGAGATTTTTGGCTGGCAGCGAGAGGGTCCAATTTTGCTTATGTATCCTGAGAGTCTTAGGTCTTTCCATTATTTTCTATATGAACATACATATCTTACACTCCGTCTTAGATCATATATCCGTCCGCAGTATGTGTATTTTTATACAGCTCCCCTTATCTAGAAGAGTAAACAAATGGTTCACAGCCGAGTCTCTGCTATTGACGCTTTTCTCGAGCGAGGATCAAAGGCCACGGGCCCAAAATGATCCCATTCCCATTGCATCCCTTACAATCTCCATGGTTTCAGCGGCACTCTCGCTGGCTTTGCGAGTTCCATGCTCTTCAACCTTATCAAGATAGCCCTGGTCAGAGTTCAGCAAGCTTGAGTAGCGCTCCCTGACGCCTTTGAGGCCTTCTATTATGGCGTCTGACACCATGCTCTTGAGCAGGCGGGGAGAAAGGTCGCTGTAGTCCTTAGAAAGTTCAAGGGAACTCCTAGATTGCGTATCAAAAATTGACCAAACATCAAGGAGATTGGATATCCCTGGCCTCTCCGCCACATCGTATGAGATACCCGGGATCGAGTCCGTCATGGCCAAATTGATCTTCGTTCTGATCTGTTCTGGGGTATCCGTGATGAGGATTCTCGACTTCTCTGATTTGGCCGATTTCGACATTTTCGATTTCGGGTCGTTCAGCGACATAACACGGTGGACGGGTGCTTTTGTTTTGTTAGCATTACGTTAAATTGGAAGACAATCCCCCAAGGGCTGGTCTTGACATACGAGTAAGTGTCTCGGGAGGGACCAAGTGCTTTCCATAGGCGTTATTGAAGTTACTAACGCATTCGCGGGCAAATTCAAGGTGTTGCATTTGATCGTGACCAACCGGAACATGAGTTGCCCTTGTTTTAAGCGTTAGCTTACAAGACCGGCATCATTGAGTATTGTCGTCACATAATACCTATGCACAAGGATGTCCGCAGCCTGAAGAACAGGGTAAGAGAACAGTCCCAGTTTCAGCTGGCCTCCAACGCTCTTATCTTCAAGCGTGGACGTCGAAGAGACGTTGAGTTTCGACTAATTGTTTTGTGTTAGCAATGTCCCGTCAGTCAAGAGTTTATTGTTCACAGGTAAGTGGTCCTCGGGGAAAGAAAAATGCTTTACCTTCCATTGTGTCATCCGTGAAAGATACCCCACGGAGGCCGTACAGCTCAAAATCCACATAAGCTCAGAATGAGCAGGAACCTATGAATAGTCAGTCTCTGCTATGTCAGGTCGGAAAGGCTCTCACTAACAGTTGACTGGTAAAACAAAGTGCAACGATCTGGGTCAATCCCAATAGCTAACAATGAGGCAAGAGCTTCCCTTTTCCAACGTGCCAGCTGCTCGGGCTTCTGCGGCGTCGTGATAGCATGGAGATCGACAATGGAGTAGATGAGTTTCGTAGAGCTGGGCTCGCTGTGTTGAAGATTCACCCACTGTCGCAGGGCACCAGCATAATTGCCTAGATGAGGAACGCCGGTAGGCTGGATCCCAGAGAATACGACCCGCGTCAGGCTGCGACCCGAGTTCAACCCCATTGTGCCGTTGCCAATTGGGCGTACCGAGAATCCAAGGGTTGCGAGCTCCACGACAATCTTTGCCAGGTAGATAATGGATAGATACTCGAACCTGTTATTGCCAGTTACGGGTCTTCCGTTAGCCGGCTAGCTCTAATTGCAATTTAAGGAGGACCAGTTGTGGAGCAGATGACTGAAAATGCAACGATGTGCTTGCCCACATGGCACGGTTCGCGTCAAAACCTGAGGCTACCGAGACCGAGCCATACTGGCTTGCTCATGCATCTATCCGAGTTGTTCCGACAGTTGGGGGTCGCAACCAGCCCTTGATATTGAACCTGATAACCCTTCTACCAAATTGACAGAAATATACTACTTCATGTACACTCAATAGCTGTGTAAATCCAACGGGGCCCAGCATAGCTTAACATAATATACACAGGGGAGAGGGAAGAAACCATAATACATTTTGCTGCTGCTAGTACTAGGTAGCCTGCATACATGAATAATACAACCCTCCTGTGGGTTGCAGGATGACCCAAAGAGTGGACGAAAAACCGATGCCACCTGAAAGAATAACAGGTCTGCTTTTATACACTATTACTCGGTCGTTCCCGCAGACCAGACGCCTCCTTGAACTGACGGCTGCTCAGGAGTTCCTTCACCATTTCTGGCGACCCGATGGGCTTGTCCATTTGACCTAGGTGTGCCCATGTCGACTCGCAGTCTCCTAGCTGCTTCTGTATGTCATCCTCCAATGACTTCCCAGCCTCGAGATCGCCGAACTCCCACATGTTGGCCTTCATACCAACGCCATAGTACTGGTGCTTCCGCAAATAGGCAAGCCACAGCTGGACCGTCTCGGGGTTTCCATCCTTGATCTGGATCAGACGTCGCAGTGTAATTCTTTCGAAATTCTCCTGGGACTTCTTGAAGATAAAGTGACTCCTAGGAACGGTCCATCGCTGGATGATACGTGGCAGCGGAATAGGGCCAGATGCCGGCAAGCCAAGGTAATAAGCTGCGCGCAGGGCAAAATCGGCAAAGAACTCCAATGGCTGCAAGCTGTATGATCGAAGCTGAAGGTCGCATGAGGGAATTCCATACTTGGGTTCGCGCTTCAAGGGCTTGAGGTGAAGGGCTTCTATCGATCGAGGGAGACGGGGCTCCTGGGCGTTCTTGTTGGTATCCGCGAGTTCATTCAAGGCTTTTCCAGAAAATGGCGCCCTGCAGACGGAGCATAGTCAGTATAATCCTCCCAGCTAGTCACAGGTAATGTCAGAACAGAGCGTCCATCAAACATACAACGAGGCCTTCGTACGCCGCAACCCCCATTGTGAGGTAAGTCGAGATTTCTGCGCGAACGTTGTGCTACGAAACGCAAAAATTAAGTTGCAGTCAGTGCTGCGGTATTGATATCGCATCAGTGACTGAGCAGCTGGACGGTGCATGGTGCCTGTGCTTTTGTGTGTCGTAGCTCGGAATGTTGATCGTGCATCCGTAACGTACCTCATGGGAGAAAGAAATTCGGATGCGCTCAGTCGCACAGACCCGTTTATGATTAGTCAGGTAGCAAGATCCCAAAGGAGTGTCCTTGCTACCTGCGTTGGTACCTCTCATAATACAGATAGTGTTACGGGATCGATACAAACGCACGGATAAATGAATAATTGTTACTGTTAATTTGAATAGGAGAGGAACTACTAGTATGCTTATTAGTGGGGCTATAATGATGTCTTTTTTTTGATGTACCGCACGATATCAACACTAAAGATAACAACCAACATACATATAAAACTTCATCAGCGTGTATGATTGACACTATTTACAAATCTGAGCTCATGGGGAGTTACTCGATCTGTTTGGTGTGTTTCTATACTAATGACTTTGGTATATAAAGTGTGACTATGGAATATTCCGCAGTTCTTGAAGACTGACGTGGACCTAAAGTTGCCTCCTACCTTATCTGGGTAAAGTCCAGACGCGCTCTAGGGGCCTCAGCCATCGGAAGCGAACAGATGAGACAAGGCAAGATGATCTCCCGCCGAGGGATTTTGTGGCACTTGAAGGACCAGGGGTTCACCAGCTGTAACCGTCCTGCCCACCAATGGCTTCTGTCATCCTTGGGTACACGTAGCCAGACTGGTGTCACAAACTGCGATCGCCCAGTAAAGGCGGCTCTACGTAGCTGTAGCCGTGTTGAGTAGGTGTTTGGGCTGAGGTTGGTTGATATATATTCTGAAAACAAAGGTCCTCAGTGTCGCTCAGCCGTTGTTCTTCCTCCGCTGGGACATCACCTTCTTGTAGAAAGCCTTCTTGCCACTTGTCTTAGTTTTCTGAATCCCGGCATACTTGGCGCGCATTTTCGTGTCATTGTTCTGGACAAGCGCCTCTTGTAGCAAATTTTGCTTTCGTTCTTTGCGGGTCAACCTGCCACTGAAAAAGTCGGTCGGGCCAGCTACAATCTCGCCGACTTGGGAATACTTTGGCGGATCTGCCCTCAAGGACTTCCTTTGCTGTCTCGGGTCTAGAATATTTCGCATGCGCAAAACCTGCCAATCTCGCTTGAGCTCAGGAGTCAACTCGGTCTTTGGGAGGTTGAACCAGTCTGATCCTGCGGTGTCCTAGTATCTTGTTAGCTTGACTGTGACCGACAAGGCGATTCAAAATATTTTAGTTGCAATCCAACCAGGAAAAAATTCCGATGGCAGTATTCAGAGTAACTATGAAAGAAAGAGATCATAAACCACGGGACGATGTCCAAAACGGACGGTACCACATGTCACATTGCCGCAAAGGGGCTGTTTTTCATCATAAATAATCAAGTATCGGAGGAAGGAGATTATGTAGTCCTCTTACTTTTATAATTTTTTTGTTTTTTTGTGCCTGGCGCACTGACAGCTTCTCCTTGGAATCATCAATTGAAGGCAGGACCTGTGCATCTTTCTCCGGCAATTTGTCGACAACTGTCGAAGCAGATGGAGTGCCGCGAGCAAGTCGCTGTTCTGCGTCCCGCAGTATATCATCAACACTGATGTCTGTGATTGCCTGCATGATAGAGGTTTTTAACGGGAACGGATCGTCGGATTTCATTGGTAGGAAGAAAAATCTCCCAGAAGTTAAGAAGTTGGGTTGCAATAGAAGAAGAGAAGAGGGAAAAAAATTATAAGCAGGGTAGATATTTAGGTGGGGACTCTGAAGTATTTCTGCCGCCATTTGTCTATTATGGTAGGCGGTGTGATAACGTGTGTGGCTTGTATGCCCCTCTTTCCAGCCACGGTCCACAAAAGACATGTTCATGGGAGGCGTCATGCTTTGTGCCCAATGGACTAACTCCCCCAACCTCCACACCAACCAACCAGTGTTGCGCGCGTTTGCGAATCAACAACATCAACGCAACATGGAACCCCAAACTGCTTCCGCCCCGACGCATGCCCAGCAGGGTCGCGCTGCCCCAGACTATGATACAAGACAAGGAGGACATTATGGTGAGTTCTAGATCCTGAAATACGTACATTTTTCTACCTCCACTTCGCGACAACGGAGCTGACCATGGATCCACGCACCATAGGCGCTTGCCAAACAGTAAAGCTCCCGACCTTTCGACAACGCGTCGCATGCATTCTAACACATTTTACAGCTCGCGGCCCAAGGCTATGCTCCAGCAGAATTATACACCGGACCATGGGCGAACGTATGTAACAGCCCAGGGATGCCAAGCAGTCAGCCCGCATTGCTTTCGTGATCGCTGATTTCATTTTTAATTTTGAGACAGGTCCACCAAGGATTGTCAGGCCAATACAAAGACATCCTTACCACTTACTGGCAGCAGACTATCAATCACCTTGAAACCGAGAAGCACGAGTTCAAAATTCACCAGTTGCCACTTGCGCGAATCAAGAAAGTCATGAAAACTGACCCCGAAGTCAAGATGATTTCAGCTGAAGCGCCCATATTGTTTGCGAAAGGATGCGACATCTTCATCACAGAGCTATCAATGCGGGCTTGGATACATGCCGAAGAAAACAAGCGGCGCACCCTTCAGCGATCAGATATTGCATCCGCACTGGCAAAGTCTGACATGTTTGATTTCTTGATTGACATCGTTCCTCGAGAGGAAGCGTCAAGTCATGCGAAGAGAGCCAACGCACAGCCTGCAGCTCCACCAACAGTTCCTACAGCTCCTGGTCAGCCTTCGATGCCGGGGCAGCATGGTAGTATACCCCAGCCAGGGAACCATTCTTCCCACCCGCTTGGCCCAGGCGATTATATGGGTAGCCACGCCTTGGCTCCTGACCAAGACTATCGACAAGCTGCCAACATATACCCTGGTCAGGTCCCTCCTGGTCCTTCTCCTTCTTATAGCCAAGCACAGGCACCAATGTACGGCGAGATGGAAGGAATTTACCCTTACCCAACTATGCAACCTCAACAGGTGAGATAATTGTATTCTCTTGCACTATTTTTACTTTAAACCAAGCTAAATGTTTCCCTTTTCTAAGGCACCAATGTCCTCGGAGGACTTCGACTAAACTTTCATTCCGTGGCTTGTCTTGTCAGGGTTTGCTAAACAGCAAATTAGAACTCGAACCTCAGCAGCTATCGGCAGGGTATTATGTTGTGGTTAATCCCCTGGTCCTAGGGTGGATCTTGGTACGGTGTAATTCAGCCAAGAGCCCTCACCCCCGAGTTCTATGTTTCCCGTTGTGCCGGAATCGCGGATACTTTTAATGGATTATGTTTTCTTTTCTTTTGTTCAACCGCGTGATCATTATCGGGACGGGGGTAAAGACCTCAAGAAAGGAGCTCACTTCATCATCCCAAAGCGAGAGGAGAAGTTCGATAGTGGTGCGCTCCTAGCTGGTGCCTGGGAGATAGGGGTGAGCCTAGACACTGGGTTAGCACATACTGTTCATGGTTATTGTATTTGATGAAACGTACTTCTCCAGGAGTATTGGCCCATTAAGAGCATCCACCCGCCCATACTTCTTATTGCGCGTTGATACATCGAAGAACTCTTCATGATTGTCGGATTGCATAAGGTTGATGGTCTGCTGCAGCTCGTCAAGGTTCTCTCGGAGCATCTGCCCGTTCTCGAGGCTATCCACGAATTCTGTCAGGTACTGCGCATCCTGCGCGAGTGCCGCAACACCGTGAGCATTGATGTGCTTCACATCCGGGGAGAGGGGTAAAGCCTAGCGACATGGTCAGCTCTGAAGAACAGATTTATGTGTAGATCAAGACGCGTACTAGTATCTTATTTGCAGCGTGACTCAGAGCATCAAAATATATCAGCTCCTTTATCTCTCTGGGCAAGCCGAGGAGCGTGGAATTCATGATGTTTGACAAATATCGAGTCAAAGTCTGCATATAGTTGCTGGGCTCAGACGTGACTGCACTTGGGGTCCTGCATCTCACAGTCAGTGGTGAAACCCGTAAACGATCGCCATAAAAATGATTGACAAACCAATCGTATTCTGCAGTGTCCACAAGGTCATCAATTTTGGAGTTGACCAACTCAAAGATGCGCTTCTCTGCTGTCTTCTTGTTGTTCCTGAATTCTTCAGTGGCATTCAACTTCAACGGCCCGCCTGCGGAGGACGACGATCTGGCTCGGATCAAAAGCTGTTCGAGTTCTTGACACGCCGTTTCAAAATGCTCCAAGTTGATAAGGATCTGTACAATTTGACCCAAATATTGAGAGCTCAGTCGGTCGACCAGGGAGCGGCAGACTTTTTCCGTCAGAAGCTCGTCTAGAGACTGCCGCAATCGTTAGGCATGATTTTATTCAACTAGTTTTTGGGTGAGAATTACCTTTTTCAAGGTGTCGTCGATGACATCGGGGTGTTGGAAGTGGTCGTCGGAGAAAAAGTAGAACTGGTTGAGGAAATTTCGTATATCGATACAGCACAGGGGATACATCTGCGAGAAAGGCAACACGCAAGGAAACCTGGTTGACATTAGCACATGCACCATATCTATTGGCTGTTAGACTTACGTGAGCTCGCCTGCTTCTTTATCTTGGGAGAACCAGCTAACGTTGACGACTTTCTCGTATTCCTCGAGGGTATTAATGGCCATCGGCATGTAATCGTCCGTGAATACAATCTTGAGCTATGATTAGAGAGCTTCATGGGTACATTGACACTGCGAGAGCTGCTTACCTCTTGAAAATCTTCGCTGAATCTCCGTTTCAGAAGCTCTGCATATTTGTCGAAAAGCTCCAGTAAAAACGCGTCCAGTGTAGTGACAGAGTATCCCCAGCCCTTTTAATGGTAAGTTGATTTGCTCAGCGAAATAGGAATGAGTCGACTGTCGCATATATCGACATACCTCCATAGTTTGAATGAATAGGGAGATAAACGTCTTGATCTTGAGAAGTACCTCTGCATTATTAACCTCGCCTAGAGCTTTCGAGGTCAGGTTAATAGCAGCGGTGCACATTGACTCCCAAAGCTCCTCCACCTGTTCTCATTAGACAGGTAATGATGTAGGGAGGATGTGGCACTTACATCTGCTGTCGAGCGCAGTTGGGGAGCGCGGCGCACGGTTGCTTTCTCGATGATGGCAAAACCAGCAATACCTTCAAGTAGGCTGCTGAGGGAAGATTCATCCTCGGAGAGAAGACTGACTGAGGTGGGGAGCAATAGATCTTTCTGCTGTCTTCTTGTGGCAGCGTATTCTGATCGGAATCGCTCACTCTGACCAAGAGCATCATGGATATGCAGTGCTTCGAAAAGAGGGGTGAAATCGACTTGGACCTCGTCGTTGTCAAGGACATCGAACTCTTCGCTTTCGTCGCATACTAGCTCGATTGGCGAGTTGAGTTTAAATTTTCCAAGGAAGTTATCTTCCTCAACCCTCTTCCTCTGCCTTGTTCTTCGCATCTCCGTGTGGTAAAAGGCCACTTCACCAAGGAATTGGGAAGTTTCGCGGATTCGAAACAGCCAGGTATTTAAGTCACTCATGACAGCTTCCGAAATACCCTTCTGAGAGGCCGGAATGGACTTTTGAATCACATCGGCCAGGCGGTTTTGTGTAGCATATCGATTCTGAAGTATTGGCACAAGGTGTTCGTTCTGCAAATCATCCAAAGACTTGAGAGCTGAGTAATACTTCTTGCGACGAACGAGATCGTGAGCATGATTGACCGCATGCAAGATCCCTAGTGACTCCTTCAAGGCATTTGACGCATCCGATATATTTTGGCGAACAGCTTTTGTGTTGACGAGCGCGCCTTTTTGCTCTGCTAGCTTTTCAGTGCTAGATTGAATAGACTGGTTGAGCTTGAGGATCTCGCCTGTCAGGGCCACTGTCCCCTCTCGAACTTGCTGCAGCCGGCTGACCGAATCGAGGAACTCTTCATGTTTCGTCAGACCGATCCGTTCAATGTCGGCCTCTCGTTCATCGGAATATCGGCCTAGGCCTTGTACCAAAGCTGGTGTGCGGTTAGAGGTGGCGGCATCTTTCAGTACAGGTATCAGTTGGTCTAAGAACTCGGAGTCGGAAGATGAAAGAATTATCTGCCCATAGTTATAAAAAGTCAGTTGATGTTCGCGTGCTTGGCGGAGCAGAGTTCCAATTCACTTTACCTGCGGAATTGCAGAGGCGTAGTCGTCGAGTGCCAACGGTCGTCGCAGCATACCGAACTGATCTTAGAGTAAATTGACCCAATAATTTCTTTTTGTTCGCTGCACTCACGTTTACCGGCTATAATGCGCAAATCGAGATGTCGAGACTGCCGTGTTCGCGAATCTTTAGTCACTGTCGAAATTACGCGAGGTGGCCAAGTATTACGTCGTACGTGCTGAGATGATCGCTATAGAGTAAGCAATCAACGTTAGCCCTTCGCCTTGCACGGACCATGGTAGAGTTATAGTCAATCATACAATAGCTTAGGTAAGCGGGACTCGACTACAACAACGTCGGATCCGTCCTTCCCAGTATAGACAATGACTAAGAGTATACACATACATACCAGCAGACCATAAGACATATAAAAGAGAATATGACCTCTTTTTATATAATATAAATCCTATAATAATTGTTACGGCCCGTTATGCGACCTTTACGTGTACCCTACATTTTTCCTTACTCATTAACGTTACCCTTACTTACTATTACGACCCGTTATGCGGCCCTCACGTGCACCCCACTTTTTCAACATAACCACACCATTAACGTCCACACTAACTAAGGAGAGTGTCACGACTAGGTTCACTCTACGAATAGTGAACCATTAATAAACTAAGTGTTACGGCCCGTTATGCGACCTTCACGTGCGCTCCACAAATTCCTTACTCATCACCACCACCTTCACTTACACACAACACAACCAACCCAGCGATCACCTTAATCACCTAGCGATCGCAGTGATCACCAATCTAACAATCACTTTAATCGCCTAGCGATCGTAGCGATCACCCCTTACGATCATTACGCCCACTCAATGATCGCCTAGTATATAGTTAACCTCATTTCTATAGCCTAGTCACTCTTTACCTAGCTATCAATAATATAGTCAACGCTTCTTTTAGAACCCTAGTTCCTTCTACAATTAGCACCTACGACTATAACTACCTTATTGCTTAGTACGATATCCTAACTGTCTCGTTACATAAAACGACAACTCATCTCTGCCTACCCTGTAGCTCAGAGTTGAACCTAACCGTCACATCCGGACCTTAGACGTGCGTTTTTCCGACATTATTCCTATGGTATGTCTGGCAGTAGACGCAATCACACTATGTGAACAAGCAAAGCTTGGGAGCTATTACGAGCCACGTCAACATTACTAGTAGTGCTTCATATGTTATTGGCCACTAGAGTATTCTGGTATTATAACCGGGGATACGGCTGGAATTTCTACGAGATTAATGAATGCTAGCATAATATGAGATGGGAAATCGATGAATATGAACTAGAACAAAGGAGAACGTTAACAGCTGGTTGCATATACCATACTAGAAGTCGAGCCTTGAATGATAAGGAAGCTTCCCGTGCAAACATCGTAGAAGGGTTCACTGGCCTATACAGGAGATAACATTTTGGAAGACTGCTTTCCATTCTGTTTCAAAAGGACAGGAAAAGAAGAAACTCACATATTACTTACCTCGTTTTCACTCCACCCCACTGGCCCGAGGGGAGCGTTCTGATGTAGGCAAGAGCCATGTGTTGGGCAGGTCTTTCCTGCCACTTTTTTCCATGGGTTCGTGCCTCGTTCCTTCCTTCACACCGGGAAAGTAACTTGCGCGTCATTATTGTTTGGCGAATCCCACCATCTCTCTCGGCTTCCCACACACATCTTGTTGATTGCTCTTGCCTTGTATCTTCTTTGACGTGTAGGTCACACTGCGAGGCGTGGGGTGTATTAGCCAATATCATCATTTTCGGATCACTTTTCTAGAGGAAGGTCATTTCCTCCGATCAAAGCCTCTCTTTCTCCTTGGGATCACACTGTGCTGTGTCATTTTCACCGATCGCCTGCATAGGCTGTTGGACGTCGCCCCAGACTGACAAGCAAGCTCTCGCCTCTTATACAAGCTTGGAAATACTGGTAGGAACTTCATTCTTTAAATCCTGACATTGGTACAATGGTCGATATTCGCGAGAAACCGCCGAGCCCCCCCTCGCCCCTTTCCTCCAGCGGGGAGGCCGATTCGTTCAAGGGGACGCCGGATACCACTCGCTTGACATCCCTCTCGCCAGATGGTGGCTCATCCGAGTCGACCAAATGCATCCAGGGATCAGGTATACCTGCAAAGATGTCAGCCACATTCCGTTTCAGCGAGGGAGGATACTATGTTCCTCTCTCTCCTGCGGACAAGGATCCTTTCATCACTTCCGGTCCAAGGAAGGGACTGTCACCAACAGCGTCCGCCTTCGAGCCATTTTTGATCAACAGAGGCCCATTAACCTTGAGGGCCGGAAACGTTTCTCCTGTTCTCAGTTCAGATATAGGGGTCCATAGGGTTCTCCATGTATCCTGTCGCACCGCATTGTCTGTTGAACAGGTAGAATCCTCAGTTTCAGTACGATCTTCCATGTTTCCATGTCATGCACCTAGTGTACCACCCTACTGACAAACTTACGCACCAGGAGCTTCAAGAGAAAAGCATAGGGGCCTATGGAAGAAAGGTCGTCAAGCAAGGATTCTCCGGCAGCATTGTCGTCCAGTTCGAGGATATACGGGATGCAAGCACCACCCACCATGTGCTCACATCCCAGCATCGGGACTGGGAAATTCGCTTCGTGGATCCTGTACAAGCTGACAAGGTGGCAATAAACCGTTATGCTTTCATGGACACTACACTCACACATTTTTTTGTAGGCTCGACTACCATCATTTGGAACTGGCACCCTCAGCTCAGGCCAAATTCTCGTTCTGGCAGCCGTGGAAGAACATCAAGCTACAATTGATACTCTTCGAGCCATTGATGCGGTGAAGAACGGCCTTCAGCAGCACGGCCAGCTTTATGCATTTTCCAGGCTGACACCGTTTCCAAATGGCTCATTCAACGCTATAGCAGAGTTCTATAACGTTTCAGCCGCCCTTGAGGCCTTGACGAAAGGCACTAGGTATTTCCCAGTTGATGTAAGGCGACCGCAAGTCTATCTCTCGGGGTGTAGCAAAAACTGACATATTATTCGTATAGGGAGCCCACCTGAAGCTTTCGTTGGAAAACTTTACAGCATCCTCTATCTGGGAACTTGAGAATTCCCTACAGCGAATCTCACTCACCGGGATGACTGCGAACCAAGACCAGCAAAGCACAAACGTGACATCTACTCCATGGAGGACTACTTCTGCCAGCGGCCAATCTCAACCAGCTTTCCCGATGTACCCTTTGGTGTTCCAATCGCCCTTCGGATTTAGCACTCCGTACATGACCGAAATCTGTTCTGGTCGGGGAAGCCCAACGTCGTCGATGCCCTCAGCATTCCTAAGCATGGGATCCATGTATCGGGCTCCTCCTTCCCCCGCCCTCACTTTGCAGAACAACCGGAGCCCATTCAGATCTGTCACAGTTCATGTGCCAAATGACACTCGCAGGGTCAATGCACTACGTGGCAATCGGCCCCATAATCACGCTGCAAGTCACCATAATCATGTCGATATTCATAAAATCCGAGAGGGGATCGATGTGCGAACTACTGTATGTAATCCAGGTATCGAAAATGGACTTGCCTGACACATTATAGATCATGCTTCGAAACATCCCCAACAAGGTTGACCAGGTCATGCTCAAGCGTATAATTGATGAGTCTAGTTGGGGGAAGTACGATTTCATGTATTTGAGAATTGATTTCGCCAACGACTGCAAGTATGTAGAACTTCCCGAACTTTTACTGCATATTAGGATCGAGTTGCTCACAATATTACAGTGTTGGCTACGCATTCATCAACTTCGTTGATGTAAGTTTGCGATGCCATAATCGAAAAGGGAACGTTGAGCTAATTATGCAACAGCCTTTAGATATCATCGATGTAAGACTCACACCGAAAACCATACCCATCGTTGACATGCCAGCTAACAATCATAGTTTGTTGATGCTCTGGGTAACCAGCGGTGGTAGGTTTCAGCGGCGCCTCGAAGATGTTAGGAATCTACAGCTGACCTGTCTCAAGGAACTGCTTCAAGAGCGACAAGGTGGCCGAGATTTCCTACGCAAGTGAGCTGTCCCCTAATACCATGCGCTCTCCTTTTCCAAAAACATTGCCATTGCTAACGGATTGCAGCTATCCAGGGCAAAGATTGCCTCGTGCAAAAGTTTCGCAACAGCTCTGTCATGCTCGAGGCACTCCATTATAGACCGAAGGTCAGTCAACAAAGGAAAGGCGGTACAACGACTCATACTTACTCTCATATTTGTAGCTTTATTACACATCTAATGGCCCACAGCCAGAGCTCGCAGGCCAAGAAGAGACGTTTCCCGAGCCGGACAATCAATCAAAGATGAAAAGGAGTTGCGAAAATGCCGAACACGTTGGTAAGTATTCTAATTTTTCTCTGAGAACGTGGCTCTTCGTTTCATCCCTGTTAGATTCTGTCATTGTTATCATACTCATATTATATCTTACAGGTCTTTTTACACCAAATGCTGGTCAGCATTTCCGTGATGAACAGCGACGAAGACGCTCCCAGTACGATCGTGGGACTCGGCTTGCGGCCCTTGAGGAGTATGACTATGAACCGTCGACTCAACATATTTATGCGCCGTCCAGTCAGTGAAGAGAGATCTTGAGTCCTTCAGGGAATCATTGTGTACAGAGCTGGGGCGTGTGATATTCTACGGGAAACACCAATCTTGGCGCCATCTCCACAAAACTGGCTTAATTCTTTTGAAGTTGCTGTGCTTTGCTTCATAGACTACTTTCTCTTGTGCCCTCATTAGAAAGGAAAAAAATAGTGGCAATGCGATGTGTACTTTACACAAGTTTCTATATGTAGGATAGTGAGATACAAACTGAGGTGCATTCCTTGTGGTTGAACAATATCGTAGAACTATAGTTAACGAACTTAGCCTTGCTGTTATGTTCACTCCATAATGAAAGTTACAAAAAAGACATCTATGATAAGAGTAATTGCATTCTCTAATTATCGGGGAGATGATGGGCGATTAGGAGGAGAAGGGTATTCTGGAAGCGCCGGGAGAGGTTTCCTGGATTGGCTGTGTTGGTATGCTTGGTATCGTCGAGGAGTGGCATGCAAATCGAAGCTACTCGCCGGTACATCGCAATGGGACGAGTCTGCCGTGATAGGGGGTGTATGTGGCGGAGAAATATGAGCCGTGGTTGAGAGCACATCGTCGTCTTCAGTGCCTTTTACCGCAGATTGGCTCCCGGGATGGGATGATGCAGCGTCCATCCCGTAACCCATCGTAGACATTGCATCTGGTGATGGCCCCGGCGCATAGCCATCCAACGGACGAGATGCGGTAGCACCATTCTCTAGCAGGTCATTCTCACTCCCAGGGACAAACATTCCACTTGCGTGACGATGTGACCGAGGACCGGAATAGTTAGACCCAGAGCCATGTTGATCCATCAATGGCGCCAAGTATGAGATGGGCACACCTCGCGAAAAGATGACCAGAAACAAACAACATAACAACAATACTGCTTGAACGATGGCCATCCTTTTCTGAAACACCACTTCGTCGGCCAGGAGATTCAAACGGGAACTCAGGGCGACGATGTCACGGTCAGCCTGCTTCTTCTGACTTTCGAGGGCAAACACAGTAGATTGCCATATCTGGTCGTACTGATCACGCATTCCCCGCATCTCAGCCATGACCGTCTCATTTAAAGTGTCCAAAAAGTTGGCTACTTTGGACAGCTGCTTTTGTTCCCCCTGGTGGAATGCTTCCTGCATATACTTGGAATGATCTTCTAGATATTGAAGGGAGAGTGTGAGGTTGGATTCAACATTTTGCAGCCGTTTTGTTATAGCGTTGAAGAAGCCTTCTTGTACTGGGGGAGATGCGGTTGAGGCGCCACCAGTTCCCGGATTCCGGTGTTTTACGCCAGGTGTAACAGTCGTTGAGGGCCTAGTTGTGGGAGTTGTATGATTGCCCGGTGTCTCCGTTGAGGCCGTTGAATTTCCGAAAGTGGAGTTGGATTCAGTACTAGGTCGGGGATTGACAGGGGTGTTGGTAGACATCGTTGGAGTTGTTGTTGACGAAGGCTTAGAGGTCCTGTTCTGATGAGAACCACTTTGCTTTGGTTGCGTCGAAGAAGCCGCGGGTTTATCATCCTCTTCTCCTTTTTGCACACGGTCCTGGTTCGGCTCTTCAACCGTGGTGGTGGTGGTGGTTTGTCGTAATTGAGCTATCCCACCATCCTGAGCCTCGTTTGTACTTGTATAGTCATAGAGACAGAACTGGCCAAAAATGACTGTCGGCGAAATTTCCCAGAGAGTGAAATTCAGACGAGTTTCAGGCTTTTCTAAGTCTGACGAATCTTTTGTGGCTTCAATATTTGCTTCTTTCCGTGTCTCGATTTCCAACCTGGCAGCCCTAGCTGACTCCTCGGCCTCGATTTGTAGTTCCTCATCGCGAATAGTCTCGGTGTCTTTCCACGAATCCAGCATGCGTGAACCATGTATACGCAAAAGTGAAACGGGACAGTAAAATTCGTTTCCGTAGTGCGTGAGGAACTCAATACGCACATATTTCGCCCATATCTGTGGGTTTTCTATGAGGAAAGCTTGAACATCGCGAGAATTGCGAGCCTCAAATGTCCCAATGTCTCTCCACCGTTCCAATTTGACGGGGTATCGGTCACTGACGCTGACCCGGAAATGGCGAATCATGCTTGAAAAAAACTCGAAATTTGCTAGCACGACCGTGTCAATGAGGACATCGTCGCTTAATTCCACAATCACGTATTTGCTGTCCACGGAACACTCCAATAGCATATATGAGTCTTTGTTCTCCACCAAAATAGCTTTGGCGTTCTTCGTGCTTCGTCCGGTTTTGAGAATCGTTGCGCCAGCGTCGAATGAAGAATAGGAAAATCGCTCTTTGCATGTCTTCCCAGCATCTTTGCTGAGATGCAGGAATGGCCTCTCGCCATCTTGTATAGCATCTCCAGGCTGGACTCCACTCGCCTCATCTGTTGAAGGAGCCACCGAAGATGGTGTATCGGCTTTCTCCTGATTCAGATACTTCTCGAAGTCCAGAGAAATTTCATCCTCCTCGCCTAGCCCATAGTGGCCCATGTCCGGAGGATCTCTTACCCGACCTTGGCTACTGGTGGCTTTTCGAGAACGCAGATCCTGGGGGTCCTGACCTGTTTGTCGAAGCATCATCTCTTTCCAGTCTTCAAATGACATGAATGAAGAGTCACCACTCTTTTCTGCCGCGGCTTCCGTAGGTTCCGCTCCATTATTGTTTGTTGAGGACACAACGGGGTCAGTAGGACCGCCGGAATTCGAATCGGTAGTAGTAGTGGTAGTGCTGTTGAATCTAGGACTGGATACCGTAGGAGTCGCTTCACCATCGTCGTGGGCATCGCCTTTACCATCAGTGGCACTCCTCCACGTACTTGTTGGGCAAAGCTGTGGTAAGGTGTGTGTGATGTAGTTGATCGTATGCGCTTCGCATTCATTTATGTTGGAGGGTGTCGCGCTGCCACCGCCACTGTGGCCTTCGGGTTGTCCATCGTACGCAGTAGCTGCGAGTATGAGCAGTGCCAAGCTCAAAAGGTATCGAGCCGTACACGACAGCACCATGAGCATTATGTTTTAGCGAAGGAAAACAATAATATCCCCATCCTCTAGGTGTGTCGGTATCAATAGTCGTGGTGTCATTGGGGCTGGATCTCAATGAGAATCGTCAAAAGCGAGAGCGACACTTGGAGAAGAGGTGAGCGCGCATTGGTCCGCAGTGGACCCGAGCGTGAGTTGTCATGCGCTAAGTACCTTATGGAGTGCTCCTCGTGCCATTGTATCAAAGGTACTTATGACGTACCCACTGCGGATACACACAAACACTCCATGCTTGACACTAAACCCGAGAGACTTGGTGAATACATATTACGAATGAGCACTTTCCGCTCTATCATTGCCATTCTAAGGCCACGACAGTCCAAAAATAAAGCAAAATGATGCGCATGGGATGGACATACGAGTGAGCTGGGCCCAACAAGCCGCAGTGGCGAAAGTCCAAGAGTGCATCCAGTCTAAAGCTAAACCATTTCGTCACTAATACTTTTTTTTGTGCCGAGACTCGTAAATCCTGACGTCAACGGCCTCGACACGAAGATCCGCTGCATGATATATAGCAGGTTTTGGGATATGAAGTAAACTACGATGTGACCAAGGCTCAAAAGGTATAAAGAAGGATGAGAGCAACGACCTGTGAAGAGTTGGATGGTACTCGCTCACACAACACAAAACCCTTTTTTTTTGACAGTCGAGCTTCCGCCCAACTGTGTGAGTCACTGTTTTTCATACACAACCGTGCCGTCACTTAAACATTACTTCTCCGAAAAGAAGCAGCCATGTCAGGCCCAGGCTCAATCTTTGAACGCAACCGGGCCAATTCCATCTCCGGTCAGATACAACTATGGAGAGCCATGTGCGACAGTCCCGACGCATTGGATGAGTTTTTCAACGATGATGCTATTATCATTGAAACAGATGGCACCATATACTCGAAGAAAACTTATATTAAGCGCTTCCAACCATGGGCATCTTACAATATTACGAGCAACCCTGAGTTTGTGGAGATAGACCTGATGAGTGCTGTGCTTGTGTACAGTTTGACTATTTCAAAGGAAAACAATAGCACTCCAATCCAAGCGGTATGCACAGGAGTTTGGCGTCAAGGGGCTGGCGGCGATTGGAGATGCTGTGCACAGCACATAGCAGCAACGAAATGATTTTCCCATGTCTTTTTCTACATTTTTTTTTTAAAAAAATTTCAGATGATTCCAATAGGTATCTCATATTCAAGTATGACACTGGGAAGTGCTGGGGATATGATGTGGTAGTAAAACTCGAGCGAAGCCTTTTAATTTCAAATACATTAGGCCAAAGTATGGTATATAGTGACCGCTAAGAATAAGTATGTTAGCTATCTACGTATAAAACCGGCTTTATTGCTTTCCCATTTTATGGACTGACTACCTACCATTGATGTTATTACAACGAAAACCTGTTTTCTTCGACTTGTATCTCATCTTTTTTTATATATAGAATACTCACGATTTGTAAACATAAAAAGCTTCTTTACAATATAAAACGAGAGAAAAGATATTTTTTCTAGAATAGTTGGCCAATTCAAACAAATGCAGAAGCACCGATATCAATGTTTGATTGGAATGATCCCCGGGACTCACGAAATTTAAAACAGCCCAAATATACAAATATAATATATTGTAGGAGCTCACAGTCAAGGGCACTATTTCCTAGCTTAGATGAATCAATCAAATGGTGTCGGAGCTCTAAGCTTTCAATTATTATTAAGTAGTCGGATTGATTTTGTGCGTTTGCTCTGCTTGTCTCCCCTAGTCGAATATAATGAACCTGCGTTACCTAAAATATGATTGTGCTACTCTTTTGAAAACTCATGCCATCAAATCTGATTGTGTTTATTTGGTATTTTTTCTTTTCTTCGATATGATGATTGTAGCATATATTGCTTTTGTTCTCACGTCTATAACCTGTACTTGCTTTATTTGAATTTGTGTGGGTTGAATGATCATTGGCTAGAGTTTGATTTTTCACGGAAATATTCGTTTAATATCCTTTTTTACTGTTTGAAATATCCTAGACTAGAACTTCGTAGCGTTATAGGATTTTTCCGAGTATATTAGTAGTAAATCTTTCACTGAAGTAATTTTGATAGTTATTGAAAATAAATTCAATCGCACACGGTGTTCTCTCAGTTTCATTCTTGTGAAGCAAGTAATATAATTAATATAACACTGATTGGTTGTTAAGGCAGCCAATTTCCATATTTACAAGTTATCTACATGCTATGATACATTTTGTAAAATAGTATAAGATATTCTGTACTTTTATTATACTTTTGGCTTTCTTTTGTTTGCCGTTTGCTGAGAGACCCACTATATTTATTATGCGCTCTCCACTAGTTCTTGAGGTTTTATACATTTCCTTTATTGGGTAGATACCGGAAATGATCTTCGTGGACTTTCATGTTGCTCCGAAGGATCAGACCGCAAATGAACATGTTTCAATTCTTCTCAGCTCCATCAGCTGAGTGGTTCTCCGTTGGTGTATTATCCTCGTATCCTGAGATAGGTGTCGATGATTACACTTTAATAGAGCCCAGGCCTTGCGGGAATAGCCAACGCCCAGGCTGCAAGATCTTCCACATTCCCAAGGGCAACATATCTTCTGGGCGTGAAGTTCTCACGGACGACTTCAGAACTCCCCCGTCAGCACCAGACTTGAAGGAGCAGGTCATAGTGTTCCGGTACAGGGGCAAGATCCATGCCATTGATCATGTGAGGGTTTGCTAACTTGGATTGCTTCTATTCATTCAATAAGGCTAACGAACTGTCCAGCAATGTCCTCATTCGTCATTTCCATTATCTAACGGCGTACCTTTTGATATTGAAGACTTCGGGGTTGTCCTTAGTGCCGGGGTCACCTGCCCGAAACATGGATGGTCCTTCGACTTATTTACGGGCATTGCAGATCGTGGAAACTACAAGCTTCATATCTGGGAAGTGCAGATACGAGATGTTAGGGGTTCGGAATCTGCTAGTGATTCCTCAGAGAATCCTGAAAAGGAAGTGTGGGTTAGGCGGAAACAGAGGATAGGATAAATAGAGTATTATCTCGTATATTTCACCCACGATCACACCCCCTGGTAGCACGGTAAACTTTATGTCTACATCGTAGCAAAACTATAGCAAAACTCATTAATAAGATACGTTCATTAGACATTAGGTACCGTAGGTTTTGCAAGAGGAGATATATGCAACGTGATCACTTCTTGGTCAAAGAATGCCAGTTTCTAAGGATATTCATAAGGGTGAAGACATGTATCGTCGTTCCTAGGAACGCTCTCAGGTTAGTGACATCCGGGTTATGGCTATCTTATCTCCTAACATGCTCTCGGTGAACGCAAGACACGGGAGGATGAAACATGGACATTTGTAGGGGCTTCATACACCCAGCGGCAGTGAGAGGTGGCAGGTTTCTCGCTGGAGACAGATTGTATCTACTATCCAGGTCCTGTCGACTCAAAGCGGCTGAGGAAGAAATGGAGGGGAGGATCCGATTAGATATGCGGGAAGAAACCCTGGGCAGCAATGCTAATCGCATCACTGTCGAAATTACCATTTGTACGGGTGTCGCCAGAGGTTGACGAGTGGTAAATGCGCCGCTCCCACACCTTGAGGATTTTGGGATGGTCCAACAGTATAGAAGGTAGGTTTTTTGCGTGGTATTGCCCGACATCGCATCAGCTACATATATTAGTAGCGAATTACGCCACCACCAGAATGTGGCCGCTTATTACACATTGCAACTTACATATATTCCATTCGCTTTGCTACATTCGACTCACACAGGCACTATAATGTTGAGTTGCTGCCACTATCTTCTAACTCCATGACAACATGGTCCTCCCGTACCCTAACCCAACCATAGGCCACCTTGCGGCGGGTGGGAAGTCGGGATTCTGGAGCATAGAACATCACGTGCACTTGATAGAGAGGTTCTTACCATGCTTTTTCGTACCTCTGATTTTCTTTTACCTATTTAATCTGTCATGGTAAACTAAGTGTTTTGTCTTCCAAGAGGGCGAAAGTCTAATTCACCGGTGGCATTCCTGAGAGAGCCGCCCTATGCAAGTAAGTACACGAACGTCGTTGCAAAGTAGTTGTCTATTTTTGGCTCCTGGACAGTTTGACCATTACCGACCTGTGGAAGCCGAGTATGTTCCGAACATCTGTCAATGTAGCGCGCATGAAGGAAATGACCCTCAAAAGGGCAATACTTTTAGGGACCCGGCCCGTAGGAGAGACAGTATTAGAGAGGAGGAAATTCACCCCGATTAAGCAAGGGTAAATGGTAGTTGGAGCAGGAAATAAGACCTGCATTCTTAGTCGCTTCTCAACTTCGTAATTTTTTTGGCCTGGCTATAAGATTTACTCAATTAGTGAAAGAAAAAAAAACTTTGCGGAAATGACATTGTAGATAAAAGCCCGTGGTGATACTCTGCCGGCGGCGCTGGCCGGCGGCGTCTTTAGTCATCGTAGTTTATGAATAATGAACAGCGTCTTTATGTGGCGCGATATACAATTGAGAATAGGCGCAATCGAAAACTTTACCTACTACGACTACTCAGGGTTGATAGAGACAGACGCCCCCCCTTATCAAGCTTTCTCCCAATACATCAAAGCAATCTCGTCCACTTACTTGGTGATTTCGTACGTATAAAGGCAGGAACGGGATGAAGAGTAACGCGGAGAGTAGCTCCATTCAACCGAGCGGGGAGCGCGGGAATATGAGATATGTTGTTACATACTACCTCTGTGATACTACTCAAACGGGATAGTTGGTACCGTGAACCTGCCTTATCTTATAGATAGCTAATACTGGACTGTATAAACAATGAAGGCTTGTGGGCCTTACCCCTCCACAGAAAGGATAAATATACACAGTCATATGAGGGGTATCAGATATCAGCAACGTTTATTAACCCCTTCAATTGAACTGACTTGGCCTATACCAAGCCATCGCAATACATTGATACTTACACGCTAAGATTGAAAGTCGGATTTCTTGGAGAATGACATGGCAAAAGATAGCCAAGGAGCACGTTGACCGTGTAAACGCGGCCATCCCCAAAGAATGGCGTATCGACAAACCCGTCGATGGGGTCTCAGTCATGGCCGTCCCCAAGACCAGCGGGATACTGACGCCGCAGGAGGTTGAGATAACCGAGTCAACGGCAACAGACCTGGTGAAGAAGATGGCTGCGCGTGAGCTTTCATCTGTGGCCGTGACTACAGCATTCTGTAAAAGAGCCGCCTTGGCCCACCAACTGGTAATTGAATCGCCCGAGTCGAATTGTTCCTCCCACAACCCTAGGTTAATGACGTATTTCGCCTCATATATAGGTCAACTGCTGTCATGATTTTTTCCCCGAACTTGCCCTCGAGCGGGCCAAGGAGTTGGATAACTACATCGGGATCAATGGAAAACCAATAGGCCCGCTGCATGGTCTCCCGATCTCCCTTAAAGACCAATTTCGCATCAAAGTGAGACGAAAGAACTACCCACCAATGCCCCTTGTTGAGCGAGAAAGCGGCATATGGAACTGATGTGATAATTCTGCCCAGGGCCTTGAAACTACCATGGGCTATGTCGCTTGGATTGGCAAATATGACACGGAAGACTCCGTTCTTGTCACTCTGTTATACAACGCCGGTGCCGTTTTCTTTTGCAAAACAAGCGTCCCCCAGAGTTTGATGGTCTGTGAAGTTGTAAACAACATCATAGGCCGTACTGTTAACCCACGGAATAAGAACTGGTCATGTGGTGGAAGTTCCGGCGGCGAAGGCGCCATGGTTGGGCTTCGAGGAGGCATAATCGGGATCGGTACCGATATAGGTGCGCTGAACTAGCTCTCTCGATATCGCAGCCCCCGAAGCGTTTTGACAGCTCATTAACCCCACTCCATAGGCGGATCTATTCGGATTCCCTCGGCCTTCAACTTCCTTTATGGCCTTCGTCCCAGCCATGGGCGACTCCCGTATGGAAAGATGGCAAATAGCATGGAAGGCCAGGAGACTGTCCACAGCGTCTGTGGTCCCTTGACCCATTCCATTGCTGACATGAAGCTCTTCATGACCTCTGTACTTGCTGAGAGCCCATGGTCCTACGACTCCAAAGTTATTCCAATGCCCTGGAGACAGAGTGAGGAAGATGCTGTCAAGGCCAAAATCGACGCGGGTCATCTTGTCCTAGGCTTTTACAACTGTGACGGCGAGGTTTGCCTCCCCCCCGACTATATAAAATGTTCAAAGTCCGTATGGTTGATATCCAGAAAAAAAACAGGTTCTCCCGCACCCACCCATTCTTCGTGGTGTGCAGATGGTCGTGGACACAATGAAGGCCGCAGGACACACTGTCGTACCCTGGGAGCCCTACCGGCATCCCTACGCGGTTGATTTGATCAATAAGATTTATGCCTCCGATGGTGGTACCGTATGTATTCATCAACCAGTTCTTCCAGCCATAAAAAACTCATATCTAACTTATTACGCCTCAATAGGATATCCACACAGTTCTCAAAGAATCGGGGGAGCCGGCAATTCCCAACATCTCTGACCTGGTCAACCCGGCCTTGCCCAAGGTCGATATGAATGAATTGTGGGATATCCAACTAAAGAAGTGGAAATTCCAAAGCGAGTATTTGGAGAAAATTCGGACATTCGAAAAGGACTTCGGCAAGGAGTTGGATGCCATCATTGCTCCCATTACTCCCACCGCTGCAGTCCGTCACAACCAGTTTAAGTACTACGGATATGCCAGTGCTATTAATCTCTTAGACTATACAAGTGTCGTTGTCCCGGTTACATTCGCCGACAAGTCCATCGACAAGAAGAACGAATCTTTTAAGCCGCTCACGAATATGGATGCGACGGTCCAGGCAGAGTGTAAGAATACACCTTGGGAATAACAAATTCTTGACCTATGACTTTTATTATACTGACAATTTCGAAACAGACGATCCAGAGGCATATCACGGTGCCCCCGTGGCAGTCCAAATCATTGGGCGGCGTCTGACCGAGGAGAGGGTGATGGCTATCGCTGGAGAGATCGGAAAGCTTCTGGGAAATGAAGTCATTCCCTGAGGAAATAGACTTGATCGCGTAGAATATGTGTTTGTCGTTGCCTAAATTTTGATCTCGGTAGCATCCTCTCAGATAATAATGTTCTCCTTGAGCAATTCTAATGCCGCGTTATTATTCCCCAAAGTGAGCAACGATATGACCTGGTTAGTGACACTCAACAGCATAATGTCCTTCATACCATCGGAGTCCCCAGAAGCCATAGAAGCAGCTTGAGAGTAGTACCTCAAGGCAAGGGAGGGAATTCCAAGTAGATGATATAACCGCCCAATATTGTAATGCATCTCCGCCTTGGATGGGCAGTCCCCATCTTTTTGGCTCATTTCAATATACTGTGACATGAAAGAGAGACCCTGGAGTACCAGGTACTGACGGTTGACCGACTGCCTTTTCAGCGCGTAATGCGCATAGGCTAAGCCAAGACTCAGGTTCACCATTGGGTTTTGAGGATCCAAAGCCCTTGCGCGCAGAAAATAACCTTTGTCCGATGTCAGCTGTATATACGCTCGTGGTCGCAAGTGTGATTCTAAGACTTACCGAGTGCATAAGTATAGCTCGTGGAAGTAAAAAGAATGTGGCCGTAGAGCATGAGTAGACATACGTCTAGATCTACATCGGCAGGGTTGACAGTGTTCACTTGGCCTTTGAGTTCCTCTTTGTTTGACAGTTTGGACATCTGGTCCGTGTCAATCGACCTAATCTGCCGCAGAATATACTTCTGGGCTGGCCCAGAGGTGTACCATGTGATAGGGGATTGGCACAGGCTGGAAAGAAGAGCAAACATTCGGTGGGAGTCTGTGGTGGCGCCGTCTTTCATCAAGTACCGAGCAATCGTAATCGACTTTTCTTCATCACTCGTATAAATTGCGCAAACTATTTCCGTTAGTAATAAGAAAAGCACCATGCGACGGAGCGAGACTTACCGCTCCAGGTAACGTGGATGGTGAAGTTGTGTGCTGAGGACTGAAACACCGTGGAGTCCCTTGCCGCCTCACAGACCTGGTAAGCGTCTTCGCGGCGGTGCATGAGGGCAAGACCCACGGCATAGTCAAGAAACAGACTTAGCCATTCATCGAATGAGATGCCTTGGTGACCGCTCAAGCTGGCGACATCGCGCCCTCCCCCTGACTGATCGAGATGTGGGACGAGTGCTATAGACGTTAGCTCGAAGCTACAGGACATCAAACTGTAGATTCACTTACTTCGTGTCAAACGCTCATACATCTGGAACAGTTGACTACCCGCTTGACCTTGATCAACCTGTTGAAGGGGTCCCTTAGACCCGAGAAACTGCAGATACTTGTCCCAGGAGTAGAACTGCTTTAGGGATCGGAAATCGTCTACCAATTCCTGTGAGGACTGCATCCAAACATCCATAAGGTCATCGCGGCCCTCCTGAATCTGCCGTTTGAGATCGTGCACAGTCTCGTACTGGCGAGAGAGCTTTACAGCATGAGCCTGCTCTTCTTGTCTCCTCTGGTCAGGGGCACCCAGTCTCTTTGGACGATACCGTCTGGGTATGACCGGCTTCCTAGGCGCTCTTCTGAGTGCCGGATCAATAGCTTCGTTTTGACGCCTTCGGGTCCGGCGGTGAGATTGTCCCTGACTTCGAGGAGCCAGCGCAGCACTCGCCCCATCCGCTTGGGCACCACGGAGTGCCATGGCTTCGGCCGCTAGAATCAGTGCTTCTTCATCCTCTCTTGCCTTCTCGTACATATTTGCCAGCTCAATCCGAGATTCAATGCTGTCTGGATCGACTTCAATAGCGGAGAGGAAGCATTCTTCGGCGGCAGGTTGTTGGCCACTAACACGATAACATCTTCCAAGTTGCAGGAGGATAGCAGCATCAGGTTCACCAGACACTTCGCGCAGAACCTCCAAATATTTCGCACCAAATGCGGGATGATCCTGCCGGGCGAGCTCAGAGGCGATATCAAACACAAGATAGGGGAAATCCGCAACGAAGTCTCGTGTATGATGGTCAGTCGGGTCGAGCCATTGCAAGTGTCTCTATATGAATCATTTAGCGTGAATACTATTGCTAACAGTTCGAAGGGGAAATTAGTGACCCACAAATGCTTCTTCATCGTTTCCAAGCCCAAGCCTGTATATAGCAAGCCGCGCTCGTTGATCGCGTGGCAACGCATCGCCATATAGTGCTTCGTTTGAACGGCTGGAGTTAAACTCAGGAACCAGGTAACGCCTGTCCACCTCAGCGTCCCATTCTCGATCATCTGCTTGCCACTCATCCCAATATTTCTCCAGTGGCCGTCCAACTAGCCACCTCGCCAAGGATTTGAGCTCGCGAATAGCATCGCTATAGCGGCCGTTCGAAGCAAAGAGCTCAACATATATTCCAACATCGTGCCAGAGATCCACTCGAGGTTGCCATGTTGTATTTGCAACTTCGAAATCGAAATAGCGTTTGTATGCTGAAGTTGCCGAATTCACTGACGCATCCGTATGTTTATTGTCGATACAAGCTTCAGCAAGCTTCCGAACAATTTCCAGATCGTGCGGGCGTCGCTTGAGGATGGTATTATACTCGTTGATGGCTGCCGCCAGATGACCTTGGCGATGGCACACCATGGCTTTTCCCACACGTGCCTCCATATTCCTCGAGTCTGCCCGCAGGGCAGCAGAATAGCAAAGACGTGCCGTATGTAAATTCTCATCGTCTTCATTCTCCATGGTATCTAGGGCAAACGTGGCACATCTGAGCCAACCTCCGACATCTTTCGGACGCAGATGAGCAGCATAAACCATCGCTGACAGCGATTTGTTGACCTCACCCATCTCCTCAAAGATGGAGGCCATAGCGGTCCATGCTTGGTGAGTTTCAGCATTGATCCTGACAACCTCGGAAGCTAGGTCCAAGGCTCGCGGATAGTCACCAGCAAGGAAGGCTTGGTTGACTTTGGACAAGCGAGCTGTGATGTCGCCTCGCGGCTTCGCAGCCTTCCGCGGGCCCCGTGCACGACTTCGACTAGCCCCGCGAACTGCGGACGAGCTCGGTGATGGTATCGTTGGATCACCATTAGATCCACCACGGTGGGTTGCTAAAAATTCACGTACTGACTCGTCGAACTTCGCAATATCGCTCTGGAGCTCTTCGAGATCAGAGTCGGCATCCGAGGCGTCGTCATTATCCCTAGCGTATTGTCCTTTAGCAACCCTCGGCTCAAACCGAAGAAAGAAGTCTCACCTCGATAGTGGCTCTTTCTGATGGGCCTTTAAAGTGGTATTTGGCATGGTGAGTATGATACCGTCGCGATGTTGTAAGGGTTGCTTGCTGGTTAACGCGCCTCACATGCGTAGTGAAAGAGATATATCAAATATTGCAGATAGCCGTCATGGAAGTGCGTCCCCGTATGCGCACGTTTTAGGGCATAACGGGCCGTTTTCAAATTCAAAGGATGAGAACAAAGACTTTCCAGTCACACTGTTGAGGTGTGGGAGGGACAGTAATATGTCTCGAAACTTTAAATGAAGACAGTGTGGTTGATGTCCGGGAGACACGACCGGGACAGTGTCGAAAACTATATCGGGCACTGTACACAGACTGATGAACTTGGGCATCTCCAAGCACGAGAGTTTTAACGTAACAGTCTTTGGTATCGGGAAGAGGGATTCATCCGTTCAACTGTTATTTGGAACTTCGTTACGAAGTGAATTTAAAGGTCCCATCAGCCAAAGGGGATGCCATAGATATGAGCGAAACACCATTGAGCGATCAAGCAGTAGATAGGATGGAATGTAACAGTGATACGGAACTAATACACTACAGGCTTGAAATGAGGACATCCTGGAAAACTAATGAGCTTGATATGCTGCTATATAATTGTTCCAGTGATCCCGTGTTCAGGGGGAACCCGAGGACCAATGACTGACGAAAATAGCATGCTGCCCATGCTGGCTATTTCAAACACTGCCCATCCAACCGACTTAAAGCAAGAACTTCGCTGGTTTTCCATGCCACGATTGTAGCTCGGGTTCACCGCAAGACAACAATGTACAAAGCTTGCCGCTTCTTTATAGACACTAGGCCAGATAAATGCTACGGCAGTGAAAGACCCTGTTTCAAAGATCCTTTAGGAAGTCAACTTTCCTTCGGTTCTCGCCTCTAAAGATTAAGTTAGTATGTTCAATCAGCCAAGAATTGAGTAGGAAAAGTATCAATCATTGGGTACCTTTAACCTGCTCGAACACCTTCAGCATCTTTCTTCGGGCTCCCAGAGCATTGACGCCGCGCTGCTCCAAAGCCTTGTCATCGAGCTCAATAAGGTCGTTCCATTTCATGTCCTTGAGGTTGTCCGTGTACTTGTGCAACCGCAGGCTACGGAGCCAGCTCGGAATGTCTTGCAGCAAGCTTGGGTCAGTCGGATCCTCAGGGGGTTTGGAGCTTCCCCTTCTTCCGCGTGGAGAGCGCCCACGCGCAATATCAGAATGGTCAGAGAGATAGCCCTCATGGCCTCCAAGGCCCAATTGGGCCAGGTTCACTGTCGGAACTCCAGCGTTCATAACCCCAGATGATCCATCATAGGCACTCAGGAATCCGTTATTCTGCGGCGATGTAAAACCACCCATTGTGCCCATGCCGGGTGGCATACCAGGCGAGTTTGGACGAGACCGCTGTCCCCCAAGGTTCAAGTGCTGCTGGACCTGGAGTGCCATGATCTGCTCCTGGTTGAGTACCTGCCCGTGCTCATTGATCATAACAACGTTGGTACCAGGGAGGTTGATTCCTTGAGGGCTGGGTGACAGTGGGGATTGACCATGGCCTTTTCCATGGCCATCGTTCGACCTCGTTCGTCGATACTTTCGGACGTCATCAAGAGCAACACGGTTGTTGACAGTTGACAAAGCGGCCAACTTCATGGCGGTAGCATTCGCAATCATGTCAGCCTGATTCCCTCCGTTGTTTCCAGGTTGCTGCCCGGTGTTGAAGTTGCTGTTCATCGGGGTGTTGACCATAGACGCCCAGTTGCCACCGTTGGGGTTGTAAGGAGACAACATCGGCATGTCCCCCTGATTACCATCCGGAGCTGTAAGCGTGGTGTTTTGGATAGGAGCATTGTTAGACAGCGGAGGACGAGGAGATCTCAATCCAGCAGAAGGCGGCGGTTGGACGAACTGTCCCATGGGTGTCTGAGACCCGAGACCTTTCGAGGTGCCTTGGTCGCCCGCGTTGGATGCCCAATGATTTGCAGAGCCTTGCCCGCCACCCTCTCGAGACTCTGCGGGCCCAGAAATACTGGGGCCAGCTATAGAGTTCCTGTTGGAAGATGGCGGATTTCCAGTCTGCTGAGTAAACTTGGCCTTCTCTGTCGCAATGGCAGCCGCAGCATCTGGAAACATGGCATTTATCGTGAGAGGATCGAGGCCTGAATGGCCTTTCGTAGACCCAATAGCCGAGTTGCGGGAGTACGACGCCCTCGAGGAGTCCACATTGAGCTTGTTCATAGCATCATTGAGACGGTTCGACATGGGATCCTTGTCAAAGTTGGCGGGAGACAAAACACCTGACATTGGGTGATTCTTGCCGATCTGTTGAAGGACCTGGATGAAGAAGCGGATTTGGACTTGCGTAGTCTGCTGAAGCAGAGCATACAGGGCGGCGGTACGCTCCGCTTCGCTAAGAACACGGAACCACTGCTCAATGGCGCTAAGCTCGTCCTTGAAATCCTGGTCCAAGGTTGCAGCAGCCATCTCCTCTAGAGTAGTCTCGTATTGGTCGATGTCGGCAATCCATTGCTGGGCCAGCTTGTCCTGGGGGTCGGATTCAGTGCCGCCCTGTCCTTGGCCTTGCTGGGTTTGGCCGTAGAATTCGGACGAGGGGCGAATGCGGCCGGGGACCGATGGGCTTGTGAGAGAAGCCATGTCGGCAGAGGCACGCAAAGAGTGACCGGAGCTGACAGCTCTCGAAGACGGCGGTCGCAGCGAAGATGCCGTACTAGCTTCGGGGATGCTGTTGCGATTTCCGCCTGGCTGATTTCCAGACATGCTGATCATTATAGGTCTGACAAGACAGACCTTTAATGCAGAAGGGTGCTGGGTGCTAGGTGCTGGGATGTAAAGGTTCAGAATTGGATATGGGGAGGTCGGCTCGGGCTTTGTCGAGCAGCGAAGCAAAGATTATCGCACTTGTTCGGAAGAAAAATCCACCTTCCTGACTCCTGCAGTGACCGGCTGACCTCAAAGGAGTATAGAAGAGATGCAGGATGTAAGGTTAATTCATGGTATTTTGGGAGAAGAGGAGCTATGAGGTTGGTTTATCGTAAGCAGGGTCCCTTGGCCAAGGGGATGGGAACGCGAAGCTGTCTTACCTATAACGCCGTCGATTCACGCGTTCGAAAGAGATGTAGAGAAATGGTGACTGAATCGTCTGCTTCCAGGCAGGCTGAGAAGTTGAATAGGTCCCAACCCAAAGCGTAGAAGATAGAACGGATACGTGGATGCGTGGGTGCGTCTTCCGGCTGCAAGAAGCGTTGGCGTTTGGGCCAGGGCTCAGGTGGCCTTCACAGACCCACATAAAATACCGTCTATCACTCCCTTTCGTCAGCGTTTGAACTTACCTAATCACCTGCAAGGCATTCGTACTCCGCATACCGTACTGATATGTTAAACAGCCATTTTCCGCAATTACCGGGTGCTATATAATTAGCATTGGTAAAGAAGTCACCAAATTTATTATTACAGAATTCGCTGTCCTATATCTCTGGGCTGCCTAGCTTGGTTACTCGTTGAAAGCATAACACAATTGCGTACACACAGTGCTTGTTGAGTTGTGAGTAGCGAAGCATACTTGTACTGACTGGCCTAAACTTGGGCGTGCCTATATGTAGGCGACATGGTGTCTAGGTAACCATTCCAAACCCAAACATGTACGACGCAGTTCGATTCATTGATTAGAACCACGTTTGCAGGGTCTAATCACGAAAAGAGGGAAAACACAGACAGGCCTTGAGACGATGAAGCGGTTCGATCTTGAACTTAGACTCCTGCTCACTCGTGACCGGTGCGTCTGCCGACCACATCGCGAATTTTTGAAGACCAGTATTTGCAAAGCCAACTCAATTGCCGTCTTCCCTTTAGAAAAACTATTGGAGTCGGGACTAGAAGACGGATGCCCTAGCCAGGCAGTCTCACTGGCGAGCTTACTGCAGGGAAGTCTACTACTGGTGGTTGAAATATTCGTGTCAGTATATCAAGATCCGTGCCACGGCAAAGTGGTTTTGCAATGGATACAGACACTGGTGACTAGATACAGTACTCAGGACATCACGAGATTTTGGATGTGCCCGGGAGTAGGTGTCAAGTGCCATCTCGCTGTACCGTTCAAGAGCAGGTAGTCATGGAAATGTGTCAAGAGGTAGTCTGCACGAAGCAAAGTTTTGTTCCTTTGAAGACACCGGAAGGACGGATGATACTGATGGTGACTGATGGTTCTGCTCATTGTTGCGAAAAAGCTCTTTATTTTGTTTTCCCATGTTCATAGCGTGGTCTATTCATTCGATTGTCGGGATAGACTCGAGTTCACAAATCGTCCGCCGCAGAACCCTCCAAACTTTCATGTATTCCCATTCATAACTTCTTATACGGTATCGCGTTTACCCTCCCTAGCCTCCTTCTATTGTTGGGGTTAGTAAACTGTCTCGTAATATGTGCTTCGGAGGAACCGGGGACTTGTGTTCTTGAGGGGCATACCAGGGCCTTCATGTTGCCGTGAAGAGCATGGCGGTGGTTGCGACGGAACTTGGGGTCGACACCCTTGAAGGACGGGTAACGCGAAGTCTTGGGCTTCGTGATACTGGATGAATGAAAGAGAATCAGTGTCTTGTCATCGCAAGGCCGGCATGTCGCGCGAAACATACCCGTTCTTGTGCGCCTTGCGCTGCTGGTTGTGCTGCGAGGAGTTCTTTGACTCTATAGATTGAGATGTCAGTAATTGTCATACGATACTTCGCATATGTGGTACACTCACTCGCCATGGCGTCTGATGGAGATGATTGTGCTTAACAAACGTTGAATCTCTGAGGTTCAGGTAAAGCGTCAAAATTTTTGTGTGTAATTCTCGTCCACAAGCCCTACCCTCACAGTACGGGAATTGTGGGCCTATATGCTGACAAAGCATTTAGCGCTGCTTGGGTACGTACTCTTAGTTACGGAGTGCATACTCGAAATGATGTGAAAACCCATGTAAAATTTGATGAGTGATACTACATGATATCACTACGAGTAATTGGCGCTCTCCATGGCATACTTTGATACTATCAGTACTCTTCGACTCCCCGCAAAAGAATAATTACCAGTGCTACTCGTAGTAGTATTTTATTAGTAGGAATACCCCGTCACTAATATTCGTTGTAGTAGCGGTATTGGTAAGGGAACGGCGCTCCTTCAATAATTTGAGAACAAAAGAACAAATATACCCTCCTAATTATTACTCAAATACCCAGCTTAAAATTCCCTACTGCAGAATCCCGCGAAGTTCTATTATTGGCGAACTTCATATGGTCCATACCAAGGCGCGGTGAATTCGCAGGCAGATCAAGACTCGCTGGATCGACACGTCATCTTGAGGTATATCAATGCAATCCCCCCTCCCCCCCCGACTAGAGGATACACAAGCCTTTCCATTATAAAGCCGAGTTAATACAAACTAGGATTCGCAAACATATTGGGCCCTTTTCTGTTTCAACCCGCCGACTTCAGCGGTGCCGCAGGTGCTGCGGCTGCTGCGCCCTGAACAGCCGCCACAGACGCGCGCTGCGCCGTGCTTCGTACTTGCTGCAGGCGCGTTGACTTGAGATATCGTAGCAGCAGAACAAAGATGAGCTCCACTCTGTATACCAATTAGACAGTGGACGAAGACAACAAGAAAAGGGGTAGGACCGTTATAAATACCTTTCCTTGGCCATCATAAGGATACCTTGGACGAGAAGACCTTTCAGGATTTGAGGTGCGATTCCCTTGAACAGGCCCACGGGGCCTTCATGCTCGATGATGAACTTCATCACTTCGACAAAGCTTTTGAATGGCTTCCCATTCCTGGAAGGAGGGGGCCTTGACTGCAAGCCAACTTTAGCAACGATAAGAGGTTGAGTAACGATCGTTGCCAAGGACTTGGACATGGCACCAAGGGCTTTGGTACGAGTTAGTGTGGTCTTCCATTCGCATAAAATACTACAAACCGAGGGAAGAGAGCAGCTTACCGAATGCCTCCCAGGGCTTCAAATTATTCCTTCCAGCGAAAAATATGGGTTTGAGCCGTTCATAGGCACCATATGTGATCGCTGGGTTCACGACGAGGACCAGACTGGCCTTCAGGCCCCTCCACAATCCCGACACGCCATCAGGGCCTTCTATGACCTCACGGGCAGTTAGTATGAGACCCTGCCGGTCACTCTTTGCAGCCGTTTGCTGACGGGTGGTTACAACAGCAACAGGGATTGTGAAGATCTGGGCGACAGCACCCGCAAGAGCACCGAGGGAAAGCTCCACAGCAGTGGATGGAGGGGCTGCCAACTTAGAGTATTTTGTGTATAGAGTTCGGACGATCGTATACCAATAGAAGTAGGCAAAGTTGGTCGAAGCAACGCCGAGTAGGGAGCCATTTATGCCAGCGTACAGACCGGGGAGGCCTTCTTCGGCGAAAATACGAGAAACTGCATCCCAGGTAGAATTGTAAATAGGGCTATCTGGGTCAGGGGTCGATCTTTCGTCGGATCGGACCTGCACCTGAAGGCGTGTCTTGACGCTGTCAACCCCAAAACCGTCAGTCAATCTGCTTCCTTCAAGGGAGGGGGCGAGGTCGTAGAGACTCACATGTCGAGCGGGTACACGAGAGCGTTGGCAAGCACGGCACCAGAGGCGCCGGCCACAGCGCGCCCCCAGGGAGAAATTTCGGGCTTCGACTGCGCAGTCATTTTGGGAGATGAGGATACGGGCGTTTAGCAATGGCTGGATGCCTCCGTCGTTTAGGGGCAATTGCGTGATCGCAACTACCACCTCTCAGGCCGCTGAAAACAGGCCGGGGAGAGGGCGGTGCGAAGAACAGAAGGGAGATGGAGAAAGCGTCCTATATATTGATAGAAGATTGGGATATTATAGTTTCAAGAGAACCTCGCTGTATAGTGCAGAAGAGGCTTCAGAGGCAGTGTTAAGCTATAATGAGGTATAATAGTCATATTGACATCGATCTATTGATGGCACCGCATGTACTAAAAACAGCGGGCCACGACGGCCTACGAGAACGGACCTCGGCCAGACGTAATTGACTCGGCAAAAAAAAAAAAAAACCCCCCGACCGCCCCACTGGGGAGAACATCTAGCATATGTGCACGGTATTACACCTTAGTTAGACTGAGTTAAAAGCGCGTACCAGCCAAAACCCTGCACAATAGTATTATTATTCCGCACGCCCAAAACGAGTCGCCGACCTCGGTTATTTATAATGTCCTGTTTATAATGCAATCGTCATAACCACGTACGAGTGCTTGAAGACGAGATTGACATCCCATGGAGCGTGCCGGGTGAAAGAGAGACCATGGCCTAAAATGGGACGACGTGAAATGCCCTCATGGCCGTTAGTTCATGTTGATGCTATGCATTTTTCGTAGATCCGTCTACCGATGCACATACAAGTACATGGTCTAGAGGAAAGCACATGCGGAGTCTTGTCGTGAGGCAAAACTGCGCGCAGCTCGGCCGAGGGAGGGGTTTGCTCTTCCTCCTGTGGGCGTGGTCGGGACAGCGGTAGTCCCCTGAACAGCAGCGCTATTACAGTGGGCAGCCACTGTGGAGGATGCTGGAGAGGTGCTTTATATGCTCAAAGGGCCATTGAAATTGTATTCTAACATTACAGATTACATATGAGTACTCACTGAAGGCGCACTCAGGCTATGACATCAACAGCCAGCCATCCAGCATCTGCTGTTGAGTTTTGCCCGCCTCTTTTTTACCCGCGCTCGGGCCTGCCCAGAACTCAACCCCTCGCCCACACATGCTCCTACCCAAATGGACTGCCGTTGATTGTCTGCACTATTTAGGACTCCACGCGCTGTGAGCGAAGAGCATCGTTAGGAGGCTCATCTTTGTTGTTGGCAGAAGGAAATGACTCCATATCATTGTCCCAAGTTGATTCTGATGAGCTGTGGCCCGTCTTTGCCCTACAGTCTTGGCTCTCACACTTTGATCCTAGCATCTGTCACCAGCAGATACGAGACCCATGCCGTACGCCAATATTGACGTGACTCCCCCACCTATCTCTTGGCCCTCTGCCAGTTGGCAATTATTTAGCACTCGCTCGAAAGGGTGAGAGCTAATACGTACCACCTCTTGAGTACCACTGCATTTACATATGCCCGGCTGTGCTCAGCTTTGTGCGTGGCTCATCAATCATTACTCCGTTGCGATCTTTTATAAGGAACGAAGACATACCACAGAAAGAGCGCCGCCATGGTGCAGCATTGGTAAAGTGTGACCATGGAGAGTAAAGCTCAGGTAAGCTGCTCCATGCTTCGTGCCTCATAGTCCCTCGTACACTCAAGTTGACTAGCTTCATAACAGGCAGCTGAGGCCCTATCAGGTCGGTCCAAAGGCCAGCCGGCCCTCGACGCCGCCATACGAGCTGTCGAGCTATATATGGCTGCTGCTGCACAGGCCTCTATCAAGTCAGAAAGAGCACGCCTGCGTCGAAAGTGCCAAGAGCTCATACAGTATGCGGAGCGACTCAAGTCCCAGTTGGCCTCCAATATGTCTCCAGATGAAGTAATTATCAAGGATGCATCACAGCTACATGGCAATGATTTCCCCCCTTGGGAAGGCGATCCCCCTGAAACTGAGTTTCGAGTTTCCTCGGACGGGCGCCTCTTTGAGTAGGTCGAGGCCATGATCGTTTGGAGATCTATGAATTGACCGTTTGTCAGGGATGATACTGTTTTTACTTTTTCGCCGGCCCAGAATGAATCCTTTGGGGGTTGGAAGCGTCCGGTCGATATTTTCTTCCCGAAAAGCACTCGTAGGGGGGATAGGGACGACCTAGATGACCTCTTCTTTTTTGCCCGACCCGAAACCTGCGACCTGGTACAGGATGCGACGACGGATTGCTCAGTTGTAGCAGGGTTGTCTGCTGCCGTAAACATTCTCATCGGCAAGCGCTCGGTACGTCTTGGCTGTTATATTAGGGTATAGAGGAATTGCGGCTAAACTTTTCGTGCTCACAGATCCTCTCATCTATATTCTATCCCTTTGATCATGCCAAGGGGCGCCCGATCCGATCTACCTCTGGAAAATATATCATGCGACTTAATTTCAATGGTTGCCTCCGCAAGGTCGTCGTGGACGATAGGCTTCCAGCCTCCCTGACCGAGAGGACTTTCTTTGTTGTCGACCGCAAGAACAAGAATCTTCTGTGGCCTGCTCTACTGGAGAAAGCCTATCTTAAAATCCGCGGAGGTTATGATTTCCCAGGCAGCAACTCGGGAACGGACCTTTGGGTTCTAACCGGATGGATACCGGAGCAACTTTTCCTACAAAGGTATATTAATGATTCCCTGTTGGCTCCCTATCCTTCTTTTCGTTTACTCTACTAATTTCACTTGCAGGGAAGATTTAGACATAAATGATGTGTGGATCAGGGTAAAGGCCGCCTACGATTCGCACGATGTTGTCATCACCATAGGGTCTGGTTGCATATCCCCCGAAGAGGAAGAAGCAACTGGCCTCATCGGCGAGCATGACTACGCCATACAAGGCTTACGTGAAGAAGGCGAAGCCCGATATCTTCTTGTAAAGAATCCATGGTGCAATGGATCTGTCTGGACCGGTGTTTGGCGATCGCTAGCCGCGGAACCAACTCCCAGGCTTTCGAGCTCCAAGGATGCCCCAAATTTGGAATCTAGTAGCGAGCATCAAACGCCTGGCTCTTGGTGGGTGTCATTGGAGGACGTGGCACAAACTTTTGAGTCTATGTACCTCAATTGGAACCCGGACCTCTTCTCCAATAGGCAACAGCGTCATTTTTCCTGGCATATGCCCCCGTCCCATTTAGCTTCAACCTTGGCTGAAAACCCTCAGTTCTCGATTACTTCCCCAGATGGCGGGCCAGTTTGGGTCCTCGTTAGCCGCCATTTCCAAAATGCCGAGCTAGAAATAGCGAGGAGGAGAACAGACTCAATGGCAGCTGTTGCAAGGCAACTCGGATTCATGAGCATACTTGTCTTTGACTCAAACGGGGAGAGGGTCCAAGTCAGCGGCGAAGAGACTTACCGCGGCCCCTATGTCGACTCGCCACAGACACTTGCGCGCCTGAACACGACTGCCGGAAAAAGATATACCGTTGTTCTGGACCAACACGAATTTCCGCTCAAAAAGTACACCTTCACTTTGGCGGCCTTCTCTCATTCTCAGCTACAGGTCAAGGAGGCCACAGAGCCCATGTCGTTTTTCAAAGAAGAGCTAGGCACATGGAACAGACGGACTGCCGGTGGCAATAGTGCCTGTGCGACCTTCTACACTAATCCCCAGTACTGCCTCTCCGTGCCAGAAGCAACGCCACTGTCGATACTGATATCGACAGATGACAAGGACGTGCATATCCACGTAGACCTGGTCTGGGGCCACGGCAAGCGCGTAACCAGCATCAGGGTGAAAGACCTTATCTCGTCGTCAGGAGAATACCGCCGGGGATGTGCCGTGGCCAAGACGCCCCATATCGATGCCGGGGAATACACAGTCGTCTGCTCGACGTTCGATGCCGGCTGCCTAGCCTCGTTTGGCCTACGCGTGGCATCTAAGGCAGCCATAGAGCTCAAGCCTATTCCCATCGACGCTGCGGGCCGCCTACGCACCCCGCTACCACCACTCGCACTAGACGAGGGCATGGAGGGCATCCAGTGTCCCCTGAATGCAAATTGGCTGACCCGGGCCAGCGCTTCCATCCATAAGCGTCACCGTTCTGTCCAGCAACAGAAACAGCAGCAACACAGCGGCGGTACTGTCTTTGTCCGCCTGTCGGTCGTATACGGCCGGGGGCCCAATCAGGTCACTGTCGCTATCTCCGGTGAAGGTAATTTCCAGGACCCCTGCTCCACAGCTGTGCGCACACCAGAGTTCGACATCGAGCCCGAGAGAGCCCGCGCAGAGGGCATCTGGGTCGTGGTCGAGATCATGGGTCAGCATAGAGGTGTCGATGGGCTCGAGGTTGAGCTGTCCAGTGATTTACCAGCGCAAGTAGGACACTGGGAGGAGTTCTGACCCCTCGTATACATTGTTTCAACACACCACTATAGACATGCATTGAGGAGACGAGCATGAATTAAAGCAATTGCATGAAAGCTATATTTTTTTGTTCACATTGTAATCACATCCCATCTGGAAGACATGTTATTTGGTTTATATGTCATCGTTTTTTGAACGCCATAACAAAAGAAAGGGCTATAAAAAGCTCACAGGTAAACCTCCAGGATATATAACAACTCCTTGGGCCGTCATATTCCAGTTAACATACGTATGACTCATGACTTCAGTAAATAGACGATATCCCAAACCATGGGTTGAAACAATTGCAAGAACATGAATGGGCTTTGCGTGAAAAGAAAAAGAAGAACGGAAACGTCAAGCTATTGTTAGCGAACTGCAAACGAGCCTTCCCATAAACATTCATAAATAAACAGTAGAAATAGAAGGGGAGATAGTAAAGTGAGCGAAGAAAGATGAAAACGCCCGACGAAGTTGCTCAATCACATCGTAATAGAACGGAAATAAACCTTGTTAAAACGTCGTTGGATCCAAACCAAAGGGGAGGTGTCAAATGTGAAGCGTGAAAATGGTATCGGTTGCTCATGAAACTCTGGTCCTTCCTGGAGACGGACAAAAAGTAAAAAGGCTAACAAGAAAAACAGAAAACATTAAAAAGAATAAAGAGAGGCAAGAAGGAGACAAAATGGAACCAGATGACGCTTGTTAAGAGCCACCTCGTCTCCGACGCCCTCTATTTGGACCATCTGCTCTTTGAGCGAGAACCTCGCGAAGGAGCGGGTCATCTTTACTCTTATCATTGTGATGAACGCGAACATGTCTATGATAATTGTCAGATCTGAAGCAAAGAAAAAAGGGGAGAGAAGGGGGCATACCGTTGGAGGTTGTCCGGTCGGGGGTATTTATGATCTCTGTCTGGGCAGAAGGGGCATACGTATCCGGGAGAGTCATGGACGAGGCCATGCCTAATCATCTCGTTCTTGCGCTTGAACCCCTTTCCACCTTCACTACGTGCACACCCGGGTACGGGGCAGTAATGGGGACGCGCCGATGAGTGCACGTTGGCGTGCGAGTTGAGCAGGTACTGCGTCTGGAAAGGTGGAGCCGTGCAGCCCGTTACAGTGCAGTTGTAGCCGCCCTGGCTGGTGATCTCGTCGATACTCATGCAGTCGGTCGTAACCGAGGCAGCAGTCCCAGATGATGAAAGGCTTTTCTCCATAGTGGCGGACTCGCCGCAGGTGCTGCTACCGCTGTAGTCGACGCTAGGTCTGTGGGAAATCGCGACTGGGATGTGGCTGTAAGGACTGGGCGCCATAGTAGCTCGCGGCGAAGGAAGGCTCCGGGAATAGTTGTCTGGCGGAGAGATGGGTGATGAGCATGGGATATGGGGATGCATTTGAGCTCCAGAAGGGGGTGAATACGATGCCAGAGGTGGCCCAGTTGTGTGGTGCGGCAGCGTGGGTTCTTTCTCGGGAAGAGCCAACTTGAAGTCGCCTCCCAGTGTTGAACGTATGGACGGGAGTGAATGCCCGCTGTGGTCAGAGCTTGGCGAAGGTTTAGCAAGCGGCGGTAATGGTGCGGTTGGAGGGCTTAGCATAGATGGACGCGACCTGGAAGAAGCTAAAGAAGGAGATTTATAGCGAGGCGATTCTGGTGGGTCGTGCAGCGAGAGTTTGTCAACTGCGAGAGGCCCCCAAGAAGGATCAGAAGGTGTTTCGGGTACGTTGACGGCCTTAAGGGCGCCGGCAGCTAGATGCTGGAGGCTATCCTTTCTAGGTGGCGCGGTATGTCGTAGCCTGGGCTTTCCGGGTTCATCACGGCCTGTGCCTAGCCGCAGTCCCCTTGTATCAAAATGGCTACTACTTCGGTCGTGTCCCAGATCATATTGGCGGTCGCCACGATGGTTGTAGTCGTCCAAGTCATTTATGGAAGGCAGAATGGGTCTATCGGCAGCCTGGCTGATGTGTGGGCTTTGGTAGTTGCCAAAGAGGGATGTCAGGGCGGCGTCGCCCGTTCTAGGCTCGCTCCTCTTGTATTGGTAATCCACATCGTAATCCGAGTGGAACAAGACCGGAGGAAGGGTCACTTCTGGTGAAGGGCTCCGTGAGGGGCGGTAGATGGGCTTGGAAGGCTTCATCGGTGGGCTAAAGCTGGGACAAAATGTCTCGTCGATGATTGCAGTCTTCAATCCTGGCAGCATACTCGCAGTGACCAAAGATCACTTGTCAATGCTCTCCATGGCTCGTACAAGAGAGCCAAAAGGAAAGAATACCAGCGTACACTGATACCAGCGTACACTGACAAACACGGCGACTGTCGTTGGCTGAAGTCGGAACGTTCCGCGTAACGTAGAACGATGTAAAAATCAACACAAAATGCACACTGGTTGATCAAGGCTCCTTGCGCACTTGGGTTGTGTCCCAGAGAAGTTGTGCGCGCGTGTGCCGTGAGCCTGCTGCTGGCAATGGGGCAGCGTAGTAGTGATGGTTGCCTAGCGTTCTGTGGCGACAGCGTGTGTGACCAGGCGTTTGTGATCAGCACACTCCAAGGGTATGGCAGTGGTATATATGTAAACAATGTTTCTATACCCCCTTTTTCCTGGACCAGGATCTGGTAGGTAGCATTTAGGGTAAAGGGCTGGCTAGTAGTAGAGGGCGCAAGAAGAGCGGCAGAAAGCGGCGTGTCGTTGTTGGCTCACAGCCGGTTCAAAAGGCAGCACGTAGGTACTGATATGCGTTTGCGACAAAAGCCGGGAACGAAGCGTGGTACAGTCTCGGAGCTCAGTAGTCACGGCAATCGTTATAGCAGGAAGTCATGTCATCCAAACAAGACGAAAGATGAAGGGACAACAATGAGATGGAGTGAGGGGAGTCCGTGTTAAACACGTCGACTGTGTATGTACTTTTGTTTGTGTGTGTGTGTGTGTGTGTGTGTGTGCGTGTCTGTCTGTGCAAGAACGGCGTGACTTCTTTAGGGAGCAGGCAAGTAATAGTGTTGATGGCTGAAGGTAAAACAGCTGGTAAAAAAAGCTATAGGTAGCCGAAAAAGTGCGTAAGTGTTGAGAAATGACTAGATGACGAGGACGAGAGGTAGACAGGCTATTAGATGAAGGAGAGAAAGAAGATGGCAGAGATCAAAGTAACAGGAAGCGGCTATGAGGCGGCTGATGAGGCGGCTGGAGTGGTGCGGGACCAAGGACACGAGCGAGGGGAAGAAGCAGCCAGTAGGGCCGTTGATAAGTCGTAAATGCGAATGGGGGACTGGGGACTGGGGACTGGGGACTGGGGAGAGCCGGGACTGATGACTGCTTCTCCATAGAGTACTTGCTACATTGAGCACTAGCACTAACACAAGTACCAATATAGTCGTAGCATCTACTGGTAGTACTTTCCGGATGATCTAGTGAACACGCCATGTACTTGCTAGCAATGATACATACCTACATACGTGATGATATGAGCAGTACCTAGGGCCATAGTACTACGAGTCCATTCTCGTCCACTGTGGGTGGACGGGTAGTAAAAGAGGTACCGAGGGGTGAAAGAGCATGGCAGGTACATGTGCGGCAGAATATCCGCCGAAGGCCTACCACGCGGTGGCGTACTATACAAGGTACTCCGTACATTATGGGAGAAAAAAGGCAAGTTACACATTCGCAAGGGACCAAAAGGCCAAAGGCCTCAATGCTACGACTCTACCGCAGACTCGACTGACTATTACTTGTCTCTCGTACTGCGGAGAGTACATAACAAAAAAGTGGGTATTGCATGGCTGGGGCCGCCTTACCTAAACTGGGTGGTCCGCGGGGGTGGCAGTCGCAGCCACCAGTGGGGACTGGGGAGTCTCCCCTGTCCGATATTCGTACCTTTGACCTTTTTGTCCATGGAGTAGCAGCCGTCACATCCCGACGGGGCCAGAATAAGGCGCACAGAGAATACACGGAGTATGTTTTCATGCTGCTCATTCTCATACGATAGCCCTACTCACAGTCAGAGGTGTCCATGGGCTCCCTCGGAAGTGGGACTGAGGCTATGCTGTCTCTTTCTTTTTATTTGACACCCTTTGCTCTTGCTTCTTCTCCTTTTGACCGTTAGACTGGATGGGAGCTATGACTACTAGTACTACGAGCCCTGCTAGTCCAAATGTATATACGTGGTTCGCCGGCGCATCGTTCCTGCCGTCGGGCCAAAGAGAAAAAAAGTGGTGGACAATGTCGTCACTATATCAAGCCAGAATAACTCCCAACTACACTACTGTACTCATACAGGTAGAAATACATGCACACCGTTTGATCTTCTTGACGGGATCATTAACACTCAATGACAATGGGCAGCGCACGATCATAAAGGTGACCGGTTATTAAATAATAGAAACGAAGTGTGTGTGGATAAATAGGATTAACTTATCACTATACCACAACGTCTACAGGCCACTCCCCTCACCCTCTCCTTTCCACGATCACTGCCAACCGAAGCGGGGTTTGCGCTTAGATGATGGTGCCGCATGGGACCATCTTCCCACCGGTGGTCTCGTGGACGAACGGCAAGACACACGACGCACCATTGGAGACAAAGGGTGGAGGAGGGGCCCATGAGGGGAGGTATGTGTGCCATTCCGAGTACCCATTCGTCTCTCTTCCTCTAAGACTCTAACAGAGTCATGACTTCTCTGACACCACCACCCCAGCGACCCCCGAAAAAAAAGACCCAGTCTTTGGGGCTCTTCCTCCCGCACTTGGCACCCACACTTCGCCAATCAACCCTTGCAAAAATGGCTCCACTCTGGAAGAAAAAGGACTCTCTCATTTTCTCATTTTAGAGGCCCGAGGAGGGAGGCCTCGTTGATAGGACAAGAGGGAATCCCTGATGGTGGGAAGCGGCGCATTCAGCGGCACCGCGAAAAGGAGCGGTCACCATTTTGCCATTTTTTTTCTCAGTTACTTAGTTTTGCGGTCCTGCATTGCTGGCCGAAAGGTGGAGATGGGCTCTGGAGAACATGGGGCAATTCCCCACCGGAAACAGGGATGGACAAGAGAGAAAGGGAACGAGAAGTCTGGAGGGGATGGGGCGCGGGGCTATCATGTTCTCGTAGCAGCTGCGAGTCAGACGGACAGGCCGCCGCAGCCAGGTCTGCTAATTTACGAATATTACTCCGTATATACTCCACGCGCCGACATTGCGGATTGAGGTGAGGGCTGATTATGGTTATTACGACACGAAACTATAAGTATTGTGCACCAGTATGTACGACGTAACCGTGTACTCGTATGCGTATATTTACTCGTACCGAAGATCCAATGCGTGGGGAAGGAAGAAACAGAGTAGCGGCTCTTTTTTTTGGTACGAGTACGACGTAGGGAGGATAGGCACAGACACACACACTCACTCACTCAGAAAGACAGTGAGGATCAGAGGAGGCCTCCTCCATGCCACCACCAGGTCACCAAATTTTCCTATGGTGCTCAAGGCATCAAGTGGGCCAAGCCACAACCGGCGACACCAGCAGCAAAGAACTGGAGAAAATAAACACCGAGTAGCACCATAATCCACGATGCCAGCCGAACAAAAACAACTCTCTCTTCCACTTCCAACCAATAATCCCGGTCCCAGTCCCAAATCCAGGCCACCTCATCGAATTCACGGCGTGCTCGTAGGCTATAGCCAGGGGGGGGAGTCGTTACGTATTCCGTACGTCGTAAATCTGGAGGAAAGGGCGGTCCGTACTATTCCCAGAGAGGTAGAGAACCAACACCACACACACACACGTACGCCTGCTCCCCCCTCCCTCTCCACACCACTCCGACCCCGATCTGTGAGAGAGTGGAAGAAGAAGGGAGACCGCTAACGAAAAGTGTGGATTTACATCAGAGAATAAAGGAAGGAAAGGAAGGAAGACAGAAAAAGAATACCCGCCCTATCGGGGGAACCCTGGCCGAGAGAGAGAGAGAAACGAGGGGAGGGGCCTGAGCCTCAAGCGCGCCCGCTTTACCTACACGATCCACTCCCACTACTCGTACTCCACGTTAGGTCTCCGTGTCCCGGTCTATTCCTTGTCTAACCTACCTACCCACACGACCATAAAGTCCCTCGGCTTCGACCCCAATGATACGGTTTGTGAGTTCTCATGTGCGCGTACCATTGTATTTTTTTTCTCTACACCTACTAACCAGTACGGTGGTAATGCTACGGATATTTTTCGTACGGCCATGTTCCGTATGGGGTGGGCCAACTAAAAATGCTTTAGCGTTGCTTACGAGTACCGGTAAACTATATTGGAGTACATACGACTGCTCCGTACAAATACAATCATTATTACGTTGTATTACAGATACAGAAAATATTGTTTTTCCTCTCCTTATTTCCTTGTTTCTAATTCATGGGATTCACCCTCCTCCTCCTTCCCTTTGAGCTTTCCCCCGCTTGCTGACGGACATGAATGGCAATTTATTACCTCCAATATGGCCGAGGTTGAGACGGGTAATGTATGTCTGTTACCTATCGTTTAGGTCGGCGTAAAGAGGACTCGGTACGTACGACGCAATATGTAGCTGTATTCATACTTTATTTGATCAAATTGAAGTATTAGATGGTTGCAACTTTTTTAGTACTATGCCGCATTAATAACGTGGTTGTATGATGTATATACCAGTGTTTCCGCACAAGAGTAAATATCAGCACAAACGGAATAATATCCGATCAAGGGAAATGGCCCGGGAAAAGTAGGCATACAAGTTGAAAGGAAGAGATGAGGGGCACTGCAATAGTAGTAGTATGAGTAGTCTATATGTCGGTAATTTCCCGTCAACCACAGGGATGAGGCAGGAAACTCACCCCAGACACACGTCAAAAGAAAAATACTCCATCGATCCCTATGTACCCTGTCGCAAAACGATAACTGTAATAATAAACTGTTGTTTGCGGGGTGGGTTGAGGCAATAAAATGATGGACAGACAGCCCAGCCTATGACATTCCTAGTACTCTCTGCCTACTACGCCATACGAGTAGTAGCGGACCAGCGACTGTCCAGTCAATGCGATCCAGTCAATGCGCTCCAGCTTCCAACTTGCCGCCCCAAAGTAGAGCACACGACACGACAAGCTTGACAAGGCCCACTAGCCCTCGGGAGCCTCCAAGCCGGCCCCCTCCTCCCCTCCTCCATATGGTTTCAAGCCCACACAACGCACGCACACAAATCCCTTGCGCTTCAACGCTTTGTTTTTCCTCCTTGCTATTCCTGGTACGCACACACAGATTCACAACCTTGCTGATCAATATTCGACTTACACCTCACTCCAAATATATTCCTCCCGTCTGTCCTCAGCCCTAAAAGCACACGATCAATATAGCATAGCCGAAGCTGCTGCTACCATGAAGGTTGTGGTTTTCCATGAGCCCTACAAGGTCTCCGTTCAGGACCGTCCTACTCCCACCTGTAAATCTTCTTCTTTTCCCCGTAATACCCTGAGATGCTTCTAAAGATGAGAGGAGAAGAATAAGATAAGGAAAGAAAGTATACTGAAATATTGTAGTGAAGGATGACAGGGACATCATCGTAAAGGTTAACACAACAGCTCTGTGTGGCTCGTAAGTTATGATACTAGCTGCCGTGTGTGCTGTAGAATGTCCACTCTGACACAAAAGACTCTGCACAACAGTGAGCTGCACATGTACCGCGGTCTCGAAGCTGTCGGTGGTGCAGAGCCTATCATGGGCCATGAGTTTACTGGTCACGTCGTACAAGTTGGCTCCGCCGTCAAGACGGTTGCCGTCGGAGACCAGGTTGTGTCTCCGTTCACGACATCATGGTACGTTCCCTTAAATGCCCCCTTTACCTTTCCTTATTCACATGTGTATTTATTGAGTAGACTATGATATAGCTAACGCCCATCCCAGTGGTGAGTGCTTCTTTTGTAAAAACGGCGGTACGGCGCGCTGCGTCGAGAGTCAGCTCTTTGGCTCCCCTGCCCTCGATGGTGGTCAGGCCGAGTACGTCCGAGTCCCCAACGCCGACGGCACCGTCATAAAAGCTCCCGATGGTATTCCCGAGAAATACCTCATCCTCATGGCCGACATCTTCCCGACGGGTTACTACGGCGTCAACAGCGCCATCTCGATGAGCCCTGCTAGTGTCGACGTTACGCAGTCCACCATAGCCATCATCGGGTGCGGGCCCGTAGGTCTGTGTGCGGTCGCTGCCGCTCTGACCTTCGAGCCCAAGTACCTGTTTGCTATTGACAGCGTCAACAGCCGCCTCGATCAGGCCAGGGAGCTAGGTGCCGAGCCGCTTAACTTCCAGGCCGACCCCCAGAGCATGATTGCCCGCATCAAGGAGGCGACTGAGGGTCGTGGTGCCGACATGGCTGTCGAGGTGGTTGGCCTGTCTTCTGCGCTGAGGACGGCCTTTGACCTCATCCGGCCGTTTGGTGTCATCAGCAGCATTGGCGTCCACAATGCAGAGGTACGTCTCTGGGACATGATCCAGCAACACGTTGGCTGAGCATATGGACTGACGGGTGACAGATGCCTTGGACCGCTACCGAAGGATACAAGTGAGCGGCGATCCAGATTCTCGTGTGTCGTATGTCGTGTGTGTGAAAAGCTAACCATGTATACAGCAAAAACCTCCGACTCCAGATGGGCCGTTGCCCTGTCCGAAGCATCTTTGCCGAATCCTTAGAAGTATTCAAGAGATGTCACGACAAGTTTGAGTAAGTGCCGCCCCTTCTGCTGTCGGGACATGACCAGCAGGCAGTGCTGACATGTGTTCCCTAGCTTCATGTTTGACAAAATCATGCCCCTCTCCCAGGCCGAGGAGGCCTACGACATCTTTAACAAGCGCCTTGTCCAAAAGGTCGTTTTTATTCCGTAAAGTTGGAAAGGGAAGAAAATATCGAAACGGTTGGTGTATGACGACCACAGCAGAGCACCTCAGTTTTGGCGGGGTTTCACCATGCCCTCATGCATGAGATAGTAGACAATAGTAGAGTCGTTATGAACCGTTGCCAAGACGATGCGCTTGCTCCGGGGCCCCGCCTCGTCAATCGAGTCGAAAACCTCCGCAAATCTCCCCACTGTCCACTTCTCAGAGAGCCGGACAGCCAAGACCCATTCGTGCTCCGGGTCCTGGAAGAGGCGCTCTCCCGTTTTGTGCTCGTGATTCAGGGCGGCAACCTGGTCGTCCGGGTGTGTGTAGAGGCGTCGGGGCGGCAGGCCTCGTATCAATGGACGATTGCCCAGCGTGTCGCGGATCTCGAGGTCTGTCCAGTCGTGTTGGTCCTCCAGGTTACGTACAACTGTCAAGATGACATTGGCCACGGTGTCTCGCGTCGAGTCCATTGCGAATTTTCCAGACCTCCGCAGAGTGTTGTATTGTCTGGCCCTAGTTCTACCAGTAATCGGTAGACCTGGACGCTTAAAGGGTGGTGAGAGGCAATGTGAAGCGTGTGATACTGACCTCAGAATGCAGATGTTGAAAACGAAATTTGTGGCCTTGGGGTTTGAACTTTTCACTCTGCAGGTACCCATGTACATCTATCTACTTGCCCCGCCAGTCGGCAAGGTGAGGTGCAAGGTGCAGCCTCACCTGGGCAGAGCCGCCTGTTGAATAATATGTCGTGCAACTGATCCGACTCCTGTCATTTTTCTGTACATTGTATGCTATCTTGCTCAAATATACAATATACTATTAATAGAGAACAATGTTAACAAAGACAACTCCCGCCACATCCACTCGTATGATTTTTCTTTAAAAAAGGCAGCACAGTGACTGAGTGAGCTGCCACTCCAGGGTATTTGCATTTGCGCTATACCACTAAAAGACCCCCGGTACCACAGCACCTCTGACCCCCCCCCCCCCCCGATAAGATGTTGGGCATGCATGCGTGGTCCAGTTGTTGCATCATTGCATGTGCCACATGACCAAAGCGGCGGTCCTCTGATCCTGACAAAGAAGCCACGGCCTTTTTTCTCTTACCAACAACAACACTCACCATCTGTTTCTTCTTAGCATCACCGAACAACAACAATAACAACAAAGTGCGCTCTCACCTGGGACACAGGTGTCGCCTGAACGGGGCCTCCGTATCGTTGGCCCAACTAGCTGCAATACATCATCACAGCAGTCCATCCCCTCCCGATCAAACAACAAACACACCGATCCAAGAAAGAACAAACAAACAATAACTACTAGCCATCATGGGGCTTTCATACAACACGTACCTCACTAGTAGCAGGATATATGGATGCAAGGCATGCAAGACCCATCTCGCCAATCACGAGGACATAATAAGCCGGGTGAGTTGTACCCTGTTTATCTCTCTTCTCTGTACCATCCGCTGCCACTGTGGAGGTAACAAGCAGAAATCATCAGCTGATTTGTGCATGAAACAAACAGAACTTCCGTGGGCAGCATGGTAAGGCCTACCTCTTCCACACAGTCGTCAACATCGAGACGGGCGAGGCCAACGAACGCAACATGACGACGGGTCGGCATATTGTTCGTGACATTGCTTGTCGGCAGTGTAAGGAGACGGTTGGCTGGAAGTACGATAAGGCGTTCGAGTCGTCGGAGAGGTACAAGGAGGGCAAGTTTATACTCGAGGCTGAGATCCTGTGTAATGTCACTTGAGGCTCCGTTGCCTTCCGCTGGGAGGGCCATACTTGCCCGACAGATTGTTTTGTTTTGTGTGTTTTGTTGGTATCGGGGGCATTGCATTGTGATTATTATCACGTTGGGATGAATTGGGCGTTGTTTTGGTTGGGTTGATGGCGGTTTTTTTTTTTTTTGAATAATAGCGTCGCTTAGGAGATATTGTTACTGCCGTTCATCTTCAGTGGATCTGAGGATGTTTCTAATACAGTGATGTCGGGGCCTTTTCCTCGTCTAAGGATCAAAACAACGAACCAAAAACATCCCGAACGTCTCGTTTTCTTTTAAAAGACCTGGCCTCCCCCCGCAGGTCTTATACATGTCTCCGAGTCCACTCCTCCCTAAAACAACACAATCTAGCGCCTTTTTATACTTTTATGACAGTTAAGGGGTATGTTAGAGACATGAAAGAAACAATAGTAATTAATGAAGTCTTATAGTTAAGAGATAGGAAAGAAATAATTAAGGGATAAAACCCCTTCTACTATATAACTATAATAAGTTTATTAAGTCTAGACTTTCCTCTACTAATGTCATACTTTTTGTGTTCTTCTAGGGTGACCCAAAAAGTAGAGATGTCCTTAATTTCTAGATTCGATAAGGACGGTGCCAGATCTTATAGACAAAGGGTGTAATCTAACATATATGACTTCTCTCGAGAAGCGTTCTGTCATAGAAAATGTACACATAGCTTAGATAAGCGGGACTCAACTATAAAACAGTCGAGTCCATCACTCTAAAGATAATAAATTAAGAACTTAATACCACACAACACCTTACCTACCTTTCAATATATATAAGCGTGTTAGTAGTGTGTTCTCACACACGCTACTAAGCGTAATAATATCTAAACGGTTAAATCCCTAATGAAAACGGTTAATCCCCTAATATACAAACACATTCTCGAGAGAGGTCTTGCATATGTCGGATCACGCTCTCTAGCTACGAGATCCGACACCGCTCTTGTCGAATCTAACAACTAAGGACATCTTTGCTTTTTCAGGTCACCCCTTAAAGGCCGGAAAAAGTATGACACGTTCGTTATTCTTTAGGGAATTAACTATTAGTAGGCTAAAGTGCGTAGAGGCGTATATAATAATACACTACTAATACGCTTATATATATTAAAGGTAGGTAAGGTATTATATAGTATAAAATTATTATTATCTTACAATTATAGCGATAGACTCGATAGTTTTATAGTCGAGTACCGCTTACCTAATCTAGGAGTAGTTTATCTGACATTGACAAACACATACTGTTACGGCCCGTTATGCGACCTTCACGTGTACCCTATAATTTCCTTACTTATCACCGCATTCCCCACTTACATATAATAAAAGCGATCACCTTAATTACCTAGCGATCG